AACATTCATTTTTTCGGCATTGGTCCTTTATGTTATAAAAATATTAAAACTGATCCCGTATATCCTGAATTTTTGGTGATTCATAACGGAAATGAGGTGAATTCTAATCCTAATTTCATTTTGCAAAATAAAATTTAAAAAGATCCATGATTAATAATAAAGGATTAGAATTGAAACTACTAATGTTCGAAATGTTTCATTTTCTCTTCGTCAAATTTTCCGCGTTTTTTCTCACTGTTTAGTAACCTGTTCTCGTTGTACAAATTTCCGGTCTTTTTTTTCGCTCTTATTCCTTCTTCTTCTTCTTCGTCTTCTTCCTTCTCTTTAAACATCCTATTGTTATAATCTTTTTTGCAACATGTGGTTTCTGTTTTCACGAAAAGCAGCAGCGTTTTGATCTATTTTTCACCAAATCAAAGTTCATAACAATAACTGTCTGATGGTCAAAAAATTGCAAAGCTGCGCAAATTGCGGTGTGGACGCGGCACACACACACACATACATATATAGGATGGACGGCGATATTCGTTGGGCTCCGAAAATAGGCACGGGGGGCTTGAGGGAGGCGCACGAGGTCGGTCGCGACGTCTACCGACACACCAAAAATCGAGTCGCGTTTGACAAACAATACCGAATTCTCTCGCAATTCCCCTTATTCCTCATCTTCGACATTATTTTTTTTGTGATGCGGATTTTATGAAGAATGTGTGAATTTGTGGGAAAAAATAATGGGTTAAAATGAATGGAAACGAGCGAAATTGAAGTAATTACTTGCGTAGACCTTAAACTGTTCGTCTAATATCACATTTGATCTTAAAATAATTGCGATTGTTTCAATGAAGCCTGTTTCTTTGATTCCAATCATTTAAATTTCAATATGCACAATCATTTTATCTTAGAATTTCAGTTATTTTTTCATTTCTCATAAATTATTTATGGTCACTTTATTTCTTCTAAGCCCATCAGAATCTCTGACTAACGTTTATAAAATGTTTCTAAAAATGGATTTCAATTATCGCTATGCTTTTTTTTCTCATTAAATTGAAAGCTTTTATCAAAATTTCTCCTAAAACGTGGTCGTTTAAACGAGATTATTTGGCTGACAGATTAAGCAATATACATAGCAGCTTTTATTTTAGATTTAATGAGTAATTAGTGCGATTTTCGATGCTTATCATATGCTTTTCGCTTTGAGAAAATGTGCATTACTCAAGGTGAAGCTGAGCCATGTTTATGATAGCACATATGCGGCATTTTCGACATTTTTCTTGTTCATTATGACAACACATGTATATATTTCATTTGGGTCTCTTTTTTGAGCCATTGGCTAGTCGTTTCTATCGAAATTTCGATTTACGAGTAGACGCCAACAATACCATTTATGGGAATTTTTATGGGCAAATGTGGGCTGAATCAAGAACATGAAAAAAAAACCAAACCAAAAATTTTCTATGCTAAATTCAAACAAATTGAAAACTTCCCTGGAATTCTAATTTTATATGTTATCTTTGTCTCTCACTCGATTTTGTTCGCCTCCTATCACTCAGTTTTTTGGTTATTTTTGGCTTATCATTTCCATTATCTCTTCTTTCAAAATGAAAAAATCAATTTTTTCAAAAATCATTGAAAAATGCCGCGAAATAAATAAATGTAATTTGTATTTGGCTGTGGCTGATTGGTTTTTGCAACGAAGCGAACTTTAAGATTATAATCTCGGTGTGTAAGGTATAATTATAGGGGGGCGGTAAACAACAAAAGAAAGAAATAAAACGACGATGGCCGTTTTAGCTCGAAAAAAATTTTGAGAATTGATTTTTCTCGTCGTCTAGGCTTGCAAAGAGCACGAGTTGCTCTTTAGTTGACCTCTAAAACTCAAATCAATTTCAATGGGATTCGTCTGATTCATTTTTTTTGCTCGTTCAAAGTGTTTCTTTTAAGTTATGGATTTGCGTTTTTTTTTCAATTTTTGCCATATTTAAAATCGTCGCATAAAAAATATCTGAAGTTTTCAATTTGTTCCAGTTGAACAAAAACCTCTAATTTTAAATAAGTATTTTTTCGTAACCTAAATATATGGCTTTATTGAATTTTTTTTGAATATTGAAACAAAAGCAATCAATGAATTATGCGTAGCGAGTGTTCGAAAGTGACACTCCCGTTTTCCTCGTTTTCTCGTTGTTCACACAACCGCCGAAACATTGCTTTCGACAGTGATAAGCGTTTCCTTCGTTATTCGGCCCGTCGCAATTTTCTTTTTCATCTTCATCATCTTCATCTTCTTCTTCTTCTTCATCATTTTCTTCTGCATTTTCATCAATTTTTTGTGTGTGTGTGTGTGTGTATCTTGCACTTTTCGTGTTGGTCCATCAATCCAAATAGCAAATTTTACCAATAAGACACGTGATTTGATTCAATCTAAACGTATTCATTGGTAAAAAGGCGATATTTTTGGGTGTAAGAGCAATTCTTTTTTGCGATCAAGAAGGGATATTGGTTTATTTGCCGATAATTGATGCGAATTGCAAAGTTCTTTGTGTTTCTTTAGCCGCTACTCGATTCTTTCAGTTTTCTGAATGTAGGTATTTACAATTTTGGCAATATCCGGATTGAAATTAAAAGAGAAACTCATTAATATCATTTGGTTGAATTGGACACTAAATTATCCTAATTTGGAGAAGGAGGTGAACAAAAAACTGGTTTTCTGCAATAACACAAAAATTTCTTATTTCGTTTTGTGGAAGAAAATTTTTAAAAAAAAGAAGCGTCAATGAATGAGCTGGAATTCATTGCTGGTTTCAATTCCGAAAGTGTGTCCTTAAACGGAAAGCAACTAGTTTTTTTTTGTGTGTGTGGTGTGTGATCAAATTAGACACGAATCGTGAGGAGCAATGCGTCATTCGCAGTGCGTAGAAGTAGCTGAATCAACTTTTGAAGCATCTTGCATATTGTAGTGCAAAAAGAAACAAGTGTTCCAATCAAAACACAATAGCCTTGAGCGGATATCCTCTTTTGGAAGATGAAAGTAGATCAAAAACGTGTTTCTTTTCCTTTTTTAGGCATGGCCTGGATTGTTGAACTATTAATGAATATTTTTATTGCAAAATTCCGAATTTTTTGAATGCGTTAAATCAAAACATTTGTTTGCCTACTGACAGTTTGACAATTCAATTTTTGCAATTTATTGTTCGTTTTTTTTCACGATGTTATATGTTTTTCCATTTTCAAATACTCACATTTACATAAGTAAAAATTACCTATGTAAAAATTTTCCTTATTCGTTTTTTTTCGGTTCGAAAAATTCGTGTGTTCGCGAATTTAATGTTTTTCGTCGAAATGTATAATTATAATTCTGAAACATTTTCAGCTATTCCTCGATCGGTTCCCGCCGTTTCGTGTAAGTTGCTCGTTTTTGAAAATTTTGAATTTAAAATAAATGTTAAAAATGTGCTCCAAAAAATTCGATATAATAATTTTGATATTTCCACGTGAATAAGCGCACATTTTGATTAAGTCGTTGCAAATATTTTGCATCGACAAAATTCTTTTACTCTTTCAACGATTTGCAAAAATGTTTCATTTTCGTCCGTAAGTTCATTTTTCATTTGATGCACGTCATTTTATGCCATTTATTGTGTTGTTGCCCTTTTCGGGTCTGAAATATTGGATATTTCGCTTCTTTCGTGTCATCATCATCTATTTTTAGGTCCAAAATGCAAGCATTAGAAAAAATTGAAAAAAGACATCTGACGCGTTTTCCTCGCAAATTATCTTATCAGAGTTTTTTTGTAACATTTTTGATATGGCAGCCTCTGAAACAACATAATATCGATTAGTTGTGCCCAATTCTCAACCGAGCAAATGTGCATCAAAATTCGGCCGTCAACCGAATATGTTTATGATTCATATCAATTTGTAGACCACTTTTTTGGTATTCTTTCGTCAATTTTTATTAATTACACGGAAAATGTGCTGTAATGTTCATATTTTGTTATTTTATTTTCATATCACTTTATTTTGAAAAAGAAACCCGTGTGATCTTAAATTCGTTCCAGTTTTCTTTTATATATATATATATGAGATCATAGAGATGAGGAATAATGTAATTCAAAATGTCACGTAGTGTTGCTTTTTTAAACAAATGATCAACCAATAATCGAATTTCTTTTTCATTGGCGAACTAATGGGATTTCAAAAAAAAAAACGTTTCCACAACATGATGTTTAGTAGTTGACATACATAAATTGCGACAAAGCTAGGTCTGCCAAAAGCAGGTGCTCAAAGTGTGAGTAGGATCATCGTCAGCTCTTCTGACAATGTGTTGACACACGTGTATGGAAAACGTTCGATTTCTAGATGCCTAATGCACTATTTCGTACGTTTTCACGTAGGTGCGAAGCATCTAGAGGACCGTGTTGGGCTTTTAGGTGCCAAAATGGCTTGAAGGTGCGACAAATTTTAATGAGAGCGTGTGCTCTGTCCCAAGCTTGCATGACAAGGTGCGAACACGTAGGTGGGATGCACGGTTGACCCATCCGGTGGGCGGAGCCGGACGACTCCTTTAAAAGGCATCGATTACATGAGTGAACCATTCATTCATCGCTCGCTGCATATGCACAACGAGGTTGCCTAATTTCGTTTCGACTTCTGCCCATTTTTTCCATTGCTGCTCATGCTCCTTCACCGAACCTCCAGTACCAATTGCATTCTTGTTTCGAATAAGTATTCGCAATAATGAACGAGGTGTCGCGTAAATTGCATCGTCCGCCGGCCGCTTTCGTGTTTCTTTTGTTCTCTGTCGCATCCTCGGCGTTTTCGAATTCTCGCTGATTTCTCGAGTTTGAAAACACACACACACACACACATACAACACACTCTTCTCATCGCCAAAATTCTCCCGTGATTGTCTATATTTGATTCGTTTTTATTAATATTTGCTTTATTTTAGATCATAAGTCACTATGCAAGTTCTTTGCAGATCTCCATTGTCTCAAATATATAGAATGGAGGAAGACGAAACAACTGGAGATCGACCAATGAGGCTTCGACGAGAGCTTTGCGGTGAGTCGTTTCTTGTGTACTTGAGATCATTTATCTAGAAAAAAATTAGTCTTTTCATTCTAATGTTTCTAGATCGAATTCTTTAGCTTTCGGTAGACATGATGATATTGATCTTTAAAAAAAAAGTAGGTGAAAGTTTTTGGGAAAGACTGACGGATATTGATAAGACGCCCGAAAAGCGGATTTTTGTTGATAAAACGCTTTCTTTTGTCCATTTTTAAACCATCAGCGCATTTTCGTTTAACTGCCCATCGTTTTTTTTAAGTTTTCAAACACCTCCGAAAAAAATATCACGTGAATCGATATAGCTGAAAATCGGCAAATGTTTATAATAATTTTTGTGATTCAAATCTCGTCTTTTGCTGTTTTGCATTGATGAGACTGCGATAATTGCAAAAAGGACACGGCCCCCGCTTACGATGGTATATGCGCGCACGACACAGTTTCTTTTCCAATACGATATATAGTATTCGGTTTCTCGTAATCCGCACTGCATTTCCTCTTGTTCCGACCATTCGTCGAGCGCGTCGTGCCAATGCGCGCCGTCCCCTTTCCACGAGGTCTTGCCACTCATTAAAAATTGTCATAGGTGATTGATTAATGGGGGACGATAGAAACGTCTTCATTAGAAAAGATGAAAAATTACGTTTTTCAGATATCTTCGGATCGTTTGAAACGTTTCACGATCGCATCATCAGGCACGGCATGAAATATGGAGTGTCCAAGGTGAGATATTTTCTTTGAAATGAATTGCTATTCCATTATCATTTCAGGCTCGTATTCCTGGAAAGACGAGTCCAACGAATATGACGATGACAAATTCGCCAAATCATGTTCACGTTCAACATGCGCTTCAGAGCATGAAATATTTGGTGGAGGAACGACTGCCATCACTTCCGGCGACACTTCCGTCGTTGTCAGCGGCTCGCAGGGACCAACAGGTATATAGTTTCCATTTTTTCTATTCTCTTATATCAACGTTCCTATATGACAGATGCAGCATTCTTCTGTTCCATCTACGTCGTCGAATCAAACCGCGGATGCCGAGTCAAAGAAGCGAAAAAGGCGAGACAACGATAACGATGAAGCAGACACTTCTGATGCGTTAGTTTTTTTTTCTAACATTATATTCATATTCTTATTTCTGTGGGGGAAGAGACCAGATGCTCCTGTAGGGGTTTAAGCTCTCTTATTTCGATTTTACAGCGATCGCCGTAAACGCAGCAGATTCGATCGTGTCGATAGCGAGAAATCGAGAATCGACTATGATCGTAGAAATGATTCGTTGCTTCGTGATTCACTGAATCGCAGTAATCTGAATAGACGGAATGAAGCAACTGAAACTACTGCAAATCGACGTGACAAAGACAATGGAACAGCGGCGATCAGTCCAGATTCTGGAGTTCATTCGACAGAAAATGATATGGGCGATGATAATACATCGATTGAGGAGATTTTGAACATTATGAAAAAGTTTGTTTTTCTTAAAATATATTTCAAATTTTAATTTTTTTAACTTTTCAGTATTGATGGGCCTCCATTATCGCCTCTACCCGACGATTGTATTGCAAGAATACGTAGGAAAGAGGAGATGAAAAAACGAGCCGAGGAAGAAGAACGTCGTCGAAAAGAAGAAGAAGAAGCCGCTGCGGCAGCTCGGAAGGAGAAGGAGGAGAAGAGAAGGAAAGAAGAGGAAGAGAAGCGCAAGAAAGAGGATGAAGCTGAAAAGAAGCGAAAGTGTGAGGCGGAAAAACGACGAAAGGAGGAGGAATCGAAAAAGAAACCAATGTAAGATTTTGAGGATTTTTGAAGTTACCAGCTATTAATCATCGTGTTTTCAGCAAGAAGCTTATGGATGATGATAGCACTTCTTCGTCGGCGAGCCCGTCGACATCAGCTGCGAATTCTGCTCGCGGATCTACTTCTCCGCCACCACAACTTTCTCGACAGGATCCGATTCCATCTGTCTATATGTAAGAAGTTGCTCAAAATTCATATTTCTTATTCGTATGACATTTACAGAAACTCCGAACCATCGACGTCGAAAAAATCGGCAGGCGTGTTGTCGCTGAAATTATTGAAGTCGGACAAGTTCAAAAAGCTTATTAAATTGGCTGAACGCAATGGATGTCTTGTGGAATCGATCAAGGAGGAGCGAAAAGAACGGAAGAGCAACGATGAGAAGTCGTCGAAGGAACACCGCAAAGCACCGACACCTTCACCTGCTCCTTCAAAATCGTCTCGACCATCGTCTGGAATGAAAGAAAAAGAGAAGGAAAAGGAGAAGGAGAAATCTGTTCGACCGCCAACATCCAATTCGACTAACTCGCTCGCGACACCAAAAGCAAACGGATCTGCGAAGAACACGCCGAGCACGCGACCACCTTCATCCATGTCGACAAACAATGAGGTGATTAATTCAGCATTCGCCAATGCCATGAACTTGGCTTCGACATCGACGACTAGCCGGTAAAATTTTTTAGTCTATAATCAAATTTTTGAAATTCAATGTTTTTTTTTCAGATCACAAACTGTTACACCTCGTCCTGAAGCGGCGGTTCGACCTACAGTTGTGGCAGCAAAGACCAATTTCAAGTGTTGTTATAGTCGAGTCAGACTCACCGCTCCGAGGCGTGTTCCATTCCCAGATATAGGGCTGGAGAATCCCCCGAGCAAGGCTGACTTCTATCATGGGCTAGCAAAATCGTACAAAGCCAAAGCGGACGAAAACGTAAGATTTCACTTTTTTTTTTGAAAAATTTGGTTTTAATTAAAATTTTGTGTTTTCAGAAAGACCGTGTTCCGAAAATTCTGGATTACATGATAGCGGCAGTTTATTTCACCCTCGAAGCTGTGTCAAAACAAACCAAAAACTCTTCCGAACGAGCATATTGCACTCAATTGACCAGAGACTCAGCGGAATTGTTAAGGTAATACCTTTCGATTTGGGTGGTGTTTGAAAAAAAAATGGATTTCAGAAATTGTATTCATCAGGCAATGCGTCCAACCGACGACACTCTCGTCATGCATTTCTTGCCTCGTTTAAAGGTTCTTGGCCAAGCCATGCTTGCAATTATGCATCACCATGTGTACACATTCCGCTCAAATGTAAGTTTGTCATTCCTCTCTACTCATTTTTTTTTCAACGCGGTTTTTTTCAGCACGTCATCAAGTGGATGAATATTCTCGAATCGCCTGAATTCCTTGGCACCGTTCAACATAACACGACACCGCAACCGATCGCTGAAACACCATGTGTTAACAATAAGCATTTGGCTGTCGCCACTGGTGCACCATCTGGCGCACCACCTGGATCATCGGCTGGTTCGACTCCGGGAAAAATGGTCGCGAATTCTCCGGCCAGAACGACGAATGCCGGTACGACTGTTGCGAATATGCTTGAAACGAACAAGGAAATGGTCATGGTTCCGGCGATTATCTTCGAGACTCAACGTCAACAGATTAAGTTAATGAATTCGCTTGTCTTAGCTCAAAAGTATTGGCAAGAGGCCAAATCGTTGGCGTTGTATGTGGATAGCGAGTTTCTTAAAGGGTAAGTCGGTTTTGCTTATAGATTTTATGTGTGATTTTACTTTTTTTTTCAGAATTGAGGAGGTCTGCGGAAAAACACTGACGATGGACGCGTCGATTGACTGTCTCGCGACTATTGTTTTCACAGCCGTCGAAAGTCTCCGAGCCGAGTTTAATGAAGAGAGGGTGCAGCCGATTAAACCGTCACCAACGAAGGTACGTGATATTTTTCGAATACCTATTTTTTTTTCATCTCGACAGAAATTAAGATATTTCTATTCAGATGAAGCCGCTTTTCGATTATGCTCTTAAAACGGGCTATTTCTACACGGATCGTGTGCACAATACTCATCCTAGTACGAGCAGCACCTCATCGACAACTACGACAGCTTCAGTCGTTAATTCGATCTCATCTGGAGCTCCACCGCCAGTCGTTACCACTGCCTCTACGGCCTAGAACTCGTTTGTATTTTCTTTTTTTTTTCATTATTTTTCCTCATTTATCCTTGTTTTTTTTTTAAATTTTTGTCCGTTTCGTTGATTTTCAACTGTTTTTTTGTGAAATATTATAATTATTCGTGTCGTGAAACGGGTGTCTCTCGATCATTCAATTGCGTGGGTCACTACAACATTCTTCACATTCTCCTCACTTAGAAAAAATCTTTCAAAAAAATTTCCTTTTTTTTCTTTTTTTGTATAGCACGGTAAAACATGTTTGTTTTTCATTTTTTTTTCAACATCGCTGTTTTCGTTGTTATGTTTTATCTCTAATAATTAAATATATATATGAATAATTATGAGCGAAGTCTAGAAAGTTTGTTGCTTCCAATCTCTTTCTTCTCTCTCATTCACGTCATAGTCAAAAATTCCGATTGAAATAGAATGCCTTACAGTGTGCTCTGCCTTTTATTCATCGATTGATAATTTCTTCTTGGATTAGCAATTGCTTAGTGCTCATTCATCATCGGGTACTTGCTTCTTTTACTGTATTCCTTTCGTGTCGCAGACAATCTTTAATTTATGTATCCTTACTCCAACCGTTTTCCATTTGTCCTTAATTATAGCCCTCTAGTCAACCAAAGCGTTGTGATATCCTAGTGTGCTTTTAGATGTCTTCAGTTCAAAAAAAACCTCAATCATGACTTAATCGGTAATTTGTGCTTCTGAACATTTTATTTCAATCATATCTCGTTTTTCTTTTCCTTTCATAATTTTTCTTGTCACTCTTTAATTTTTTTTCAATTGTTTTTTTTTCAAAATAATAAAAAAAATAAATTTTCTACATTATCGTATTGATTACAAAAGAAAAATGAACTTCCAAAAACACTGCAACGTGTAGAGCGAAATGAAAAAACTTGTCAAGCGCCTTTGCCTTTGCCATATTCTGTAGTGAATCTATTCATGCAATGAAGACAATTAAAAAAACATTTCTTCATTTCAATTGTCCGCCTTTTTTCGGCACAATTTGTTAACAAGGTTCATTTATTTTCAAAGGCACACGCGAAAAGCTGCGCGGCTCTTGGCGCGAAAATCGTAATTACAACATTTTAAATAATATATTATCTTTGATCTGAGTCTTGGCGGTATTGTGCTAATAAAACATTTTTTCGTGTGTAAGTTTTTCTTTTCACTTTTTTTTATTGAAGAAAATGAGTGGAGCACGGAGGCCGCCAACTCCAACTGTTCGTTTAGCCAGTACCTTGAAAAGACGAAGTATTGGTAAATTGACGACTCCGGTTCTCAAAAAATCTAGCATCGGTTTGAAATTTTCGTTTTTTTTTATTGAAAAAACGTTTAAATTTCAGCGGCTCCGACAAATGCCACTAGACCACTCCAAAATACATTAATAACAGGCAGAGCAACGACATTTGGAACAGCGAATTATTCACGTGTCAGTACAATAAGTGGAAGACCGACAGCGAATGGAAAAGAAAATGTTGGTCCGCGATCATCGAGACAATCTGCCGAAGTGGCTCGAAATGGACCGACAACTCGAAACGGAGTGACTTCTGGAAGAGGGACGAGAAGTGTGACTGGACGAGTAGGAATACCGCCAAAAGAAAATCCTGAATTGGTTCTTCTTCGGGAAAAACTCAAAATGACCGAGGTAATATTTGGCAATATATCATCTATTCTAAAGTATTTAACAATTTAGGAAATTCTAGCAATGAAATCTGAAGATTTGACGAATAAGACGGAACAGTTAGCTCAGTTAGCGAAAGTCAACGAATTCCTGAAGAAAAAAATAGACGACGCAACCAGTCAATTGGAAAAACTGACTAATGAAGTTAAAGAAAAAACAGACGAATTATTTAAAAAGGAAAACGATTTGAGAAAACTTCATAATGATGTCGTTGATCTTAAGGTATTTTTATAAATAAGAAATAAAATGTAACATCAATTTATAGGGTCAAATTCGTGTAGTGGTCCGGGTCCGTCCGCTAATTGGTGCCGAAAAAGACAAATCATCGTCGACGTTGATTTCGTATCCTTCTAGGAACTCGATTGGAATCGAACAAGGCGGAAAATCGGCACATTTTGATTTCGAGAATGTATTTACGCCTGTGTTCACACAAGGTGAAGTTTTCGAGAATTTTCGAGAACTTGTTTTGGTACTGCTGATTCGGATAATTATCAGCTTTTTTATTTATTGTTTTAGTCTTGCCTTCATGGATATAATGTCTCGTTGATTGCATATGGTCAGACGGGTTCTGGAAAAACTCATACGATGCGCGGAGGAGCTGGTGATTTAGAAGGAGTTATTCCAAGATCGGTTGCTTACATTTTCGAGAACAAAAAAAGTTTGGAAATTCAAGGCTGGCAGGTTTTTATTTCCAGAGGATTGATTTTTTGCTATTATCTGAATTTTAGTTTGAGTTCTTTCTGTCATTTCTCGAAATTTACAACAATGAGGTGTTCGATCTTCTCGAGAAACACAATAAACTGAAAGTGCGACTTGCTGGAAACGATGTGGTCGTCGATGGTCTCACATCACATCAGATTTTGAAGCCAAATGACGTTGCGCAATGGCTTCAAGCATCGGATCGAAATCGGAAAACGGCATCGACAAATTGTAATGCGGAATCGTCGAGATCTCACGCAATTTTCCAATTGACAGTTCATGCGAAGCAACCCGAAACTCGTAAGCTTCAGAAGCCGTCCAATTCATCTCAAACTGATATTTTCAAGAAATTGCAACCACTTCTGTTTTGAAATTAGTGGATTTGGCGGGTTCGGAACGTGCAAATGAATCCGGTGCGATCGGAGATCGTTTCAAAGAGTTGACATTCATCAACCAATCGTTGTCGGCCCTTCAGAAGTGCATCAGTTTGCAGAAGCAGAACGTAAGCGATTTTTTATTCCTCTATTTTTTGAAAAATATTCTCAAAATTTTGAGGCAAACCATGTTCCTTATCGTGACACGAAGCTCACGCAGCTGTTGAAAGATTGCATTGGAGCTGGAAGCTCGAAGACAATGGTCATTGTTAATATAAATCCGACGGACGAGCAAATACAAGAATCGAAACGAAGTCTCGAATTTGCCGCCAAAATGCGCGAAACGATGATTGGCGCCGCCGTTCACCAACGAATTATATGATGTCACCCCTCGGGCAGTTTCATGTCAAATAATCCACTTCATTTGTAAATATTTAGTATTGTTGTAAAGCATGTATAATAGTTTTTGTACTAACACTGTTTTCATTTTGTTATCTCCGGAATAAATATGGAGTAAATCAATCTTGTTGTTTCCGTCGGCTGCCACTGGCAAGAATTTAAATGCTTTGAGTTAGCTTAGTAGGGTTTTTTTTTTAATTTTATTTCTTCCGCTTCTGCCCGGTGATTCACAAGACTTGGTATGTATTTGAAAATATTTAGAAATTTGAGTTTTTTGGCAATAGTGAGACGCTAAGAAGAAAAAGGGTTACTTTACGAGAACATTTTTTCGTATTTATCGTTTTTCAGTAACAAACTATACCGAATTTAAATATCCGCGGACCCCTCTACTGGCCGACAATAAACGGGGACGCGAAGGAAGGCGGCCACGTTTTTAAAAGACCTCTAACGACGTTCCAGCAGAACGGGCACCCCTAGTTTAACGTATTTTATGAACCGTCTTTTTTAATTTCCTTTTTAAAAATAATCATTTTCATGCATTTAATAAGTTAATTTAAGATAGTAAAATGGCTGAAGAAGACATTGATGATGATATTATTGACGAAGAAATGAATGAATGCAGTTCTTCTATTGACGCTGAGGTCAGTTATTGTCTTAACTTGAAAGAAAATCCGAGTTGTAGCAAGAAAATGATGGAAAAGAGGCGGATGATGTTCCAGTACTTAAAATTCTGGGAAATCAAGTTATGCACAATTTGGAGTCTTTAAAGTATAACAAATTTAAACATTTCGAAGTGTACGCAATATTGTTTAGAATTACAAGTTCGTGGGTTTCAAATGCAACTACTTTTTCCGCGTCGATTGATAAAACAACTACGGAAAAATTAGATACCATTTTATTACCGCAGCATCTAAAGAAATGTGTTCCGGAGAATGTAAAATCGTGGTTTCCTGTTCAGGTGAGAACTGATCAAAACTACATTATGATTTGCTTGCTTTTAGTATTCCGTTATCCCTTCTCTATTAAAAGAGATTCAATGTCCTCCAGCTGTTCGTCCAAGAGATGTTGCTATTGCAGCGCCAACAGGTAATTTTAAAAATCGTCATGGATGCAAATAATCGAACCATTTCAGGAAGCGGAAAGACTCTGTGCTATACTCTGCCAGTTCTCTCTGCCATAGGCGAAAGAAAGTCAAATGTATTGCACGCTGTTATTCTGGTTCCCGTTCAAACGCTGGTTTCGCAAATCGTTGAAGAATTTGCTCGATGGAACATTGAAGGATATGCGAGAATTGTCAGCTTATCGGGAGCACACGATCTTGAAAAAGAAGCGAAAATGTTGGAGACCGAACCACCTAACGTGATTGTTGCAACACCGGCACGTTTTGTTCAACATTTAACATCAAAAGTTCCACCTCCAGTGGATTTAAAAGGATTACGCTATTTGATTGTTGACGAAGCTGATCGAATGGGAAAATTGATGAGGGAAGAATGGCTTGAGCTTGTCGATTTTCTTTGCGGTGGAATGGATAGAATCGCATGTTTGAATGATGTTCTTCGACAAAGGAGGGCTCCACAGAAGGTAATATTTCTTTATTTATATCGATGGCAACAATTTTGTTTCAAATTTTATATTACAATCGCAAATTAACGAGCTCCCTGTGTAGGTTTGTGAGTTTGATTTTAATTGTGATCCACTCCACAAATACTCGGAGTGCTCGTTTGTTTTTGCGATGGCATTATATGAATTTCCGGTATTCAGATTATTCTTTCTGCTACTCTTTCCAAAGACGTCGAAGAACTTCATTTGTGGAATTTATTCAAACCACGCTTGTTCTCAGCCACTGCCAAACATTGCGATGATGTGAGTGGTTTGTGAGGCAATCGCGTTAAACCTCTTGCTATTTGTCAGATTTCCGAAGAAATTAATCATGTTTCCGGCGTTCTCGCTCTTCCTTCTTCAATTACTCATCGAATAATTGTTTGTGATATGAAATACCATCCGCTTGCCGTTTATCAGCAGATTATTCGTCACGATTTCAACAGGGTCATTATTTTTGTCAACGAAGTGTATGTGGATTTAATTGGACTTGTTTCGTTTATTCGATCGTTTAGAAATTCTTCGAATCGATTGGCGCATGTTCTTAAAGAATTGTGTTCTCAACAATACGAGGTTGCTTATTTCACCGCGAAATTGTTTGGAAAACGAAGATACCAAATGCTGAAGCGATTCAATGAGAATCCGGTAATTTTTTAAACGAATTAAAATTAACAACAAATCCGATATTTCAGAAGAGAATTCTGATTTGTTCCGATGTTTTAGCGCGAGGAACAGATTTGAATCAAATTGATTGTGTGATCAACTACAACTTACCCGCAGATGATAAACTTTTTGTTCACAGGTTGATTTCAGTTTTCTCAAATTTATATATGTATATATATTTTTTCAATTGGCTAATTATAGAGCTGGGCGTACGGGACGTGCTGGACAAGAAGGATATGTTATTAGCATTGGAGATAAAGATACGGTAGGGATTTTATTGGATATTTTAATAAAAGAAAAGAAATTCCAAAAAAAACACAGAAAATTTCCAATATATAAAATTTAAGTGAGTTCTAAACAAATTTGAATAATTTTTAGAAAAGGATATTCATTAAAATGCTGAAGGCAACAAATCTTTGGGGAAATACGCGAGAAGAGATAATAGAGGAATATCAATTCGAAAGAGATAAAGAGATGTAAGTGATTCTTCATTTTCTTGTTTTATTTTTTTCTCAATTTTTTTTAGCTACTCGAAAGCTCTGGAAAGTCTTAAAAACGCTATTGAAAAAGAGCATGGAAATCAAGCGGCGAAACCGACGAAACGAAGTGGTTTTGAAGCGAAATTGCGGAGTCGACCGAATGCGGCCGGACAGAAGCCGTGGCTTAAGCGCAAAAATGACGAACAATCGTAGAAATTTGTTGTTTTCGTTTTTTTTCTTTGTTGATTTTTTGTTGATGTTCACGTTGTTATGATGAAATTCTTGTTTTCGACTTTTAAAAAATTAATTTCAAGAATGGGTTCAGACCATTTTCCTACTTTATTCATTCAAATTTGCGTATGATTTTTATTATGATTGGGATTCAGATGAGTAGTTCGGGTGTGATAACCCAACTGGTGACTGATGCATTGTCGATGAATGCTGCTCAAGACTGGGAGGATGTCATACTCTTCACTCCTTATTTTCGTATGTTTTCGTCATTCCAAAATAAACCAAGCATCGGTCTAAATATTTGCAGCCGATCAGGCTCTGATGTATGAATATGCGGATTCCTTGGCGGTTCAAACATTTCTTCGAATGACTTCGCTTCCTTTTAATGTTCGTCAACGGCCAAATGTGGAATTTATGTCGCCGGATGGTAAAATTATTAAGAGAGAGAGAGAGAGTTCATAAAGAAAAACGACATGAATCGGATTTTAGGTGTTCTACCACTTCTCAAAATCAATAAAACTCTTATCACCGGCTTCAACACGATTGTCGATTTTGTGTATAAAAAAGTAGAAAATTTATAAAATTGTTTGTTTATAAACTATGGATATTCATTTAAAGGGTGTCACTCTGACTTCTCATTTGAGCGAGACACAGGTGGCGGATATGAGAGCAAACATTTCGATGATTGATCATTTGTTGAGAACAGTCGAGGTATATATTGTTTTGGTTAACAAATAAACGAGAAATTGATTCAGATGTACGTTTTGTGGAAACACGAAGACACTTACCAGCAGGTGACAAAAATCCGATATGGAAGTGTCTATCATTTCCCGTTGACGATTATTCTGCCGTTTTTGAAAAGAAGAGAAATTCTCACACATTTAGCCGATAAGGAATGGGATACAAAAGTATAGACTAAATAGAAATGTCTGAAAACTTGAAATATTCTAGACCATCGATGAGGTTGGAGAACAAGCCGAGAAGGTATTTCGCGCGTTGTCGGCTCAACTTGGATCCCAGAAATATCTGAGCGGCGATCTGCCAACCGAAGCCGATGCTCTTCTGTTCGGCCATTTGTACACTATCATCACTTGCCGTCTTCCGTTGACCAACATTACCAACATTCTCAAAGAATATCCGAACCTCATTGAATTCACTAGACGCATTGAAGAGCAATATTTCAAGTCTTAATTGCCTTATTTTCAGAAAGTAATCCTAGATGTTATTTTAGTTATTCTTAGAAGTACACAATAAAAGTGTTAAAGATTGAAAAATGACATAAACGCCAAAATTAGGAGAGTAGATACGGCCGAGGCATTGCTTTCGGAAATTCCCCACGGATAACTAAAAAATGATGTGTATTGCATTACTATGATATTTTGAATACCCTTGAACAACATCTTTACAGGGACCATTGGGAATCGAAACTGATGGAAGCGGTTTGATCTCTGGATTACCGATGCATGTCGGATCAACCCAGCATTTGAGAATTTTTATGATCTGAACAGATTGATTCGAATTAAAAAAAAAAAGAACTTGATTTACTTGATATCTTGCGTTTGTCACAGTATTTGGATCACATGTGTTCGGTTGACGAAGATCCAAATGATGCGCCGATGCCGGAATTTCCATAACATAAATTCCCCTTGAGACATCGGTCGCATTTTCGGCGAAGCCTCCTCCCGACCATGGGTCCAAATGGCCTTGTCTGGAAACGTTGAGTTTGAAACTTTTAGGATTTAAATCGACATACGTTAAAATGAGATTGCTGGCTCCGTCAAGAGTGAGACCGTACAATGTCTTAATCGCATCCACATTCCAAACATTCGTACTCCAGTTATACCTTCAACACATTGCGATTTCATTTGAAAACGAAATACGGAAAATACTGTGCGAAAATTCCAGCGCATTGCTCTTGCAACAATTGAAGAACATCAGTTCCGCATTCGTTCCAGAAGAAGTCGTTGCTTCCACCGCGCGAGCACATGTACATCACAATCTCCGAGCATTCTTGCCACGGCCATCCAAGCGCATCATCACCGAGACCGCCGGTGCCGGTGTCGCCACAAATCGAGAAATCGATGCAATATGTGAAGTTCGTATTCTAAACCAACGATGATCGATGAGTAGAGGGTTTAAGTTGATTAGTGCGAATGTGCCTTTAAATTAGTATGGAGCAGACACTTTGGTCCCTCCAGTTTCTAAACGCTGTCTACTAAACAATGACAATTTTAAGATTGTTTTGTCGAAGTCAAACGATTTGACGAAATTAAAAAAATTATTGGCTATGTGCCAATGCGTCTCGAGGAAGCGAGAAGTACGCAAGACGAATGCGTACATTGCATTATAGTGTACGCGCATTGAATATTCAGTCAACGAAAAATTTAAATCTACACAGATTTTGCGAATTTGAAGGCCCCGCCTCATTTCAGTCGTTTGACGCCGACAATACTTAAACTATATTTTTAAAAAATTGTACGTTGTTATAGTTGTAATAGACATTTGAAGCTTGAGCAACAGCAGCCACCAATTGTTGGTCTGTGAATGAGTTTCCTGTGGCATTCATGAATCCGCATGCAACCTGATCATGAGAAATCATTATTGCTAATTTTCCAATAATGCTTTTTTCTCACCGACACCGGCCACGCTGGAAGTGGTTCAAGGAATCCAGTTGGATACGGATAATCAACCATAGCCATGTATTCGATGGCTTCTCTGAAGTAGCTATTCAAATTCCATCCGTCAGTTTGATTCCGAATTGGTGTTTTTGGGTCGAGCTTGAAGTATGTATTGTTGTTGAGCCACGCGAGACCGTCAGTGGTCGATGACAAATTGAGAACGGCTTGCCAAAAATTTTGCAGAATATAGCGATTGCAACCGTTATCAATGTAGGTACGCGTTGTGATGCTGTCAAATGCTCCTGCGTCAACTGGTCCATCATGGAAGTAGATCAATGGCGCTGATCCAGCCCAAGCGCTAAAAATTATATATTTATTTGTCGCCCTCCACATTACATATTCGAGAATTGTATACGAACCCAGTAACAATGTGCGGGTACTTCTTGCGGAACCAGGCTGACAACATTCCTCCGTATGAGCCGCCAAATGATATAACTGGAGCATCGGCCGGATAAGAAATATTGAATTGGTTGTTTGGTTTCTAAATATTGAATAATTGAAATGATCAGTGGTAACATTGATCACTTTGAACTCGGTAAGAACTTCGGCAAAATCGGCGAGCGCTTGTTCGGATGTCAAATAACCCATATTTTGAATATTCTAAATTATTAAAATTATTAAATACTCTGTTTTCAATTAGGCATTGAGACATTGTAAGAATCTTTCTTGAATGGCTGAGTTTGACCATAGAATCGATGTTCGGCAAAGATAATGGTGGCATGGAAAATGGGGGCAATATCAAACATCATTCCCTAAAAGCATCAAATTCATTTTTCGCCCACTTTTCAAAAAAGTACCGTCGCTGTGACAAAAGATTCCAGCGATCCTTCATTTCCCGTATAGAAGAAAATTGGTCCGCCAGGTTGATAGAATGTGGTATTAATCATAATTCGAAGATCGAAGTTTCTTGTGTCACTGTAAGTGAAGTGATCAAGCTTCATCCCTCTGTACCAAATGGTTTGGACATTACTGGGAGCAGCATCGAGATTAGACTTCTGAAAAAAGAGAATGCTCGTTGAACCATATTTCACCGGGTATTAATTGGAAGCCCCTCTCCGAATCGCTTATCATAAAATCGAAACCGCCACATACTATACAGAATTTTTGAGTCGATAATAACTATACAGAATTTTTGAGTCGATAAAAGTTTGCAATTCAAAAATTGCACTCTTTTCCTCATAAAAATATCAAAAAAAATTTGCAAGTTGTGAAATTTTCATTTCAAACGAGTGTCGTTGATTTGAAAACTGGTTAGGATCGTGACCGACCATTAAAGAAGTCGATTTTGTTTTCGAAATCCCTTTTTTATTGGAATTATGAATTAAATCCTATTCTAAACAAATTTTCGAAATCAGAAAAGTTACCGTGAAGAGTCTCTTGATGCGTCGAGCTTCTAACAAGCCGACGAATAATAGAAGGGCGACCACTCGCATGCCGTCACAACTCTGCGCTACAACCTAATCAAATTTCACAATTTCGCCCTGAACCTGATAAGAGAACCACCCAAATGTTTGAGACGAAATTTTGACCTCCGATCGATCATCAATGTAACGATTATTGGTTTATATTGTAGTCTGGCTGGCAGGTGCCCACCCTGGAATAACGAGTGCCACCGAATGAGCACCTGCCTCCTTATTTGGAATTGAAGGAGGTGATCGTGTTTGCTTGCGAATGCCTTTAATTATACAGTATACATTACAAGTGCATGGTTAATACCATATTCGAGGCATTCTCATTTTCATGAAACGGAAAGACGCTGAAAAATATTCACTCAGATCTCATTCAATTTTTGCTCTGTTTCTTTTTTTTTAAACTAAAATACTAGAAATTGTGATTTATGATATTACGCATGTTTTCTCCTATCAACCATTTAGAATCGGATGTTAATGGGACCATAATCTGACCGCGAATCCTCAAGGTTTCATTGGCCAATTGCGCGACACCTGTTTTCCTGCATTTAATTGGCTCCTAACACTCCTGTATTTGATTGAATCGGACGCGCACATATTGCCCTTGTTCGGGGGGCACACCGCCAAAGGACGACACGCACAACTTGTGAAACAATTACCAGCGGCCGTTAATTGCACGAAGCTCGAGAAACACGGCGCGCGACGACGAAGGCCGTACGAAGAGAGACGCTCCGCCCACACCGAATGTCTCCTTATTTCGAACACCTGTCTCGTCGGGATGCAGCGCATTACATTGCGCGCGTTTTTTCTTTTTTGTGATTGAAACATCCAGAGAAGCCACCAGTTTATTCCTTTTGTTTATTTGTTTTTTAATTATTATTCGATAATTAATTCTGATTCTTCATTCGTTTCGAAGTGAATTACGATATTCCGCTATCGCACACACTTATCGCAAAAAACGAGCACTTTGAATAATTGTGGACCATCGAATTTTTTCGAGGCGGCGATTAAAATTTGAATTTAGTCGAATCTGGGTGACCTGCGAGTCAAATTCACCGTAAATCAACCCAGGGTGCTCGATTTTTTGCGAATGAAATATTATGCAAACATTGAACAGATTTTGCCATAATCAAAATTTTTTAAAATCAAAATTTCTATTTAAATTTTCGTATTTCCGCCTCACTGTTTTAGATAAACTCTTTTTTTAAGCTGTCACGTCATGTATGAGTCTCATGATTAAAATATTCGAATATTCGAATTTAGTGAGTAGATATTATTTCGAAATTACTTATTTATGAAATCGAAGGTTCAAATTGATGGGAAGATATAAAGTGAGAAACTTTCTATTGAGTGAGAACATTTTTAGAAGGATATTTGTGAAAGATGGACAACATATCGTAGAGCCAGGGATACATTAAATTAGATTGTTGGAAACTCCCTGTGAAATACAAATTATCCTAATAAATCTTTCTTAAATCTTTATATCGGTATTGAAATATTTTTCGACAAAAAAAAATCGAAGCATGATTTTCCAAGCGGTTTTTCATATATTTAAAATTTCAAATATTCACAAGATAATATCGAATGGCCCGATTTCGGAATATATGGGGTTTTTTTGCGGGAAACCCATACTTAAGTGTCACCACCTCGCACCGTCATGCTCATTATTGAAATGTCTGCGTCTCAACGAGACGATTCGCAGGTTTCGCACCAATTCAAGCACGTCAAGGGCGACACCGCCACTGGTATGCTAATTTGAAGGACTTTTCATCATCATGTCATCTCGACGCAAAACTACGAAATTATATGTGTATGTATTGTGCTGCTGCTGCTGCTAGTGTGAGTGAGTGTGTTCCAAAAAGATAGCCATCGCAAACCTCAATAGTCGCCCTTTTCGAGGGCGGAACATGGCGAGAGGCGGCCGGAAAATGGCGCACTCGACAAACATATTATATTTGTTCAAAAGATACCTATCAAGGTATTTGAATGCTTGATCAGTCGGCGCGTCAAAACAATACAACAAAACAGTTTGTTCAGATGCATCTCTTTAACACCTTCTTAAGCTTCATACCCCCCCATACGATTAACTACTCTAATTTATAGTTCAAGTGTTTACAAAACATTCTAAACTCTAATTATTCGTCTCGTTCTTCCACTTTCTTACAATATCTAGAGAAATCTGAAATTCAGCCTTCAATTAAAAAAAATTGTTTGCCATTCGATTGGTTTTTCAAACACCGCCATTTCGCCTAATTTTTTTTCGTTTCGCTTTTCGCAACTTTTACTTGTCGCATCGCGAAAACCCGCAATTTTCCAGACAACTCAACATCGATGCGAATTCTTCGATGAGAATACCGATCTTGTTCATTCTCATTTTTCTGCTGCACGATTCCAGCGAATTCACCGAAGAGACGCTCACGTTTTCCGTTCAAGAAGGCGAGTAATTGAGACACAAATTTCGCCGATTATTGTTGGCGAAGCTGAATAGAAAAGCTGTGTGTGTGTGAGAAAAAAACAGGATGGATCGCAGAAATGCTGCCAAGTGTGAAATAATTATGGAATTGTATTTTGCAGATGCGCCGATTGGAAAGGTTATTGGGAGGATCGATGGCAAGCCGGGATACACATTTCGCGTGTCGAGATCAAATTCCAAGATAGATTTCGATGATCGCACTCTAGAGGTATGGTAGAAGCGAGCGTGAATAACAAAAGGGATCCTCGGAAAAAAAATCGGAGAAACTGCGTGAAGTCTGCTGATGGTCTCAACAGAGTTCGAGTTTGCACGTACCTTCAGCAGGGTGTGCGCAGCTTCTCATAAGTCTACAAAACCAGGGCACGACTTTCCCAAGTAGGACGAAACTATAGCGAGAATTGTGCTATTCATTTTCATTGTCAAAAAAATGAGCCTTTGGTTGTTACGAATAAACATTGGTTTTTTTGGTACGGCAATTCAAATTCCGATTTAAACAACGGCTCAACAAATTTTTGAGCAAACTCGAATTTTCTAAAACAATCTTTCTCTTTTTTTGCGATGGCAATATTGGGCGCAAAATACCATATTTTTAAACGAAATTTTAGAAATTTTTATTAATTACAGACTTACGAGAGGATATTATCCATTAATTTTGTTAAATTTTCATCAAATTTGTTTTCGAATAATTTTAAATTTTTTTATTGTCGAGGGAGGCGGGACCTTCAAATCCGCGAAATTAGTGTAGATTTAAATTAATTGTTGACAGAATATTAAATGCGCGTACACTATAATGCAATGTACGCAATCGTCTTGCGTACTTCTCGCTGCCTCGAAACGCATTGGCACATAGCCAATGATTTTTTTTAAAATTTTCTCTAGTCGTTTGACTCTGACAATATTATCTCGTGCAAAAAAAGTAGATCACATTCAATTGATTATTTCTGACCGCGGAATATTTTTGCATTTTCAGATAAAAACGAATGCTCATCTCGACCGCGAAGAGCAATCCGAAATCGAATTGCTGCTCATCAGCACACCTCCATCGATTGTGCACATTCGTGTTGAAATACTCGACGTGAACGACAATGCGCCAGCATTCACAACCCAGTGCCCTCAACAGGTCACAATACCGGAAACAGCGCCACCCGGCTGGCACCTGACCATAAATGGCGCCAGCGATCCGGATGTTGGAGAGAACGGCCGAATTGTTGGCTATCGATTGGAGCCGAATGATAAATTCGAGATTGTGCAAGACGAAGGAGTGACAATGCTGGAACTCAAATCGAAACTCGATCGCGAATCCGTCGACTTTTACTCGATCAATTTGACGGCAACCGATGGAGGACAACCAAGTTTGTAAGTGCGCGACCAACAGATAATCCCTCGTCTTTCCACCCGATTAATTTTTGAGCTTTTTGTGAAGTGGGGCTAGGGCTGTAAATGGATTTAAAATAGTCGTCTGCGTCGGCGGCGGCTGATTGTTTGGTTCCAACCGTTCCGGAGAATTGATTCGATTGGCGGTGTCATTCAGTTGATCTCTCAACCGCATCTGTATAATTTGATGTTGGAAACCAAACAAATTATCGGAAAATTCAAAGTAGAACCATTTCATGCAAACAAACCATTTTCGGATGAGAAAAATAGCAATTTATATTATTTACTTTTTATACGGTCGCAAATTTCCCGGAACTTTTCTTCTGGACATTAGCAGGGGAGAATAAAAATTGCATTGATAAAATAATAGTTTGTATGTGGAAAGTATTACTATCGCAAAGAAACGAGTACCATGTGTAGATTTACAGCGAGTTTGATTCGCAGGTTATCTTGAGTACGGTATCCGAATTCCCACAGTTTAAATTCGAATTTGAATTGGCGCCTCGAAAAAGTGCCGATGGTCCACAATTATTCAAGGTTCTCGTTTTTGCGATGATAATATTAATTATTTGATCCAATGTGGTGATTTCGGCTTCCTCGTGTGTGTGTGTAGGTGTGATTGGCCCGAATTTGGCCCCATTGTTCAATCACGTTTTGTCCCAGAAAAACCTGCCAACCATCCGAAACTACAAGTTCGAAAAAAATCTTATTTGTAAATATAATTAGGACTGTTTGTTGATCTGCAATTAGGAATTCAAGTCTTAAATAATGTCTTTTAAAATATCAAAAAAAAATTGAGGGGGTTTAAAATAGCGGAAGCAAAAATGTAGGTCACCGAGTTTATTCTTTATTACGTCAAGAATAGTTTAATTTAAATTTTGTATCGAATTGTTTTGCATTTTTCAAGATTCTTAGAAATCAGTATCGAGCGAGTAGGAATCGCAACATCCGGTCGGCGATCAGCGCTCATCCGGAACAAAACGTTTTCGATGATTTTTTTTTTCATCATCGCCTTCTCATTGCGATTTGTCCTTGCGTCGTCAAATTAGCATATTATCGTTGTGCGTTCGTCGACCCCCCTTCACCATTTAGCACAACCACGACACCACCAGCAAACCAAAAAAGGGACGGGGAGGGCGATCGCCGCGTGGCACACACTCTCGACAATTAGGCGGTCGCTGGTGCCGCCACTGTCGCACATATGGTGAGTAAGGGTGGGAAGGGACCGGAAACTGGAAGAGAAGTCGAAAATCGAAGCCAAACAGGTGACACAATTAGAAGGCGAATAGGTCGGGAGACACACACACCGCACAATTTGCGATAATTATATGGAAACAATATAATACTCTTCAAATGCAGCAAAAAATGCAACGAACGGCAGAGAAGATTGAAGGGAGAACAAAAAACGAAACGGAAAAGCGAATGTGATATACAATTATTATACATTATTGTTGGTTTATATCCAATGAGTTTGCAGTTGGGAGGCGGGGGTCCGAAAGAAAAATTTTTCAAATATTATTTATTTATTTATTTATATATGTATGTTGATTTGATTTAAAGTTATCAGAAAAAAATAGAAAATGGTTATTTTTCGTAGCAAAATTAAAACATGAAAATTTGATTACCCCAAATATTGGAGACCGCTTGCCAAATGAAGCATATTGCTCTTGTTCCTTGAGAAATTTGATCGAGCGACTAATCATCTATAATGCGCATGCAAGCCTTTCAGCAAAAATTCAATTCGTCAAAAAATGTTGAATCTTGACGAAGAAAATCTTGAAACGTGCGGGTTTCGTATTTATCACGTGTTTGTCTGTTGACACGCTGACATAATTTTGCACACATTTCATTTAACACTCATCAATTGCCTTTTAAAATGATTTTATTTATATTTCCTGGATGAAATGGAGGGAAATAGAAATTAAAAATAAGCTGGAACTTTTTCCTATAAATACATTTTTAGCGATTTTTAAAAATAAATTTGAAAAATAAACTATGGAAAAGTATTAAGCTTAATATTAACGTGCGTAAACTACTGTTTAAAAAAAAAGAAACCAATTTAACTTTTCTTTTTATTTCAGAAGTTCCTCTTGCCTCATTAACATTGTGGTTCTCGACACGAATGACAATCCTCCGAATTTCGGTGTGCGATTACTCGAGATTGAATGGAACGGTGTCGCTGGCGCCGAAATTCTCCACTTGAATGCCACCGACGCGGATGACGGCGATAATGCTCGAATCGTCTACCGTATTCTGCCCGACGGCGTGCCGTTCTCGATTGTCAACGATTCGATGGTCATCGCAACGGTATGAGAGGCGATTTGTTTGCTCACAAATCACACATGACACCAACTTAAGACTTGTTTTATTCATTAATGACCTTTTTTGTATTGTTGAGACCACTACTACGAATACTCGTTGGTGATTTTTGGTTATTCTAGAATAATGAGACCGAATGCGTCTTCGAATTTACTGTCGAAGCGAGGGACTCCGGAAATCCGCCATTGATCTCGACACTTGATGTCGTGGTGAGAGTGCTCAATTCGAATCAACACGACCCGAATATTAATATAAGGTACTCAACTGGGGGGGGTCTGAATTCAAATTAAATTAATACGGTGAAAATTAATAGATTTTATCCATCGGAATTCGATTTTGTGCTTATCCATCAGGAAGATATCAACGGAAAAACGGTTGCGATTTTGTCCGTCACTGATTCTGATGGCCCTCTTGGAAAAAATTCAAGTATTCGACTTGAAAGTGGTATGTTTTGGTATTATTTTTTTTTCAAAACGAAAATCGAAAAAAATCGTATGAAAAATATTTAGGAAATGAGGACAACATTTTCGGATTAATTTCGAGAGCATCAATCAATATTCTCACTTTGCGACATGTTGAGAATGCTGTAAAGGAGAAGTACGAACTGGTTTTCGTCGCAAATGATGGGCAGGGTCCGACGGAAAGGAAAAGTCGAAAAACTCTCAAGGTTCACTCACTATTCTAGAAACACATCTCATTTTATTATTTGAGTTGATTTTCAGATTTTCTTCGAAAAATTCGCAAAAGAACGCCAAATTGATTTGGCGGAAAAACAAAAAATCGTCATCGCACGTGACGTGGCATCTGGAAGTTTTGTAACCAAAATTTCTGGCTGTGAAGATTGCCAATTTGAGATTATTTCGAATGAATCGCCATTTAGAATTGATTCTGAAAATGGTTTTAAAAAATTTGCGGTGATTTCTTATTGAAAAATTTCTAGGAATTATAATGACATCGACTCAATTGCCACCTGATATATCCAGTTATCGATTGAAAGTTCGAGTAAAACCGCCACCGCCGAGTACAAAATATGCTGAAACTGAAATAATAATCGATATTTTGGAAAAGGCAAAAACCATCGGCTTTAATTTTATTATCAAATAAAAATTGTTTTTTAGGAATCCTCAATTATTGATTCATCGAATTCCTCGGAAATCATTAAACTATCAAAACGATACCAAATTTGGACGCATCGGAAGGCAACATCGGGAAGTGTGATCGGAAAACTACCGAAACCGATGACTTCTCAACAAATTTACTCGATTACTCGAAATCATTCGGATATTCCGTTTGGAATATTTCCCGATGGGACCATTTATGCACTGAGGAATTTGATGGATGCCGAAGAATTCTATATGATCGAAATCACGTTGAAATTCAATTCCGCCATTCAAACATCAGTGCTATCGATTCAAATGAGAAATTCGAATGAAAATTCACCAAAATGTGGGCGAGAATTGTTCAAAATTAGCGAGAATCGAGAAGCCGGAACTCTCATCGGATTCATTGAAGCTTCCGACGACGACAATGGAGCAAATGGAGTGGTGTCGTATAATCAATTGGATTCCGAGCATTTGATCTACATCGAATCGATTAGCGGAAAAATATTTGCGAGGAAGTCGTTTGATGCCGAACAAATTGAGACAATCAAATTTCGATATTCTGTCAGGGATTACGGTAGCGATTTGATTATTCGAAGAGAACCAAAAAAAACTAATTATAGGGAATCCAATTAAGGAAACGAAATGCGAAGCAATTATTGAGATTATTGATCAGAATGACAATATTCCTCATTTCGGATTCCCTTATTTTAGTGCAAATCTCTCAATTGGACCATTAGTTACGGTTTCTGCGACGGATTTGGATCGGGATTCGAAAAATAACAAAATTGAATATCGATTGATCAATTTCTTGGATTATTTTGAGGTTTTCGCGAACGGAATTTGAATATAATTGTCATTTGGATTTTAGATTGACAAATCGAACGGCACCATTTTCTGTAGAAACACAAATATTGAGGGAACCCGCGTGAATTTGACGATTGAAGCTGTCAACGTCGATTCGAGCGATTTTCTTTATTCGACATCATTTGTTTTGATTGGAAATAATAACGAGAAATCCGAATATATTGATATGAAATCATCAAAAACCTTGAGGTGAAATTATTATTTTTTTGTTTTCTCTATAAATTTGAGACGTTTTTTTTTGCAGAATATTCTCAAATGACATTCCTGGAACACGAATCAAAACTCTCGAATTTGAATCCAAAAGTCAAGTGTTTTGGAAAAGCACTGATGATTCATTTTTTGTTGATTCGAGAGGGAATATCATTTTGGAAAAACAACCAAATAAAAGTCTAAAAAAAGTGAAAATGATTTCTGGAATTCGTGGATCGAAATTCCGCAAAACATTCGAGTTTAACATCGAATATCTCAAAGAATCTCGTCCAGGTGATGATGATAATGTAATTGAGCTGAAAATGAAGGTAGGATTATTATTTTGATTTTTAATCAATTGAAAAAACGTTATTATTTAAAGGAAATGAATGAGACTGGAAAAATACTGGAATTGGAGGGATTCGGATGGAATATACTTCGAATCATCGGACAAGACTCATTCGAAGTTAGGAATTCGTCAATATTTGGAAGCATTTCAAGTGAAAATTTTATTTTTCTAAAATCGAAAAGGTAAATATTTTTGTCATTTTGTTGTTGATTTTAAAGGGACATGCATTATAGCGCTTCAAAAATCGTTCATATCTCAATAAAAGACAGCAAAATTCGGAAAAATTGCTCGAATTCGGCCTATTTGGTTTCTCCGCCTGATACTGTTCGACTTTCTTGTCGGAATCTAACGATTTCCGATAATAGTGGCGATATTTCATTGAATGACAATTCATTGATTATTGATGAAATGGATTCCATTCTCAAATATGTACAAATATTGTCTGAAAATGAGCAAAGGATAAATGTCACTCTGATTCGAGACATGCTCACTGAAGAAGTCAAATTCCTCACTTCGAATGTTCTCATGCTTCTCTCGTCATCACATTCGATTGGTTTGTTTCACTGTTATTCCTATTTCTATTTTTTTTCCAATTTAAAGGAACTTCATTTGGCCGAGTTACGGCAGAATCGGCTCATCCAATTCGATATTTTATAACCGGAACGGATCAAATATCGATTGATTCGGAAAATGGAGAACTAATTCTTCGCGAAAGATTCTTCGACAATCTCAATGACATCATCATTGTGGCGGTGATACCAACAGGAATTGCGAAAACTAAAGTATGAATTTTACTAGTACTGGTTTTTTATTTAAGTTTGAAATTTTGAAAATTTCTAGGTGACTGTTGAAGTTGTCGAAGATCATCTTCATCTATCCAAAACCAATTTTGTGGTTTTTGTTCCGAGAAATATTAAAATAGGTGTTCCTATTGATCGTATTGACGTCGGAAGACATAATGTGATGATTGATATAATCGATGCATATTTTTATGTGAGAAAAGATCAAATTTATTCCAAAAGATTATACAATAATGGCTCGAATGTAAGGGGAATCTAATAGAAAATTCGCCAATTATTCATCATATTTCAGCCTCGATTTTATGAAATCCAGGGTATTGTCAAAAAAGGAAAATTGACATCGGAGATCAATGTAGATTTTTTTATGTGTGTCGATTTTTCACATTTTGAAAATTTCAGATAACTATGGTTTTCGAAGAGCCGACTAATTCGAACAGCAATCTGAAGGAAAATGAGCTGGTCTATTCAATAGAGGAAAATCGAGCAATTGGAAGTGTTGTTGGAATGGTCCCGAATGGTAATTTACCATTTTTAAATGAATACTCTGATTATTTTTATAGCGAAAAATGCAAAATATCGATTGATTGACTCAACGGCTGGAATTTCAATTGATGATAATGGAATTGTTCGAACGACCGAGGTTTTTGATCGAGAAAATGTAAGCTCTTCAATATTTCTTTTAAGCAACATTAATTTTTCAGACGGGTGTGATAAAAACGAAAATGATTGAAGCAAATGCCCATCGAATTTGGGATATTCTCATTTTTGTCGATGATTTGAATGACAATCCACCATTTTTCACACATCAAATCGAGAAATTAAATATTCGCGATGACACTTTTATTGGAAAAGTTGTACACCGATTGTCGTGGAATGACTTCGACTCGGACGCCAATGAATTTTTTATCGAAATTGTTGACGGCGACCCGTTCGATTGTCTAGAAATCAATGATCACGGAGAAATCAGACTCAAACGAAAATTGACTTCAAATTTTAATGCGACTTTTCGGCTTTACGATTCAAAAGCTCCATTCACTTGTAAGAAAACCATTTTTGACAATGAATGTTCGAGTTTTTCTTTCAGATAATTTTGTCGAATCGACTATTGAATTCACTATTTTGCGCTCAAATCCTCCTATTCCAAAATGCTCAAATACTTCATTCGTCTTATTTGGAAAGCCGCCATCCATCGGAGAGAAGATTGGAAAAGTGATGAGCGACATGGATCAAGTAGTATTCAGAATTCGACCAGAATCACTGAAAGATTCTGAATTCGCTATTGATGCGATGAGCGGCGAAATCGAGGTTTGTAAATATATTTTATTTTTTTATCGATATTTTAAAGACGAGAAAACTGATTACGGATGACATTGAAATGATTGTCGAAGTTCTGACGTACGATGAGCATCCTTCAATCGGATTCTGCACTATTCACATAAAAGTCTCTCAAATTGTCTGGAATGAAGATTTTCATTTCGTGAACAATTCGGACATTTATCAGTTTTCCATAAAAGAGGTTAGAGTCCATTTTGGAATGAAAATAAATCGAATAAATATTAAGACGGCTGATCGTGGTTCTCAAATCGCACAAGTTCGAACAACCAGTTTAAATGTTTTGTATTCTTTGGAACCTTCGAATTCCAATTTCACGATCTCGCCATTTGATGGAATAATCTCAACCAACTCATTTTTGGATTACGAACAAACTCGCGAATACTTGTTGAATGTCACTGTTACCAATTTGAATACCGACGAGATCATTAAAAAGTATTGCAAAAATAGAAAATGCAATATTTCATTAATATTTTCAGATCCGTCAAAATTAAAGTTATCGATGAGAATGATGAAAGTCCTCGTTTTATAACTGGCGACACAGTTCATTTGAAAATTGCCGAAAATTCTCCAATCTCCTATCCCGCCATAATCGGAAGCTCGATTGCCGAAGATCTCGACGAAGGTCAAAACGGAATTGTGACCTACAGTATCGTTGTTGGGAACACGTCGGCATTTGCGATCAATTCGACATCTGGAGACATACTTTGTTTGTATGCGTTGGATCGAGAAGACATCGACGAGTATGAGCTGATAGTTGAAGCCAGAGATGTTGGTAGTCCGCCGAATTCAGCGACGTCGAAAATTATAGTGAGTGTGGAGGATGCGAATGACAATTTTCCGGTGTTCCGACAATCGGCGTATTTCGAAAAACTTGTGGAGAATGCCAAAAAGGGTGTTCGAGTTGTGCAGGTTTTCGCCGATGACAAGGACGAAGGAATGAATGCACAAATCAGGTATTCGATATTCATATTGTCAGAGTCAAACGACTGGACAAAATTTAAAAAAATTATTGGCTATGTGCCAATGCGTCTCGAGACAGCGAGACGATTGCGTACGTTGCATTACAGGGTGTCATTTAAGTTCCCGCACAACTTTGAAGACGTATATTTCTGAAACTAAAAGTCCAAATCAAACGAGACTCGAAATATTTTTTATCTATAGTATAACAAATATTTATCTATTAACTCTTTTCGATTCGGCCTCCTTTCGCAGCTATGACTTCACGAAGACGCTTTGGGTAGGATTCGACTGTGGTACGCAGGTATTCGATGGAAAGATTGTCCCATTCCGCCAGTAATGTCTTCTTCAGAGTCTCTACATTTTAGTGGGGTTTTGCGTTGACCTTCTCCTGCAAGACCCCATCACGGAAAAGTCAAGCGGGTTCAGGTCAGGGGAGCAATCAGGCTATTCGGATGACTTGATGAAGTCGGGAAAATGGGTCTGGCACCACTCCACAGTAGTTTTGGCAGTGTGGGCGAGTGCTCCGTCCCGCTGAAAGACCCATTTCTGCCCACCGAAATGCGTTTGGGTCCAGGGCATCACATGCTTCTCCAAAATGTCCCGAACGTAGACTTCTTTGTTCACTTTCACCCCCCTGATCCACGAAAACCAGGGGGCACTTCCCTGTTGAGCAGATGGCACCGAAAACCATCACACTGGCAGGATGCGAGGCTCGATGAATTGTTCTGCCTTTCCCAGAAGCTTGCTGGGATGTCTGGGAAAGTACTCAATAGTTTTGTGAGTTGAATGCCGCCTCCACAGTGAACAGCTTCTCGTCGGAGAAGACAGTGACGAGGTGTTGTCCAGAACGCGTGCGAGCAAGAAGTCGTTTTGCTTTTTCGAAGCGTCTCTGCTTGTTGACGGCCGATAGAATTGCCGCTTTTTGGACACGATATGGAGTCAGTACAAGCTTCGTTTTGACGATTTGTTCCATAGCGAAGATGCTCATTCCCATGTCTGACGCCATCTTTCTCATGCTCCTGTGGGGGTTTCGCCTGATCCTCGATTTGACGGCGTTGATCTTCTGAGGAGTGGTTACTGAGACGAGTCTTCCTTGTCTGGGAAGGTCACTGGTCGTATTTAGCTCCTTGAAACGTTTGATGGTGTCGTAAACCGTTCTACGAAGCACACCGACCCGTTGAATGATGTCTCTCGGGCTCACATTTTGCTTATGAAGTTCGATAATGGAAGCGCGATGGATGTTAGCCTTCGCCATTTCTCGGAAACACATCCGAATGTGGTGAAACTTGGAAAGTAAGTAAAATATACCTTATTTAACAAAAATAAGTTGTATTGGTGCACGAAAAGTGCAACAGCCAAGCTCTTCATGGTGTCAAACTTTTGTGCGGGAACTTAAATGACACCCTGTATAGCGTACGCCCATTTAATATTCAGTCAACGATTCAAAAACTGATTTCGCCAATTTGAAGGCCCTGCCACCCTTCAGTTGTTTGACGTCGACAATATATACATATATACCGCGTACACTATAATGCAATGTACGCAGTCTCGAGACGCATTGGCACATAGCCAGTAATTTTTTTTTAATTTCGTCCGGTTTTTTGAATCCGACAATGTATATTATTTATAATTCATTACCTTCTCTATTCATGTTAGATATTCTCTTCTCAATGGATCATCTACGTTTGACATCGATGAAATTGATGGTTGGATTACTGTAGCGTCAGAAATTGACCGAGAAACGAATCAAGAATTCGAGGTGATTGTCGAAGCAAGAGATGAAGGCGTTCCTCCAAAACGAGCCCAAGTTCCTGTGCGAATACAAATTGTCGATGAGAATGATAATTTGCCAATTTTAAATTCAAAACAATTCGAAATATTCGTTCCGAATGATGCGAGAAAAAACGACTTTTTGATGGTTTTGAACGCGTCGGATGCAGATTCGAACGATATTTTGACATTCAAAATCGACGGATTGGACAAAGGTTATTTCAAAATCAACGATGATGCCGAAATTGTTTGCGAGGTATTTCTTATTGAGCATTAGTCGATTTCGGTGATTCGACGATTTTGCAGAAGCCGCTCATCGCCAAATCATATTTTTCGATTGAAGCAATTGCAACTGACAGAGCGGGCCATTCAATAGTAGCCAATATAACTTTTCACTTGCAACCACGAGAGAAATTCCCAAAATGGATTGAGACTATCGAAAATGTCAAGGTGAAAGAGCACGAGCGACAGCAAATCGCGATATTCAATGCGAAATTGGGCGACATTCCAATCAAATATTCGCTAATTAGTCATTGTCAGAAGAGTTTTACGATTGACGAAACGAAAGGAGTTCTGAGCTCGACAGCTTTTCTCGATCGTGAATCGAATCAGAGGTGTCCGATTTGGATAACGGCAACGGCTGTTTCCGAAGGGATTCCATTAACGACAACCACGAAAACAATAATCGAAGTGATTGATGTGAACGACAATTCACCGCGATTTGAAAAGCTTTTGTACGAATTCAATTTGACCGAAAATGCTGGTCCCGTCACGATCGGAACACTACGCGCTGATGATTTGGATAGCGGAGCGAATGCGAAGATTGTTTATCGGATTATTGAAGGTTTGAATGGAAAAAGATGATGGAGTATTGTACAAATAAACAACTCAGGAGATCCCATGCACGAATTCCTCATAAATGAAAATGGCGAATTGGAATCGATTCGAGACCTCGATCGAGAATATCAAAGCAAATATCGTCTGATTGTTGAAGCAAGAGATAATGGAAAACCTAGTCTTTCTTCAACTTGTATCGTTATTGTAAGAATTAGATTGTTTAATACATATTACATCTGGTTTAGATCAATGTTCTTGACGAAGATGATAACGCTCCGAGGTTTTCACGAATATTCCACGTTGAGATTCCAGAAGATACACCAGTAAGTAATTTATCTTCTGAATCGGTTTAAAAATGTTCAATTTATAGACGGGCTCATTTGTAATTCAACTCTCCGCATCGGATATTGACGAACGATCGGATTATGTGTTCTCATTCGAATCGCCGGATGACGACCTTCCATTTTCATTGGAATCGCACACCGGCAAAGTTTACACGAAATCGGCGTTGGATTTCGAGAAAAAGTCGTCGTATCGCATCAAAATTCGTTTGACTGATGGCATTTGGTCGATCGAAACAAGCCTATTTGTGACTTTGAGCGATGTCAACGACAACTCGCCGGCATTCGACAAATCGGAATATTTGTTCCTCGTGAATGATAGTACAAACATTGGAGCAGTTTTCGCAACTGATCAAGATTCTGACGAGAATGGACATGTGCTCTACTCAATTCATAATTCGAACAAATATCTTCGAATTGATCACAATTCCGGAAATATCATGGTGGTTCGGGATGATATTCCACCTTTAATTGAGGTTTGTTTTTTTTTTTCAAAATTGTTTTCAACAATCCAATTCAATTCAGGCTACAATTATTGCCGCTGATAATGGAATTCCAACCAGAAGAACATCGGTGAAAGCAATTTTCATTTTCTTGAAATACTGGAATTCTGAGAAAATGTTGATTGACAAAAATATCAAACTTGATACGATATTGCCTATTGTAAGTTCGCTGAATATAAATCAATAATCGGGTTGTTTTAGGGACCTTCCTTCAACATCTACCCAAAATTATCAGTTAAAAGGGAATCTGAGAAGTTTTACCTAAAAACGCGCAATGAATCGATTGTGGCATTCGATAGAGACACTCGAAAATTGGTCGTTTTTGAGTTTGTTGAGAGACGCGAACGAAAAAAAGTAGCACAAATTATTCGGTATGCCTTTTTTTAAATAAATAAACACTTTCATGGTATTTATTTAGAAAATCCATTCGAATTCCGATTGGTTTTCATATCGGGGATTATTTGGCACAATTCGATAATATTTGTGATCATTTTGAGCTTGGAAATCGAACAGATTTTGCTATCGATTTGAGCGGAAATTTGCGAATCATCCAAGATTTTTCGAATTCGACAAAATTTTCGTTGATGTGCAACGACGGAATTTGGCCGAAAATGAATTTCGAAGTTGCAAAAGTGGAAATTGAAATGGAAAAAGTAAAAAAACATACGGGAAATAATGAGCCAAAGGTAATCAAGGGGGAATTTTACAAAAAAAAATTATTTTAAAAATTTAGAAGGTCGTGAAATCTTCGAGAATTATCACACTTCCGATTCATTCACGAATCAAAATACCATCATTGGCATCTAATAATTCAATTGTGCTCGAAATCCCCCAAAATTCATTCATTGGTCCATCGTTTGGATTCCAAATTGAGCAAAATTATCTCAAATTGCATGGGGATTTTCAGAAGAATTCATGTTTCGAATTGTTTTCCCGTCGATCATATCAAAATCATTTCGACAGGTTTGTCATAAAAATGATATTAATTCACTGAAATTTTCATTGGATTTCCAGAGTTTTTCTTGATGTTTCAATTGACAATAATGCGGAAACTTGGCCGGTTTTTGACAAAACATTTTACGAGTTCAATTTGAGAGAAGATGCTCAAATCGGGACGGTGGTTCAAGATTTTTCTCATTTTAAGAATCATCGTTTACAAATTTCCGAGGTAATTTTGAATTTGATTGAAACAAATCGTTTCAAAATTTTTTAGAATCATCAATTGTGCGAAATTGCCAACAAAATCGTTTTGTGTGAAAAAACGCAACCCGGAGTTTATCATTTTGAAATTGAGGTAATCTTTGATCAATTTTCGGCTCATTTTCAAACTTGTTCACTTTCAGCTAATTGGTCCCGAGAAGAAGATTCGAAGTGCTGCTTCAGCTAGACTTACCGTCGTCCCTGTACCATTTCACTCACCATCTCATGGCCAATTCCCTTCTGTGATCTACGTTCGAGAACTTTCCAAACAAAAAGTTGTCGCGAAATTGCCAAACGATTCGAATGCAACATATCATTTGTCCGATGACAATCTGCGCAATATTTTCGAGATTTCTGAACAAGGATTGCTCAAAACTCGAATTGATAGTAGAGCGAAAACGGTTTATCGGGTGCCGATTGCTGTCGAAAACGGAGGCGAGAAGAATTTGGAAATGTTTCGAATATTTGTTGATGAGCAAATTGAAAATCGAAACAATAATAATGCATCAGATGTCGATATTATTGTAATCGATACGGGCGAAAATCGGATGATTGAACGAATTGGGCAAAATTGCGAAGAAATGAGAAATGAAGAGTTTGAGGTGAGCAGAAATAATATATTCATTACTGAATAATCAACTGAAATTTCAGATTAATTCGAATTGCGAAATTCGATTTTTTTCGCGAAACTCTATTTCATCGCCGATTCGTTTCGACAATTCGCATCAGTCAATAACTCTCAATATTAAATTTGAAGAAAATGCGGTGATTTTGGAGAAATCAGCTCTCAAACTGCACATTTTTGCATTGAAATCCTCAATAATTCAGTTCTTGTTGAATCTTAGACATCATTATGACGATATGGTTACTAGAATTCGTTTTATTATTCAAGAAAATAGTGATTTCAGAAAATTGCGATACATGCTGTTAACGAGATTGTCGATGATTTCGAATATGAATTATCAATGGCAATTGTCGATCGAAACGGGATTGCTCTCGACGCGAATGAATCGCGAAGAACATTGAAGACGTTCATCGAACGAACTCGACCGCAATTCCTGGATGTTGACGGAATCGAAACCGATTTTTGCAAAAACGTCATTTGTCGCAATAATCAGACATGTCGTCCAAGTGTTGCGAGGAATATTGAACGATTTTCGGCGAAATATCAATCGAAAATTTTGAATGTTCCTCTCGGGACCATTCGAGGAAAATGCGGTTGTGCTGAAGGAAAAGAATGCGAAGAAATTGCGGTGGCGGTGGAGAAGAAGCTAAGGAAAACGATGAAAATCGAGTGTGGAAAAGGCGAAGAAGCCGTCGATGAGAATGGAGAAGCGGTGTGCTACTGCGAAAAAGGATTCGAATCGAAATTGTCCTGCTCAAGAGGTACACCTTGTCGCATTATCTTCAATTCTGAAATGTTTTAGAAATGGATATGTTTTCGATTTCGAAAGGTTTTCTCGAAATTCAACCGAAGCCTGAAAATTCGGAAATTTGCTCGGAATGCAATGGAACACAAAAACTCGAATTCGATTTTCGAACCATCGCCGAAACTGCCCAAATTGTGCTTTTTGAGTTCTCGAAACAAACGATTTCCATTGAGGTATTCGAAAATTTGAGAATCAATCGAAATTTGGTTGAATTTCAGATCAAAGCTGGCCAAATTGTCTTCGCGCTGTTTGATAGTTATTCGCGTCCCGTCGAAATTTATTTGGAGCGCGTTATCAACGACGGAAAATGGCATCGATTGCTTCTTCAGATGCGAGGTGACGGAAAGAAAACTTCGATTCAAATCGATGGAAGAGGAAAAGAGGTCAAATCTCGAATCGCGCTTCCATTACCATACTCGGCTGGTCGCATTTTGGTGGGAAATGTCTGTTTGCGAAGAGTTCTCGCCCAGAATCAATTAGTTCATCCAGAAATTATTCAAAATAAGGTTTTTTTTAAGTCAATTTTCAATTTTCATTCGAGTTTTTAGTTCTTCGTCATCTCGCCCACACCGTTTTTGGATTACTGTAGCAATGATTCGAAGAGCTCATCGGTTTTCGCGAAACGAACAACGATTTGTCTTGTGATCGCCTTGCTCATATTGGCATCGATCGCGATGTTCGCGTGCATTTTGGTGTCGGTTCGAAAAATTCGAAGAAAATGCGCGAATCGCGATGAGCCGTGTTGGAAGAAAGCGACGGAAATCGATGCATATGCAGTTCGGGGACATGTGAATCGATCGATGAGCAAATCATCTGACGACAATTATGAAATTGCCTCCATTTATTGCAGTGAACAACAGGTGAATTTGAATTAAATTAATTTAAATAATACAATTTGTCGAAAACGGATGAATTAGACAAATTGGAACAATAAAACGCGTTTGCCATTTTTGATCTTAGCGCGAAATCAATAAATTTACGCATGTGCCTTTGATATCTACTGCAATTTTCAATGTATTGCATACTAGATCAAATCGCAAAGGGATAAGAATATGACGCTAAAATTTGAATAATAAGCAAATGACCTCCCCCCCCCCTTAAATGTGTCCGCCCTCGACAATAAAAATTACGAAATCACTGATAGAAGAAATTTTATGAAGCATTTATATTAAAAATAAAACCAAATAAATTGTCATGAAATTACAGAAAACCAACCAAAGTGTTCCATCATGTCGGTCTTCATCTAAACGGTATTTTTTCGCATTTTCCAAAACCAAAACCATTGAATCGTGAATTATTTGCAGATATCAAGAAACACGGGATTATGGTCGAGTCAATATGGCCTATCTTTAGGATTTTCCAATTTTAATTTTTTTTTTCTAATTTCAATATTATTTTCGGGTATCATTTGTAATTTTGCGACTAGTCACTTTTTGCCATAAATTATTCGAATTAATCGATCAGCTGTGTCAACATTTATCGAGAGCGGATTTTCAATCAAAGCAGAATTTCCAACAATTTCGTAGTCATCATGCATTCCGTTGTATATATTTTATTCCTAATTTGGCTTGGAAGTTGTTCTGCTGGACTATTGCAAAAACGAAATGGTAAGTTTCAAATTGGCAAACAAAGGGTGGAACAGTAATGTGAATGCTGCCCGAAATCCCGTAGTTGTATGAGAACGATGTGAATGTGAATAAATTTTTTCTTCAATAATTATTTATTGTGTATCAAAGCGGAGCAACAGCAATAACTGGTAATAAGAGAAGGGCGAGATGTATAGTCGGCGTCTGGCGACTGCTGTACGCGGGTAGATTTACGGGGATGCGTCTTTCGAAATGGTCTCGCAAGGACTAGCAGGTTATTTCAAATTTTATGGGTTCGATAATTTTTCAATGGATTGAAAATTCAAGGAATGCGAAACTCATCAAGAAAAATGAAGCAGTTCACGTGAAAACAGCAAAATAAGCATTCACGCGTGGCGAAACCTTTTTAAGGCGCATGCGCGTAAATCTACCCGCGTACCCGCCGACTATAATAAATAAGAAGGGCTTTAAAGGAACTGCTTGCGGCAGACAGAAGGAAGGTATCCGGACGATCATATTCGGACCTAATTATTTTGATCCTCTTGTTAGTTAAGGTAGAAAGCTCGCTGGTTAAGAAAATTCGTCCAACCTGTTTGACACTCTAAGCTATGCGATGATGGGTTGTGCGAGCAGTTTGGTCTGTCGGCTGCATGGACGTTGGTTTGCGGCGGCGTGGAAGGAGATCCACTTTAGAAGAATACGCAAAACAGAATAATCAGAAGTGAAAAAGCCCCGAAAAACCGACGAGCGGCGCAAAAACGTTGGAAAACACAGGCGAATCGCGGTGCGACCCCCTTTTTCTTAGTGCGATTACTGTAACAGTCGGATAAGTGTGCGCGGCGGCTCCGGGGCGATTTACGGCACGTTATGAGGGATTAATCGCACTTCTCAACGAATGGTCCACTAGATTTTAACAAAACCAGAGAGTCTGTTTTATATTAAAAGTTGAAACTCAAAATTTTCAAACTCTCATAAAATATTGATGATTTTTTTCGTTAATTTCCAGTTCAAACGAAATATTTCGCTGGAAATCAATCACCGTGCCAATCTCGTTCGCCATTCTCATGCGGTGTTCCCTCTCTCCCGACTGTTGCTCCAACCAACAAATTCTGGCCGAATCCTGAATTCCTGTTGGCTCTCCAACACGATTCGTCGTCGTTCGGAAACTCGCAACCGCAAACGCCCACAATATTGATAGCGCGAGCGTCGGCGAACGATTACAAGTTCACTCAAGGCTCTTCGACAAGTGCACCTCCGCCAACTCAACCGCCACCAACAACACCACCATGGAATGTGTTTCCAATTGAATTAAGCACACCAAATGTTGTGAGACCAATGAGTGAAGAAGCACAACAAATTGCAATTCAAATTCAGGTAATTTTTTTCAAATTATAGCCAAAAATGGAAAAAATCCCATTGTTTAGGCAATTCGAAATAATCCTGAAATCACACCGCAGGAAGCGAATCAATTGGTTTCTCAGCTCATTGCGAGTTTCCCTCCTTATTTACAACAAGAACTTCAACATATTTAAGAATATTTGAAATTATTACCATCGCAAAAAAAAACGAGCGCCTTGAAGGGCACTTTTTCAAGGCGGTAATTCGAATTCGAATTAAACAGTAGAAATTCAGATACCATTCTCTGGATAACCTGCGAAGCCAACTCCACGTATTGTGGAAAAATGACGAATGTGATAAACTGCAGCGATATCCTATGAATAATCTTAACTGAAAATTATTTAATCAATTATTGATCGTCTCTTTTTATATAAAACAATTAACATTGAAAATATACAAAAATGATTACTATTATATTTTTTCAACACAACAATATACATAAAACTATAAGTTCGCCAAGAAAGCACAGAAAAAAATTTTAAAAAATTGATTAAATAATTTTCATTAGAGATTACTGTAGCTAATATCGAGATGTGCGACTCGGTGTACGCACACAATGCATCGGATATCGCTGCACTTTTTCACATTCGTCATTTTTCCACAATAAATCGGCGCAGGGTACTCGTTTTTTTTCGAATGTAATATATTTATGAAACATTCGGGTGTTTTAATCGAAAATTTCTTCTAATAATATATCTAATCCTTTTTTATTCGAGACAGTTATGGTGCTATGCAGATTTAAAGACGTAAACTCGGAAAATTCACAAATTTCTTTTTAACGTAATCACATTTAAAATAGGATTTTTGGAGATTTTTTTTTTGCGAAATCTGCATAGTTCGAATATTTTAGTGATAACAATCGCCGTTTTTTTTTTATTTTTAGAAAGTGAGAACATTTGCTCGTAAATGTGCGAAAAACCCTTCTGATAACTAGGCGAGTGATCAATTGTCACCAAATTTGAGCAATCATTCGTCTCATCGCAGAGTGCATGTGCTTTTGGCAAAATGTGCGTGTGTTTTATGATTGACAACTAATCAACACGTGATATTTGTAAAAGTTTTGAATTTATTATTAATTGTAAATTATTAATAAATGAATGAGAATTAATGAAGATGAAAGTATGTACAAGTCATGACACCGGTAAGACATAAAACTGGGATAAAATAAAAAGAAAGAAAAAGTATGACAACCCGCAATGGAAAGAAAAGAAAAAAAAACCTGAAATACAATTGAAACTAACCTAGAGATTAAAAAAAAGAAAATTAAACTGGTGGGGATTGGTATGGGGAGAACGACGGTGGCGGTGGGATTCTGAACGAGTTGTATCCTTCCGATGATCTTCCGGAGCATGTTGATGGAGAAATCCATTTGGTGAGTGGACGGTTCATCTGGTCCCATGGCAATTCGTATCTGAAAATTTTTATAATTAAAAACATGGAATTCGAATTGATTTCAAATTTACCTTGATTCCTCGATGTATGGAATAAGCTTTGGCTTAACGTTGATGTGAACGTTGGATCGTTTCGACTTCAAGAAGAGGACGAGAACCAAACTGAAGGCAGTGGAGGCGAGGACGGCGAATCCGGCGAGAACAATGATGACGATTTGAAGAGATTCGGTGCTGCTCGATGGGGTATAGAGGAAGCCGACGAGTGAGTTGATCGACGATTCCAAAGCAGAAGCTTCCGATGGCATCTGTAAGATTATCCGATTATATATTGAAATTTTAGATCAAAACAATTTACCTGAATCTCGTTGCCGATGATCATATCCGCTGGATCTGGACACCATGGGCATCGTTCGGTGTGTTTGCTGACGTGAATGACCGCATCGAAGCACTTCCCTTTGACATGGAAAGTTCGGTTGTTGACGTCTTGTTCGAAGGCCTCGTCGATTTCCGGAAACACGCGGACCGACGGCGTCTGATCGCAGACTCTCGGGAATCCATAGGTGCGATCGGTTCCGGTGACTTGAGCGGCAATCGAAATGTCCTCGACTCTTCCTGACGGCCAATAGGAGACGAATTGTTTCGAGCTGTCGGCGGAGAAGCGCTCGCTGATTGGCCAGTTGATCGAAACTCGCTCGCTGATTGGCATGAGATCCTTCACGACCTGCAAGGAATGAGAAGTTTGCGATTGAGAATGAATTGAAATCGTTGTTTACCTGGAAGCGAGGCTGAGCACACAGAGCAGTGGTAAGGCATCCTTCCATCCATTCAATGTTTTGAACTTCAGCGGTGAGCCAGAATGGAGAGCTGGCCGAGATAATTGGGATGAGCATGAGAATGTAAGTGAGCATTTCTGAAAGAAATATGAAATTAATACGAAGAATGATGAGGATGCAAAAAAAAATAAGCGGATGAAGAGGTTGATGAATAAACAGGAAGTACGCCACAACTGCTTGAGCTCGTCCCTTTTATAGGTGAGACACTGGGGGGAGGAAAGAGGCGTGGCCGAATGGTACCACCCATTTCGCACCTTGCGCGCATCGTGGGATTTACCCATGGCGGTCGGATCGACGATGGGAAATGCGCGGAGCTCCCACGTGTGGCGAATAGGTGCGAAAACCATTAAAATCCTCAGATAAAGCCATTTCAAAAACAAACAAAAAACAATTTTCAGAAGCGTATAATCGCTGTTTGAATGACTCAATGAGAATTGAAGAAATTTCAAGAATTTTAAGATGGATTCAATTTTTTTGAAATGATTTTTCTGATGAACGTTTTACGGCAGAAAAAATGTGTTACTCAAAAATCGTATAATATTCGACGGAACACTAAGCGGGGCGAATGCTTCGATTATTATATTTTTATGATCGACAAAATTAGGCCGACCGATTTTATCCATGTTTTGCGTTTTATTGGCAACGGAAGATTCGCATAAAATCGACGAATTTACCGATAAATGAGAACTCGCGGAAACAGTAAAAACATGGAAGACATGCGAAATCAGAAGGTGTATGAAAATACGAGAAAATGGGGTTCGATTTGATATGGTCATACAGAAATATAAATATCATAGGCTTTAAGAATCGGAAAGATTGGAATGCTGTGGTCGACGCCTCAACAGGCGAATGACGAACCGACTTCTGAACTCCTTTGAAACCAAATAATCATATTCTAATATGTAGAGTAATTAAATTCTTATATTTTATAGGAGTTGAGAAATCAGGAATTTCAATTGGATCCAAAGAACAACTAAAGTTTCGAGGTACTCTGGGAAGAAAATCGAAAAGACACTCATTTCGGTAGTAATTTTCTATTAAATAAAATAATGTAAAAATAAGGAAAAGCAGAAATAATCGTAAATTGGATCTCAAATAAGGCAATTTTTTTCAGTTTTTTTGAGAAATGCGAAATTTTCTGAGAAGACGACATTTGAACGATCAAGTGTTCTTTTTGATGGGAGCCCGCGCACAGCGGATCATGTCGATTCCGCCCTTGAATTCTCGAGAGTGCTAATCCAAAACCTAATCCGCGTTCGATATTCTCAAACGTTCGGCCGCTGTTGTTTGATAAAGGGAAAGTACATATATGGAATAGAAGGAATTCCATGATATATGCTCCGAATTGTTTCGACGATATTCGGCAGTTGCGAGTTCCCACCAATCCGAATCCATCAAAAGAGTTCCGACGGATTCGGCGGACTATGTGAAATTCGAATGGGTGTCACTTCGCCACCGAGGTGCGACTATGGGAGTTGGAACGAAGTTCCCGCGGTGACACCAAATGTGGTGCACGTGTCGATGGGACGAGACGGGCGTGGGATTGGTGGGAGAGACGAGCGATTGGTGGTGGCGGTCGCCAACCAAGTGAAACACGATGAAAACGATTCGAAATTTTTTTTTGAGCGCAACGCGATAACGATCTAATCGAAAACTTGAGAGGTAACCGTTTTTGGATAAAATCGACGATGAGCGACTGAAACGAATCGGCGACCCGCAACCAACTCGACTCGACGCATTTCGCCGCCGCCGCTTCTGTTTACCTCCGTCTTCGGTTTTCGTTTGCATTCTGCTACTGCTAATGCATTTTTGAGGCGGGGGATCGCTGTTGGACATCGATCGGACCATCCGTATTTGTACGAGGAACGAGTCGGCAATACATGCATTCCGAAGAGTATCCAGAATCAGAAGATGTTCCAAATATTGAAAAACAACAACAAACAATGAAAATATCTTTCTCTTTCTCTCAAAATTTTTATGTTTTCAAACTCGAGAATCAATTTGCAAATACAGAAAATGGGAATTTTACAGAAAAAATCGCAATGAAGTCTTTAAGAGGCTGCTGGTTGATTAAAAATACCTTCTTTTTTTAAATGTTGACTTCATTTTTAATTTCAAACCTGAAATTGTGAACCGGACTTTCGAAATAGGACCATTTTAGCCATTCGGTCCCCTTTCGAGCAAAACTATAATTGGAATGGAATCTCAGGCAAATCAAATAAAATATTTTGAGCTTCATTGAGAATCTAACATGTCTCTATAATAATTTAGACTTTTCTCAATCAACTTTAGAAATTATAATAAGATTTTTTTTTTTTGAGATTATTTGGAAATGGCTCAATAAATTTTCGGAAATGTTATAAGAGTTTAAAAAAAAGTATTTTTAAGTTTATCGAGTCTCAATAAGTGTTTAGAAAGTCTCAATAAACTTTCGAATTTTTCATAATATTTTCAAATTTATTAATGAATATTTGATTCTCAAAAAAATATTTGATTTGATTTGCCTGAGGAGATGTTTCATGAAAATCGAAATGAGTTTAATTGGATTGATTGTAAAGTGAACAAACAAACAAATGAGGAGATTGGCATTCCGATTTGAGGCGGCGGCATGTTCAAAAATGCGAGTCCGATTAGCACCTAGACCACCTGGAGATGACGACGTCTTGATGGGGGGTCTCGAGACGAAATATGAGGATTGGAATGGAGAGACAAAAAAAAACAAAACACACGACTTGTTGGATTAATTCGATGCCGAAAAGGCAAGCAAAACAAAACGAAATGGTGCATGACTAAAAGAGGGCATCACCTGTTTCGAAACAGGTGAAAACCGACGAAGAATTCGCGAATCGAATTCAATGAAAGTCGAATTGAAGCGAAATGCAAACAAAAACTAACCACTATATTTTAAAACAAAACATTCGATTTCGATTTGAACATAATCCGTATGGTTCTGAATCGGTCGGCAACTTCTGAATTGCATTGTTCAGAACGAACACACGGATTAGGTTTGGATTAGCACTTGATCAAGTCAACAAAGGTCCCGACACGAAATTGAATGACAATAGGAAAATTGTTCTTGAAAAAATTAAAATATATGATACAATAAAAATGTAAATAATTTAACATTTTTAAATGCACGAATATTTAAAAAAAAATCCAATGCAATGTAATTTTTTTCTTTTTTTTTTCTTATAAAAAATAAATTTTTTGAGTAGGTAGTGAAAATCTCAATATACATATTATTTTATTTTTGAGCAAAAATTGTTTGAAAGCAGTGCTCAAAAAATATGTAGTTTTAAAAAACCAGTATCAAAAATGTTCAATCAAATAATTTCTTTGAAATTTTAGATAAATGTTTTAAGAGATTCTACCCAGCAGGCGATCAAAAACTATAAGCCAATAACTGATTAAAGCAAAAAGAAATATATTTAATTCCCCCCATTTCAATTATCACTTGTTATTATTTTTTCTCAAATTCGATTAATAACGATTGCCTTCCGGAAATCGAAACATCTGTTCAACGGTTTTTTTGTTAGTTTGGAGAATTCGAGTAGTCGATTAGCGCAATTGATTGCAATCTCAAAACAAACACCTCAACGAATGCGTTCGATGTACAGGGTGTCATTTAAGTTCCCGCACAAAAGTTTGACGCCATGAAGAGCTTGGCTGTCGCACTTTTCGTGCACCAATACAATTTATTTTTGTTAAATAAGGTATATTTTACTTACTTTCCAAGTTTTACCTCATTCGGATGTGTTTCCGAGAAATGGCGAAGGCTAACATCCATTGCGCTTCCATTATCGAACTTCATAAGCAAAATGTGAGCCTGAGAGACATCATTCAACGCCTCGGTGTGCCTCTTAGAACGGTTTACGACATCATCTAACGTTTCAAGGAACTAAATACGACCAGTGACCGTCCCAGATAAGGAAGACTCGTCTCGGTAACCACTCCTCAGAAGTTCAACGCCGTTAAATCGAAGATCAGGCGAAACCCACACAGGAGCATGAGAAAGATGGCGTCAGACGTGGGAATGAGCATTTTCGCTTTGGAACAAATCGTCAAAACGAAGCTTGGACTGACCCCATATCGTGTCCAAAAAGCGGCAATTCTATCGGCCGTCAACAAGCAGAGACGCTTCGAAAAAGCAAAACGACTTCTTGCTCGCACGCGGTCTGGAGAACACCTCGTCACTGTCTTCTCCGATGAGAAGCTGTTCACTGTGGAGGCGGCATTCAACTCACAAAACCATCGAGTACTTGCCCAGACATCCCAGCAAGCTTCTGAGAAAGGAAGAACATATCATCCAGCCTCACATCCTGCCAGTGTGATGGTTTTCGGTGCCATCTGCTCAACCGGGAAGTGCTCCCTGGTTTTCGCGGATCAGGGGGTGAAAGTGAACAAAGAAGTCTACGTTCGGGACATTTTGGAGAAGCATGTGATGCCCTGGGCCAAAACGCATTTCGGTGGGCAGAAATAGGTTTTTTAACAGGACGGAGCACCCGCCCACACTGCCAAAACTACTCAGGAGTGGTGCCAGACCCATTTTCCCGACTTCATCAAGTCATCCGAATAGCCTGATTGCTCCCCTGACCTGAACCCGCTTGACTTTTCCGTGATGGGGTCTTGCAGGAGAAGGAAAAAAAAAAACATCCTACCCGAAGCGTCTCCGTGAAGTCATAGCTGCGAAAGGAGACCGAATCAAAAAGAGTTAATAGATAATTATTTGTTATACTATAGATAAAAAATATTTCGAGTCTCGTTTGATTTGGACTTTTAGTTTCAGAAATATATGCCTTCAAAGTTGTGCGGGAACTTAAATGACACCCTGTAGTGCAACATTTATCGCGTTTCGAAATCTCGCATTTTATGACAAAAATTTGAAACACAAACACAAACCTGCCGCTTGATTCACTTGCCGAAATGGTGAAGGTGAATTCGATCTGAAATTCGAATGTGAGAGTCTGGAAAAAAAAGCCAACAAGAAGTATGGATAAACGAGCTGTCCGATGGACATGTTTGTCGCCTACCGTAATCCACGAAATGCGCCAAAAGAAAATTTAGATAAAAAATAAAAAAAATAAAAATATTCACATTATTTTAAGACATAATTCATCAATTCATGACCGTTTTTTAAAAATCGAAATCAGACAAAAAAAAACATGTTTTTATGATGGAATTTATTTCTAAAATCAAGCTTGTAATAAGTTCGAACCATGAAAAACAAAATAAGCAAGCATGGCGAACACAGGTAGCACCCAATATGGCGCATATGGTGAAGTACGCCAACTCGCGCCAAACATGTTTTTCTACAGTAACCAATGTTCGATGAAATGAGATAGCGTAAAATGCAATAAAAAATAAACACCGAATATGGTTTAGAATAGAGAATGAGAATGAAGAAATGATATTGTGAATAGGATAGGCGGTATTTTGCGAAAAAAAAAACAAAGTCGAAAATGTGCGAAGTGTGGCGCTATGAGATTGAGTGTTTCTGGCCACTCCAAATCGTCCAATTCCCACAATTCATTTTATTGTGCCAAATCATTATTTCATGGCGACTTTACAGTCAAAATCGAAAGCTTTTAAGAAAATTGGATGATGTGATGATGTTGGCGATGATTATGATGCAACGAAACAATGATTACGCAACAAAACTACTTGAATGGAAAACGCATTGTTCTCAATGGCTTAAATTACGAAATTGCGTAATTCGAGCAACACGGGCATCGATGTCATAATGTCAACCTGGTTGGTTGCCAACTTCCATATTTGGATGGAATTCGAAAATTCTTTCGAAAATCAAATATGATTTTTTAATAAAAAGGAGCAAGAAGAACATTTTTAATTCGATTAAATTTTTTATTTGAAAAAAAATGAAAAGAAAAACATTATATTTGAGATCGATTCAAATATTTAAAATTTGAATTTTTGGAATGAAAATCCGTTCGTTTCTTTTTGAAAACTATCTTTTTTATTTTTTTTTAAATAAGTTTTAAAGTCCAAATAAAAATCATATTTTTAACAAGCCTTTAAAAAGCAGCTTTTGATTTTGAAAATTTTCCTATTTTCTACACCGATATTTATTATACATATTCAAAAAATTTGAATACAAAGAAAGAAGGATGTCAAATCCATCATGGTTTCTTCTTATTTTCTTTTCGAATTTAGAGATAAACAATTTGATTTAATATTTGAGTTCAAATGAATCTCGACATTTCAGGGATGAGGTCCCGTGCCAGCTCGAAGGCGGCAATTCAAAAACGGACCCTGTTTTTTATTTTTTTTGGATAATGAGTTTGAAATTCACCCAATTTGGACATTAGTGAAACCGCAAAGAAAACTAATAAAAAGGTGTGGGAATTCTGTTTGGAACTTGAAAAAAAAACGAAATGCTTCGATTCGAATGTTTCCAATAAAACGCATTGTGATTGAAGAAAAAACGAGTCGATTGTATCTTCTGACGCATCAATCACATCAAATGAAAACATCCCCCAATTTGGTTTTAATGGAAATCAGCGGCTGAATGTAAGAAGAAGTTTGCAAATCGGCCGAATCCATCAAAATGTACATCGTACTAATATGTATGTATGTATAATAAATGAATGCTGATTGAGAAGAAGGGTCCCATGCGAGTTGTAAACGTATACTGACGGGACGGGCGCGGTCATTCGAAATCATGAGCAAGAGACCAAGAAAAATGAGCTCCGTCCAACACAATAATCACATTTCCGGACATCGAAGACGTCGGCGATGCAAGAATGACCAGTACGAACGAGAAGCACAAAATTGGCATCGAAACAAGACTACAAAGGAGATGAAAACATTTTTAGAAACATAATTTTTTGTTCAAAAAATATTGTAATATTATTAAAAATAAAACATTTTATTAAATTTTTGCAAAAATGTTTTCCAAAATTTCTATCAAATTCAATTTTCTTTTCAATTTTTTTTCTTTTTCTCTACATTGTCCATTTTTATGATAAATTATTATAAACATTTATTAGAATAATGCATTTATATTATATATTATATACATACAAAAAGGTTTAAAACCTGGTTTAAAGGGGACGGACATAAAGCGGAATTTAAAGATTGGAGGAAATGGAGGGGAGCAAGCAATATTTGGAAGAAAAACAAACTGTGCACCGGCAGTGGGGATACCCGTAAATGGCATTCTAATTTGGATTGAATCGGAAACAAATAACTGAACGTTTGGATGCAAGACTCTAGCCTAATACTTAATTCAAATATCGATTGATTCAAACCGATTCCAATCCCGAATCATCTTGCCTCGACGACAATGGTGAAGTCAAATGTCGAGAGGGATGGTAAATCTGAGTTTGCGGTGGAAAAACTGGTGGATGTGCTACCGGAGGTGGTGGTGGTGGTGGGCGGTAGGTCTGATAGCCGTCACGTGTGTACGTTGACTGGAACATCTCTGGATGCTGATGAGTATGGTTTGAGAGCGAAGAGGCTGAGTCAAGTGGCGACGTCATAGTTGAGTCCGACTTATTTGACGAGGTCATCCAGTAAGTCAAAGGACGATTATGCTGCTCCCAAGGAAGATCATATCTAACAAATGCGAAAATCAGCGATTGAGCAATAAGCGGCAAGTGTTTTACCTATTCTGGTCCTCGATTTCATGCCCTTTTACGGAAATATATGGATGGAATCTTGCCTTCTTTGCACTTTCTTTGACCCGTCTAAAATAAAAACCACAACATTTGAAATCAAAGCGAATCAACTCACTTCTTATATCGGGTATAAGTGACAAGAATCATTGCGAAAGCTGTAGAAGCGGCGATTGCAATAATAGCAAGAACAAGGATTCCAACATAAACCACACTTTCGTCATGGAAAGGCGACCATTTGGGAATAATATGATAGCCAGATTGCTCGGCTGGCTCCTGTCCAATTACCGTAATCTCTCGCGGATCTGGACACCATGGGCAACGTTCAGTGTGCTTTGTAAGGGTCATCGTGGCATTGAAGCATTTTCCTTTGACATGAAGAACGAGAGAATCGTCAGCCTTCTTGTCGACGGCCTCCTTCGAATCGCGATTCTTCTCCGGGAACACTCGAATCGACGGCGTCTGATCGCAGATTCTCGGGAATCCATACGTTCGATCTGTGCCGACGACTTGCGCCGACAACGAGATGTCTTCAATGCGTCCCGTCGGCCAGTAAGAGACGAACGGTTTGACAGACTCCTGCAAAAAAACAGAAACAGTTGCGCAACGACACAAATTACAAGCGGCACAGTGCGGTTCGGCTTGCTTTCATTGCGCGGTGTCGATTTACGTTAGACGGCGTTGCGCAACTCTCGAATTGCGATTGCGCAATCCGCTTAACACGACCGTGCCGGCTCGCGCACACGACCAATTACACCGTTTGATTTATTATGGTGATTGAGCATAAATAAGTAAACAAATTGAGCGATTTACCTTCACAAAATGTTCGCTTATCGGCCAGTTGACTGAAACGCGCTCGCTGACTGGCAACAAGTCCTTTACAAGCTGTAAAATGAATGCGTTTCAGATTTAAACGATTTCAAGTATCAATGCATATCGACACATTCTAATTCTTTCTTTCTTTATACATATCGCATCCAAAATATTCATGGCACTATGCACATTTCGTAAAAATTCTTCAAAAACTGGTTTCTTTTTTGAGTAATCTAGATTGAGCTTTTTAGAGCTTTTATATGTTTCTTTTACCGGTTTTTGATATTTTTTCCATAAAAAAAAATCTAAAATAAACAATAGTATTTACCTGAAATCTTGGTTGAGAGCACAGCGCGGTCGTCAGACATCCTTCTCTCCAATTGATCGCATCCAATTCGGCTGAGATCCAGAACGGACCATCCGCTTTGCAATTAGAGGCTAGTAATAAAACTAGCGATAGTTGAACTGCCCACATCTGCAAAGAATAATTTTCAGTGGAAAAGTCAGTCATCAAAGGACCATTAAAATTGAATGTAATGAGCATAAGAAAAACATCGGTGAGTGATTCGCGAAGGGCCGCCCATTTTTGACGCGCAGGTGCATTTTCGCGCGGCTCGTTCTACCGCAAAAAGGCGGCACAACGATTTACCTTTCTTATATGGATTAAAGGGGGGGAACCCATGGATTAGATGGAGTGTTCAATTTCCTGAGACAGGATGTGAACATGATTTGTCATTTCGGCGTTCGCCGATGTTCCGCCTGCTGGCTCTTGGCAAACGCAGAACAAAAAAACCACACAGTGCAAAGGGAAGAATATGTGATCTTGGCGAACAGCGATAACATCAGAGTTTCTGATCCAATTATGATGAGAATATGCCAATTATGCGCAAGTTTATGGCTCAACATGGACGAGCGGAGGGCGCGAAATGATATACACACACACAAACACCCGGCGACAGATTTTTGCGCGACGAGTTCAACTGAATTAATGATGAGCATTTCACACGCGTCCAAGAATAACAATTTCAAGTGTTTTTTCTTTCGTTGTGCAGAAAAAAAAGAGAATGGAGTTATGATGGGAATCCGTGTGGAGTACAAGTGGAGTTCGCGAGGGATTCGAAAAAAAAATCCCATTTTTTCAAAATAAAAAGAGTTTTCATCGAAGCCAAGTGGAAAATAATACTCAAAACGTATTCAAATTTCTTGAACCTTGTATTTATTGTAAATTGGACAAAATTTGAGGGTGTTGCTTTACTCAAGCGAATACTTCCAGTCGAGTAATTCACGGAAAAGGAAATCCTGGATCAAAGGGCGGTGTCGAAGCGGGCGCACATGTACGCCAAATACCAAAAATGGCGCTAATAATGTGCTGTGCAAATATTTGCAAATTGACACTCATACGATATACATACTCTCAGTGCCCAATTATGGTGGATACCGATGATGATGATGATGATGATCCACTTGTATCGACGAAGGCCCAATTTTGCAGGATGAAAACGCAAAACTTGTCATATCCTCGCTCTTCTTCTTCTTCTTCCGCTCTCAAGTGTGTGTAAGCCTGCGGCATCGTCTGATACACTTAATGAGCAGTACAAATAATCAAACAAATTTGCGCGGCCTCCGCCATCCATTTTTTGTCGCTCTTTTCCCCCCACCAATTGGCTGCCGGTCTGGAGGTCGGCAAGTACTTGTCCGTTTTTTTTGTTGCATGCCTTCCACACTCTTGACAATATATATTTTTATTGTTGTTCGTGTTTGCGTGGAGTACGGTAGTTGGGCCACACTTAATGCAAATCATCATAAAATCGAGCAACGACGAACTCATAAAATGCGCATGAATAGTCGGTCGATTAATGGAATAGAAGTGAAGAAGGGAAATGGAGTTCGAACAAGGAAACAGATCATAAAAATAATTGGAATTTAGCAAATTCAAATATGCTACGAGATCAAAAAATAACAACAACTCGGGAAATGTGGCAACTAGTGAGAAATTATCTATTTGAATTTTTACCTGAATGGAATAATAATAATTATTATAAAAGGGTAGATAAGATGTTATCGCCAAACTAATTTGTCTTCGAATAGCGATTAAAACTAATTTTTTAAAGTCTAAAATTAAAAAATTGAAACACTTTTAAAATTTGCGCATTAAAGATCAGAACGTGAAAAATAAAGAAAAAATTCGAGAAAAAAAAACGGTACTAATCCGCTGAATAGGTTGTACAAACAGTCATTGGAACACATAAGACACCCATACCGTCGACCGCAGACAACGCGCATGGGCGGCCCGTAAAGAAGCACTAATCTGTAACAAGGCACTCGTTTTCTCGAGTGATGCGCTCGCTATTTTTTGCTGTCGCCGTACGGCACAGGTCCGACGACGAGTGTATTGACATTCGAGAGATGGATCGACTAGAAGGTGAATGGATTGGGTGTCGGTGCGCTTCTTTTCATCTTTCGCCAAGACTTGACCCCAGGTGAGCATCTCGCGACCGCTCCTACTACATATTAGATAATTGTATTGTTTGCATAGGATAATATCAAAGATGTATACTGTATGTTAGAGATGAGCCGGCATTTATCGGCTCGTTTGAGGATAAATGGTTGGAAGACGAGCGAGCACAGGAAATATGAATAATGGAAAAAAAATCAGAAGAAGACGGAAGAAGAAGAGAACAAAATATATTTGTTCTGAACCTTGCATTATAGTATCAAAAAGTTGAATCTCAAATTTCGGCATCTCCATTTATCGGACCGACCAGACCAGATGCGCGAAATATGATCAGTGGCGGTTCACACCTTTTCTCGGCCAACTTTTGGCCTTCTGTTCCGAATACAAATCCCTCTGAGACCGTCGCTTCGCTTTCTCTCTAATTATGCGTATATTGTAATTTGAGTTAGGTAATAATTAAGTGTTCATGTGCCGCATAAGAGAATAAAAAAAAATACAACAAGGATGCCCATAATTGGAGATGTCATGGGAAATTGAACACGAATGATAGGCCAAATTAGGTGTTTCATTGGCACAACGGCACAGTATGGAAAAATGAGATGATTTTGAAAGAAAAGAGAGTTTTGAATCGAAATAAAATAATAATCACGTTTTAAAAATGAAATTTAAAAGACATCCAAATTCAAATTACGATGGTTAATTAAGCAAAACTTGTTCCAGAGCCTAGGAGTTTTTTTTTCGGAATATGTAGAAAGCGCAATTTTTGGGGAGTAATAATATTCGAAATCATTTGACAGCGCAGATTTTTTAAAGATTTGCTTTAAATTTTCGAAAATTCGCAATAAATGAAAGCATCTACCGTAATTTATTACTGTATTCTTAATTTCAAAGTCTCAAAACCCCCGTGTAATTGCCGTGGAACAAGCAGATCCCAACTTGGCGTGGTTGAAAAAAAATCAATGTGACCACTAAACAGCTTATGCAAATTTAAAATCATAGCAAAAATCACCACGAACTGCCGAAAATGGTCGGCTAATTATGATATCACCCAAAAACAATATTCTAGACCTAAAAATTAGAAGTTTCGAATTCGCGCGATCTACGCTTAAACGTAATACGAATTTCAGCCAAATTCCCTAAAAAAATTGGCGGAGAAAAAGAACAAAAAACAATTAAGCGGGTGACGCCTCAAGTGCTGTTGGCGGCCCACAAATTTTTATAAAAGCCGATTATAACGTTTCGTTTCGAGTGTGTTTTTTGTTTTTGCGTGTGAAATTCGCGTACCTTTTGAGCTCGCCCGATTTTCTTGTTTAGTTGTTGTTTGTTTGTTTGTTGATTTCGAAGCTTTTTTCTTCTCCTCTGAAAAAAAATTCAATTTTAGATAACAAGCATTCTGTAGCGAGAAAAAAAAGAATTGAAAGTCGAACCAGAAAAAAAACAAAGATTTTCAAGCAAAGTGCGCGATAATTTGAGGAAAAGCTGCGCTCCTGACGACGTGTTGAAAATTGCACAACAATTATCTCGGATTGTGAATCGAGGCGTAAAACAAAAACCGCGAAGAATGTTGCTTGTGAGCACTCCTGGGCGCGTGCACCAGTAATTATATAATTATGCGGCCGACAGGAAACATTTAGCGTTCCGCTCAATGTTCTTCTGGAAATGAAACGCCTGCTCCACTCATTTCTCATTAGGTTTTGGGGCGACAAATGCAATTAGCCCATCGGGTAAACACAAATTGAGCAAAAAATCTGCGCATTATGGAACGTTTCCGTGGAGGAGGAGGAGCGTTGAATTCGATTATGACAAAAATATGACAGGTTTTCGAGTGGACTCGATTTTTGCCACGACAGTAGAACATGTGACCTAACAGTTATTCATAATCGGAGACCCTCAATTAGACAAATAAGGGGAAATCAAAATAGATGATCAACATTTGTAAGTTTTCCAAGAAAAAAATGGGCAATTGTAAGCGTATGACGAATACATATAAAGAAATTCAAAATTTAGAGATCTAATTGTACAATTGTCGCATACTGACCCATTATTTTAAATGGGATTGACATTCGTTCAGAGGGCAGAACATAATACTAGCTTTTTCCATAAAAGGGCAAATTTTCAATTACAAAATGGAGCCAATTATCGGCGTATTTTTTGGCGACCAAATTGCCAATTTCATGCAAACCAAAAAAAAAAAGAATTTTTAGTTAGTAAGGAATTTCCTAAAATGATAAATTGAATCCTTCCAATATCGCATATTTTCTCAAGTGTTATTTAATATTAATTTTTATTAATAATAAAAAGCGGGGGAAAAAAATAAAATTCTCAAAGCTAATAATTAAGAGTAGCCTAGATTCGATACGTAGACGTAAATATTGTTTGGAAAAAAATGCGACTAATTCGCTGAGTGAACCATAACAAAAAATATTTCTAACTATTCTTGAATAAATAAAAAAAAACTCTTATTGCAAAATAAAGAAGGAATGAAGGGGATTGTGAGAAAATAGGTTCCGATTAGATTTGGATGGCTCTCCTCCCCCTTTTCCTCCTCCTCCTCCTCCTCCTACTCCTCTTACTACCCTCTGGTGATTGGCGGCACATTGTTCTAGTTCCACATCTGTTTTGAGGTCGAATTTCAAGTTTTACGGATGTCATTTGATCGGGAATTATATTATAAACGAATGGTTTCGGTTGTTAAATGATTATGAGCAACAAAAAAAAACAAAGAGTCGCCGAGGCCGATCGGGACCACAATAATCATCATCATGATTATTTAAAATGCATGTCAAACTTTTGAAAACGTCTAAACAGTTGGAACACCCCCAGTAAAAAACACATCAAACGAGGGCATCAGCACATTTAAAATTGATGATTTTTACAATTTCGGTTTTTTTTTGCATAATGAAAAAAAGGGAAAAATGGAAAATTCGTTTTAAATCATTCGATAAATTTCAATTTTTCGATCCAATAAAATCATAACAAATTTCGCCGTTTTTCGGATAAACATTTGTCAAAAATAAATGGAAAAATTGCTCACGTGAAAAACGAAACAGCGAATGAGTTTTTACTGCTCGATTAATTTGCGAAACAGAAAAAAGGCGGAAGCACAGGGTGCCTAGCTGACAAAAAAACCGGCCATTGGACCTTTGCGCTAAACAAAAAAATTGATAAAATGATGGGTAAGCCGGTGCGCGCACTCCCCGTTGTCTATTTGCCGCCTCTCGAGAGCACTCAAATGTTGCTTTTGGCCGCAAAATGAATAAACGATTCGATCATTATTATTATTATAAATGAATCAAAACGTCGAAATAAACAAAAAAAGAGTTGTCGTCAAAAAGTCGAAGCGAACCGTGTGGCAATAAACAAATGTAGTATTAGAAGGAGGAGAGGAATAGGAGGGGCTGTCGATGGCGGGGGAAGGGGCGTGGCTCGATGGGATACTACCGAGCGGGTCTTCGTCGCGGTTGAGATGTTGGTTGGGCCTTCGTTGCCGGCGGGACACACGAAAATGGGCGGAGCCTACTAACATCGACGGCCATTGAAACATTTGTTATTTGAGCCAATTATAAAGTGAACTAAATTCGTGATTAAACCAATTTGATACAAAAGTTGAGTAAAAGGCTTTGAAATCGGAACGAGATTCATTAAACATTCCGCACTCATCACTAATTTGACTCGGAGAATAAAATTCAGGAATGACCTAATTATATAGAAAAATTATGATTTAAACGGGCCAAAATGACGATTTTTCTTTTCGCGCGAAATAATCGAGATTAAAAAAATAAAGATTTTCGAATAGAGAATTTTTTAAACGGATTTTCTTTAAAACTTATTCTCAATTTTCGATATTTTATTGGAGCGCTTCTGAGCTAACTCATAAACCTACCGTAGTCATGTCGTATCACATTTTTTCTTAACAACTTTGTGCACTTTTTTTTCGCGCTGGCGAGGATGTCATTTGTCAAGAACACCTCATAAATCGTCGCAATTTGCTCCGATACGAACGAGAGAAACATCCGACATCGACAAGATGGGCGGTAAATCGTGTATGATATTGGCCGGGGGTGTGTGGCGCACGAGTTGCGCAACCGCACCTTATCACACCCGAAAGGGACCTGGCGGCGCATCTTTTCAAGTCGGCCACCATGTCCGAGTGATTAGTACCCGAGAATGAGCGATTACGATCGCTTGTATATTATTTACAACGTGTCGATATACTCGTTTGATCTGATATTCGCCAGCAAAAACACGAGGGCAACAGAAAAAAATGTATTTGTAGTAGTCGTCGTTGCAGGAGAATAACCTTGAACGGTGTCAAGAATCTTCCGCAGTCAATTCAAATCCGATCCTTGAGATAAACCGCCAAGAAAAAAAATAAACTCAAATGAGAAAAAAAGAGAGTTTCGACTGACTAGTGGCTATACTAATATAAATGACCTCACGCGTCGAAAAGTTTCATGTTCATCTCGATTGCTCGATAATGAGATGCCCTCAACGACGAAAGAAGATAGATAGATATGCTAGCGAACATTTTTGCAAAATTATGTACATATTTGGATGTATGTTGTGGACAAAATTAATGGGACACCGACGGCGAAAAGCTCAAGAAGCACTATAATAAAGTGACGGAGAATATCCGCTAAAAGTATAAAACATTAAAAGAAATTAAAGAGAAAACAACGAAAACTCATATTTTAAAAGATTGAACTTGATAATTTTGAATTCAAATATTCTTTTAGGCTTCTTTGGTAGTGAAGTTTTAAAAGCAAAAAGGTGTTAAAGTGTGGGATAAGACTGAAAATGACTTTTTGAGTCTTTCCAAATTCCACTTTCTTCATAAAATCTCAATATTAATTGAAACTACATATTTTGAAATGGCGCAAATTTCTATGTGTATGTTGCTTTTTTTCTGTTGGCGCAAGGATTGGTGTCATCATTATATCATCACGAGAAAGTGTTTGCGGACGCGCTGCGCGCCACCCGTGGCGATCTCGAGGCAAAACAAAACAAACATTTGAATATGGCACGAGAATTCATTCCGTCGCCGACGTCTCACTCATGTATCAATTATGCAAATCCGTACAAATGAATTACGGCCTGAGAATATTCGAGGGAGATGGCCTTTCAAGTGCGATTCACTTGTTCCTAATAATTCGTTCGATTCGAGCCGTCTCGATTCCGAATTCTGTTCGCAACATTTGCCAAAAAAGGCGATAAGCAACGCGCATTTCGAAATGTCGGCGAACCGATAATGTGGTGAAAAGCGCATGATTGAGATGTTCGAGTTCCCATGAGGATTCGATGAGCACTGCTCCAGCTCCGTCTGCTCGACGCCGACAACTGTTGCCGGTGAGGTGGCGAATGACATATAAAGTATGGGTGGGACAATTGAGGACAATGAAGGCGCCAGCAGCTGACGAACCGGCGCCTCGACCCAGCCAATCCATCTGTCCCTTCGAATCCATTTCGCAGGTTGACAATCTTCAATGAATGTTGCTATGGAAAATGAGCAGACGGATATCATCATCATCGTCACAAAAAATGATTAATGATGTGTCCAATTGCCGCGAGTTGGCCAGCCGCAATTTTCGTCGTCCGCCCACCGCCGGCTCCACCCGGAAATTTTCGAAATTTGTATTTTGAGTGCAAAATACATAATTTCGAGGGGATTGCTCTTCGAATGTGAAAAACGATAGAAACATACTTGAGATTTTGATTTGACTGATTTGACCGACGGGGATTACGGCGATCAGAACATAATACTCATACATTTAAAGCGATCGAATAAGACTGGAACCGCCGAAGATGAAACATCAATATCGATTCCCAAATTGAGAGTGACTCTGTGCATATTCAGTGAATTTGAAACAACTATAATTAGAGGGTTTGTGGACAAAGTCGACAATTGGGACAGGTGAAGAAGATCGAGATAATAGCTCGAAATAATATTGGCAACAGTGCGTTGGAAGGACACCCCGCTGGTTCGACACCTGCCGGCAACCGACGACACCTTCAGGCTCTCGTGTCCGTCCGTCCGTCTGTGTTTATGTGTGTCCGGAAATGGACACACAGTCAAGAGCCTCGAAATGCTCAAAAACACTTTGCTATTGTGTGCGCGTTTGTTTGCGGTATTTTAGAGGGTCCCCACAAGAAAAACGAAGGTAATTATGAATTGTTTTGAATGAATAAAAACGAAAACAAAAATAAACGAAATAAGAACAACGAGCACGACAAAGAAAATATGTGCAGAATCGAGGGAAGCGAACTAGATTGTGAATGCCACCAAATTTGAGTAACGAGTTTTCGAATTCAATTTCGGTGCCTGATTTTTTCGCAGCCGACACTGAAATGAGCCCACTAGTTTGAGAATGGTCTTTTTTTTTTCAATATTTCGATTTTAACATGAAGAACAGGGGGTCGAAAATTCGAATTCCTCGCTAGTTCTGAGGGTTGTTCCCATGACACTTAATGTAAAATAATTAATCTTGGCCAATGTGGGCACGCAAGTAAAGGGGACTAGCGAAAACTTAAACTTTCAACAATACGGTAACAAGCAAAGCGCTTTTCAAATGTGTTCTCAAATTTCGCCGATGAGAGCTTCAACAAAACCATTCGTCTTGCGCGTTAGCGAACTGTTTGAGAACCACAACCGAAAACCTCATAAATATTCGGAACGGAAGTGCTTCTTATCACAATTCAAGTGGCGTTCACACTCTCATAGATCATTGCTCTCGAGTGCGCAAAACAGGTGTGTACTGGGCGACGATGATGAGGAATTTCCAACAACTCATAAGTGATCGATTACCAATTCGCCATATGCCACCAGAGAAAAGATGAACACATTTCAATTACGGTAAAGGAATCGACAATTTATGGAAAACACATTTACGCGCAAAAAAAGGTAAGAGGACGAAAAAAAAGAAGAATAGAGAAAGAGGAGGGGTCAAATAACAAATGAAATATGGAAAATGAGTAGAAGAAGGAGAAGAAGAAGAAGCCATCGGTCGTTTGCTTATACATACATCTTCCGCATCATGAAAACTGTATAGAATTTACACATGGATGGTTTCTCGCTTCTACACATCTAGTAAATAAATAAAGGAATTGACGCACAATTGCGCAAAACACGATATTTTCTGCAAACACTTCACGTAATGTTGCGTACTTTTTGCATGGGAACGAGCCAACCTCTATAAGAACATATACGAGGAAAATTGGGAATTAAACGAAAAAAAGAAAGAAAGAAGAACGATTACAAAAGAGACCTCTCCTCGTATTCATTCTATTGTTACCTCGCATGTTCGTTTTTTGATCGCCATCTTGACGCTTACTAATTTGAAAACCCAATTCGAGAAGAACAAAAATGTTGTATGTACAAGAGATTGCAATCTTTTGCCAATTAAGGACGAACCGACGCTCGCCAAATTCCCACAGGCTAAGACGAAGGAAATGAATGCGTTATGAATGATGGATGAATGATTCGAATATATGTCTAAGGATAATGCGCGATTTTGCTCGATAAGCACATCTGTTTACCGCATTCGAAATGTCTCAACTGAGAATTTCGGCACCTGCTTCGAAATGCAACAATACTTGTTCGAAACTGAGCAATGTTTTTCGTTTTGAAACGCTTTAAATTGAGTAAAAATGAAACACCATCCTACTGTAGTCTTTCGAAATGACGCAATCATTTTTCAAAGTGTCTATTCAAATTGACGCGAGTCTATTTCCTTCTGGGCTGTTTCACCCCCAATATGGCTATGCAAATTTCAATGGATCCATTTCACTGGTCAATTTCACTTATTGTCCTTCGGCCAATTTGGATGAGATACCCCCCCCCCTGAACGATGGGTTGGCCCTTCTAAACATGTGTGCACTGATTCAAGGTTGAAGAACACAAAACGCACGCAGGAGGACCTTGGCAAAAGTGCCGAGACCCACCTCGCTTAACTGTTTAATGGCTGTTTTATGAGGAGCAAAAACGCGTCAAACTGCATCGTCGATGAATCGGTTGTGTTTGGGACGAGGGCGAACGAGGGAGCGATCGAGGCGAGCGATGATGGCCAACAGATTTGAAATGAAACTCTAATAATAATTAAGAGTGACACGAAATGCTCGCCAAGATGCTCTGTCAATTTCCGTGTGACGCCTAAAATCTCATCTTTCAAATTCGGCTGGCCACCAACTCCCGCCAAATCTGGTAATAAGAGTGATTTGCGTTCATTGCGCGCAAACAAGCCGCGTTCGCGTCAACAAATGGTCCGCTGCGTTTTATGAGCGAGCCGGACGCAAGCTTCCGCAAGGGGGCTGTAAACCAACTGTAATAAGCCGGAAATGTTGTGTTGTTGCTAGCGGCCTGTGTTTTGACAACAGATCGCCGAGATTTATGAGCCCAATAATAAGGTTTTGAACAGCACCGATTCGGTAATGAGACAATCGGGCAGAGTGGCCTACAATATGCACATCATTCCGAAAAGACTGTAAATCACGCCTTTATAATTGTGTGTAATAAAAATAGGATGAGAAATATTCAAACAAATCGATAATTTTTAAATATTCGTCTTCAAAAAATGCGCGAAAAATTGCCTAAAAAACAGTGAAGCTGATCTTGACGCAAAACTAATATGTAGTGTAGATTTACGAGCCTAAGCCTTAGAACATGTTAAAGGCACATGCCGCGCACCGAGACCTCTTCTGGTATTTAGACACCTTTCCGCAGTCGAAACAATATCGCTTTTTAGAGATTCCGAATTTTTTGGGGAGAAAACATTTTCGGAATTTTAAATTGTGAAAAAAATGAAAAGACAATCTAAAACTCAAGAAATTCACACGCGCGGAGATGTTTGAAAAAAAAATCGAGGAACTCGAAAATGCTTTTTTTTTCAACTCTCAAATCTCTCGTTGAAGAAAAAAAGTAATAAATGAATATGAAATCGCTGGCGAAAAATGCGCAAAACTCGTAAATCGGCATATGTCGCCATCAACAATCGTAAATCATCACAGATAATGTCGTAAGAGGTTGAATTAACACATGCAGAATGAAAAAAAAAACTGGAAATCGCATAAAATTTGAATTTAATCGACAAAAATGGAATGGCGAATCTGCCCCGAAAACGAAACGATTTCAGGTTGTGACCGGTTTCCAGAATACCAATTCTCATTATATTTGCTTATATGCACATATATGGGGGTTTTTTTTACTCATATCAACGTTCGTCGTAGGACCCAGACACCGATTAATATTGCATAATGTGCCGGGTTCCTCAAATAAAGATTAATTGCCAAGAACAATCTTGATAATAGTTACAAATGATCCTGTCAGTGCCTAGATTCGCCAGATAATTGCCACTAGTCGAGAAAAATCAAACGAGGCCCCCACAATTGAGGGTTCTGTGTGAGTGTGGGTGAGTGTCTAATGTGAGGAAGATCTTCGGCACACTGTGATTCATCTTCATTACTCCTCTTTGTGTCCATTTCCAAATGTTTATCTTGCAGGAAAAAATTCGACGGATGGCGCGAAATTTCGAATTTTTTCGTCCTTGTCCTTTCCGCAAAATGCTTTTTATTTCGGTGGATTCAAAAGAGACAAAGAAGGGTTGAACGAAACGAAAAAAACACACAACACACTGATAAAGCACGAAATAGCAATTTTTCAAAACGAAATTCTCTGGGGACCACTAATCACATAACACATTTTTGTGTCGAGGATAGTTCTAATTAATAAGAAGACATTTTTGACGGATTTTAATTAACAAAATTTATCTGTCTAAAAATATTTTTAAAAAATTTAACTAATGAATTAAAATTTTTAAAAATAATACATTTTGTATTTGAGCGTTGAATGATGAATGAAACCTGCGAAAAAGTTTACAACACAACATATGAGTCAGTTTAAATATTACTTTTATGTGTCTAGGACCCCTTCAAAGATCAAACAGAAACAAATTTCAAGACAATTGATTGATACTCATTTTTATATTTGATTCACTCAAAAATTCGCCAATATTCAACTAGCTTAGTGTTTTATTTATTCTAAATGACCACCAACATCTTTTTGGTATTCGTTTCGTTATTATATGTGATTTGAAATGGATATCGTCAAGTGGCCAATACCAACCGACTAGTAGACAATGAGTGTTAGTGCAAACAACTCGGAGCGGCCAAAAAAAGGAAGAAAAAAGGTGTCAGATGTTGGACATCAATGAAAAATCTTTGTATTTATTATGTTGGTTTTGTTATTCGAGAAGCAGGTTGTGCATTATGAATGAAAACAATACGAATGTATGTCGATGGTGACGGAGTTTCATCAAAAAAGAAAAAAATAAACGCGAACGAACCATTTTTAGAAGAAGGGATTTGAACGAAATGCGTTAAGTGGAAGGATTTGTGAAATTCAATTTTCCAACTGGATTACTGTGGAAGCTACTAAGTCAATTCGGAAAAAGCCAAGTGTTTGCAAAAAAAAAACGAAGTTTTTACACCAACAAAAATAAACCCAAAATCTAGTTCGAGCAAATTGAAATTTCGAAAATATTACTATTTCTTTCTTATCATTATCGTTTAGAGTCGAAAAATAGAAACACAGTAGCAATGAAAATAAATCAACATAAGTTTTGGATGCTCGTTACAACTCAAACGACCCAATAAAATGGAAAACAGCAACAGTGATTTGTGAGTTTGTTCCAGTGCCAATTCGTTCCAATCTACTCCCGAATTTGTACTTTTTTTTTTAAAAAAAAATTGGAAGTCTAGTCATTTTTTTTGAGAGTTTGAATGAAAAAAATTGGACAAATATTCATATTTATTTGAATTATTGGTTATAAAACTACTTCACTGTATTACAATAAAAATCGAGAGAATTCGTCTCCTGTCACGAAAAAAAGAGAACCATCTCGCACACTTTATTGCTCGTTCGAAGGTTTTCTCGCCCATTTATGGTTTCTTCTTGTCGGCAATGCATTCCGCTCAAAAAAAGTGACAAATAATTTGAGGCGCCGAGTACAAATCCCCCATAATCCCGCGGTACACGACTCACTTTGACAAATTACTCGGATTTAGCGGCACGACGAACATGGAGTTCCAATGTTCGGCGATTTTTGGACAAAATTGAGAAATGAGGGATTCGAAAATGCAAATATGTTTCGGTCATGCTCATAAAATGAGTAAGAGCACAAATACGAGAAAGAGTATCGTTAGAACCAAATAAATAGTATGAAGCGATTGTTTTCGCAAAGTATTAGGAACTGAATTACTATGGTAAGCATTCAGGCAAATATCGAAAAATCTTTGTTTTGGCAGCTTTTCCAGTAAGAAAAAAATGATATAAAGTGATATAATGAAAATGCCTACCACTAGATATATTTTGCCGCTTTTTGGAACATGAACTTCAAATTCAAAAAATATGATGCATTGTTATGAAATGCTCGAAAGTGGGCTTTTCAACATTTCGTTGCAGTAAGAGTGTGAATTTCAATCAGATTGTGATGAAATTTTCGAGATCGAGGTAATTCTTATTTTCTCATCTTAAAACATGTAGCTTTTTTGATCTAAATATATTTGTGTTAAAATATATATATATGACAATAGGAAATTGAGAAAATGAGCGAATGTCGAAAGTGCGGAAAGCTTTTAAAGCCCATAAAACAGACAATTTTAATATTTCAAGCGGACAACTGCTGTCGGAGTTTTCTGTTACGCGATGGCACCTGGTCCTATGCATAAATCACAAAAGGATAAAAAAAAGTCGAAAAGGAGAAACGGCGAATAGCCCGAAACAAATCATTTGCGACTCTTCCGATTTACCGACGTCAAAACTTTTTGCGACGGCTGCGCGGCATTTACCGGTCATCTTCAAAAACGAAAGCGCCAGCTGCTGCCACTGCTGCTGCTGCTCCAGCTCGATCCGGAACAAGGCGAGCAGCATCTCGAATTTATTTACGATATGTTGTACTACACGACACTTGTTGTGTTTTTTTCTCAATCGGTCTTGTCCTCAATGAAATATGACTTCTTTCATCAGGTGCAAACCGGGGCCGCACAAACAATAGGCGAGCAAGAAGTCGAGAAAATGTGAAACGGGTTTTGACAATCGTATTCAAATAAAAAAAATACGGATTGATGTAGGAGCAATGTAGAAAACGAAGAAAAATATTTTTTAAAAAGCGCAAAAAATATATTCCATAATTGGAAAAAATAGTACAAATGTTTTTTTTTTGTATTTTAAAATTTCATATTTGCAAACAAACTCATCGGGCTAAACACGGGAATTAACACAAATTTGTTATGAATTTTCTGCCAACATTTTGCCCAATTAATTCGTCGAGAAGTATTCGGAATATCTTTAAAAATCATACCTTTTCATTCTAATATTTTGATCTTTTTTCTCCAAAAAATATTAATTAAGTCTCCATCAAACCACCGATAACGAGCATTTAAAAGAATATTTGTAAAAACAAACAACATATTCAAAATTTCATTTCAATAACAAAACGCGGAAAAAATTGGCGAAAAAATAGAATAAATTGGTTTCCTTTGTCGAATCCACGAAACATTGCAACCTATGCTTTTGCCAAAAAAACGTGGAAGAAAATATATGGTACTGTATTTATTTACTGGACGCAATTGTGCGTTGAAGAGTTGCGGACTACCGCGGGAGTTCAAAGTGGACAAATCAACGACAATCTCTCATTGTAGAGTTGGCGGGAATTCCGTCATTTTCATATTCCGTTTCTGCTTTAACTTTTGGCAAAAAAATACAATTTTTCCGTTTTTCCTCCGAATATGATGAAATTTCGCGAAACATAATTTAACAGGAATTTTCAGTTTCAAATTTTAAATTAATTTTTTTTTCAATCATTTTATTGAATTAAAAAAATGAGTGCTGTAATTAATCATTTCGATTATGAATTAATTTATTAAAGTTTTCATAAAACCGATTACCCGTACTTAATAAAACACTAATGTTAGCAACAATTAATATGTGTTTCCGTTATAAAAAACAGCAATGGAATCAAAGTTCGTCGATGAAAATGTCTAGGTTGCCAATTTTGGCTTCTTTGGGCGTATTTGTCTCACGAATTTTGCTTCATTCGATGCTTCTCCAAGAATTCCGATACTGTCTGCAAGAATTATATTCAATTTTTCGATTTTCGATTCGTATGCTAAAATAAACGCCCACATTACTATCCACGCCAACATATTAAACGCACTCTTATTGGGATACCATCCATGCATTGTATATTCCACCCCCTACTATTTTATTATATTTTATTATACGCGTTTAATCTGTAACTGATCACGCGATTTTTTTAAATACGTTAACGTATCCTCAAATTATGAAATAATATTAATCTTTAGGGACCCTTTTTCCATATTTTCTGTTTGATTTGGAAGGTTCGATTTTACTTTTTGTAATGGTACAACGCAGATTTACAAATTTTGTATGTGCGCTTTTAATCAAAATAGAAAAATAGCAATCGTAATTGAAAAAATTGGATTAAAAAATAAAACCGTTACTTTTTTGCGTTTTTTTTTTGAAATCTGAATTATATCATAAAATTGACATCAAAGTGTAGGACAGTAATATGTTTTAATTAACCAAATATTCTTACTGGAAAAACATTTGTGCCACAACATTCTCATTTCGTCATTGCTGATAGGAATACTGAAAAAAATCAGATAAAGAATAATCAAATGAAACAAAAACCATACTCTCTTATGCCGTATCCTTTGGGTTTTTGACTCGGATGCTTCGAAGCATAATGTCCTCTCATTTGTCGAACATTTTGTGTTAGAAATCCACATACGTGACAAGGCAACTTCTTTTGTTCGCAGTGCGTTAGAGCATGATCCATTAGACGAAGTTTCCCATAACGAATCTTCCAAGTATATTTTTGAACACAACCCTGAATTATAATTTTTGATAATAACAGACAAGCGAATATGTAATGAGGCGATGCTTAGAAAATAAGAAAAAAGAATAAATATTTTTTCCTTTTTTCGACATCGAAATTTTGTCTTTTTTTTCTGCATTAAATGTGAAAAAAATATCGAAAACACACCGGCCATTGACATTTGATCGTATGAACCCTATTCAAATCATCTTCAGAATATCCGAAATACGTTGAATTTGTCTAAAAGATTAAAAATATTAATAATTAAACAATTTCTAATTGAATTTCTTACACCATTTTCCGATGTCGATGGAGTGTCGAACAAATGCTTAATGTTATATCCTTGATTTTCGAAAAAGTCCACAAAATTGAATGCTGAAAAGGCATTATTTTAAATGTGAAATTTTACGAAATTATACTTTCATTGCATTCCTTTTTTATAGTTTTCCCATTGGAATTGGCATTATTAGAATTCGTCGAATTTGTCTAAAAATTATTTTTCCGAAATGTTAAAACAAAAACCAACCTTTTCAACGACTACGACTTGGCGTGATGAAGAACTGAAATTTAGAAAAAAGTTAATCGAATTTTATTTGAGTTAATTTCAAACCTTGATTGATTCGCAGGCGGCGGATTGCTTACAAAAGCCCTAAAATAAAATTGAAATCAATGTCTGTTTGCTAAATTTCAACTGACTGATCAACATGTACAATTCTTTCGAATGGACGAGAAACAACATTCTCGTTTCGTCTCAAATTTGAAGAATCGGCCGATTTGGCTTGGTGCGTCTGAAAATTTAAACAAATTTCCCACAGAATGCTCGTTGTCGCCTCAAAACCTGATTTTGACCCGTCGATCCTATGTACATTTGTTGCTCGCTTATTGTGAAATGATTAATTCCCGCATTGTTCTGAAACCTATCAATATTCGAAAAATAGTATTTCGTCTTACCAGCAACGCTTTCAAATTGCCCTCAATTTCGGATAACGGTCGATCAAATATATTAATTTGGACAAACGACGACCAGCCGTCCATGTTTCAACGAAAAAATAAAATAAAATAAGGAGGAATATGTAGCGACGCGCTGCTTAGACGAGAGAGAGATGTTATTAACAATGGAGACGCAGCGTAGTAGGCGATTCGCGCTGCGGACGCGGCAGGCAGACACCAGCATGCAAATATGTGTGCATTGATTTTTTCTTGGAAATGCAAACGCGTAAACAATTAATTTATCCCAAAATAAATGTACTGATGAGACATACATCGAAAAGAAAAACGGGTTCAATAAATAAAATAGTTTTAAAAAAATTAGAAGAAACACGGGGTCCAATTAATCCTCACGAAGTGGAATAGTCTTCTCGACGATTGGTTTGCCGGCTTCAGCGATAACAAGATGAATCTTGTCTCCGGTCGAAATTTCACGCTCAGCAGCTCCGCGGAATGAATCCTGAAGAAGATGAAGAAAAGTATAAGATTGTACACATTTTGAGTAGCAGATTACCTTCATCAACGAAATAGCTCTTTCAAGAGTAAGTGATGGTCTTTCATAATCGTCAGCGACCGTAACGTGTCCGATTTGGCAATCAAGGAACGGAATGATCAATGGCTCAGCAGCTCCACTAGCGGAATAGGCAATTCGTTCGATGCAACCGATTGGATCGTAACTGAACACGGCTCCTTTTCCTTAAAAATCAATTTGTCACTTTTTTGAAAAAATGTTTTGACGAACCATTCTCGTCAATTCCCGCCAAAATGGCTCCAGTGTAGTATGGGAAAAAGCGACGAGAGTAGAGATTTCTAGAGAGAAGCTCAGCGCAAAGATCAACCGACATATCGGCACGATAATCGAAGCGATACTTGTGGAGACGCGACTGAAGATTATTCATGAAAATTTTGCTAATTAATTATTTTTCAATTACCTGCAAGACTTTCTTCAACTGCAAAACGTCTCCGTAGAATCCAGAAGTCGCGAGAATGATGGAATCATTCCTGAATTTAAACTTAATACTTAAATTTAAAAAAAAGTGCTTACAAGACATGAATCTTCTCGGCATCACGAGTGAGAATGTTGATATCATTCTGGGTCATTCTAGTGTCACTGGCAACAATGGCGAAATTTTCACCCGAAATGGCACATGTGGATCCACCTTCCATTGAATATGGATTCCATCTCTGACGTTCAATGAGACGAGATGTACGCCACTCAGGAGCAGCAGCGACTTCCTGGAAAATAAATTGAAAATCTGCTTTCAAAATTATTTATTTTGTTACTTTCATCGCATTCTTGAACAAAGCCATATCACTTTGCAAATTTGAAACAGCAGTAATTCCGGTGAACCCAGCCATCCTATAAAAAATTACATGTGAATATAATTCAAAGGTACACTCGAAGACTAAAAAAATAAAGATGATGACAAAAGAAATTTGAAAGACAGTCGTCAATTGCGGTGTGGCAGTACATTTGTGTTTGCAGACAATGCATCGGACCTGACGCCACTTTCAACAATTTTATTTTTATTTTCCGCATTTTATTTTTTGCTTAAAAAATACAAGTTTAAATATCAGAAACAAAATATCTTTGTTTGTTTCAGGAATGGATCAATTCACCGAAAATAATCTAAAGCAGCGACTTGCAACCCTTACAAATCAACAAGAGTCTATATTGTCATTATCAAAATGGCTTCAAGCTAACTATCAAAATCGCGAAATTATTATTTCGATATGGTTAAAAGTGAGTTATTTTTAATATTTCAAAATTAAATACGCATTTTTTTGCAGGAGCTTCGTAAGCAATCGAATACTTCGCAAATTATAAACTTGTTGTATCTCGCAAATGATATAGCTCAAAATACAAGGAAATGGTGTCCGCAATACAAAACTGATTTTTTTCCAGCAATTGAAAATGCTTTCAAGTATGTTTTCGTATAGTGCGAATTTAATTAAATTGTTTTTTTAAAGACATGCAAGCAGATTGAAAAGCACGGAACTCGAAAAAGCGTTAACAAAATTGGCGCATATCTGGAAAGATCGCGAAATTTATTCGGCATCTCAATTGAAAAAATTGTCCGATATTTTAAGCCAAAAGAAAATGTCAGCAAGTTTTCCAACGCCTGTCAATGACCCTGTTAGAGTGGGTAGATTAATTTAAGACGCAAAAAATATAATGTGTTCAGAATCCCCAAATTAATCATTATATAGAAGAGGAGGTGAAAAAGAATGCGCAAGACGTGTTGATGGCGTTGAAGCGACTTCAGAATCCACCGAGTACCGAACGAGAAATACGTGTTGTTCTCTCTCAGTTTCCTGAGTCGATTTCATGCCCAGAGAAGTTGCAAACTGTTAGAAGCTCGGCAGAAGCTCAAGAGTTGCTTAAGAAAAATGAAGAAGCCCTTCCATTGCTCGAGGACTATGTGAAAAGGTATGTGAACTTATTTTTATTTCTAAACCTTCTATATTATTCTTTTTTTTCCAAGGCTGAAGGATGAAACACACGAAAGGGAAGATTTGCAATCAATGCTTGAAAGTCTTATCCAAAATGTTCGCTTGAGTGTGGAACATCAAGAAAAACTACTGAAAGAAGTGAAAAGAAAAGAAGACAGATTGAAATCAGACTTGCTTGAAGTATTTCTTAATTTTTTTCATGTATTGAACGTCTCAACAAAATATGTTCAGGTTGAACGCTCTTTCGAATCATTGCCTGATCTCACAGCGGAAATGCCGGTCGTTGAAGCGCCGTTACCTTCCTTGGACAAATTGTTTGATCTTTGAACATCGTTTAGTTTCCATTTGTTTTTTCATTTATTTATTTATTTATACGGGTGGTCTATTATTGATCTTGCTGCCTGAGTTACTGTAAAATGGGATTTTTAATTATTTTATTTTAATACATTTAATATGCATTTAATAAAAAAAGAAACCTTTTGCGATTAGATTCCAGATATTTTCTCTAAAAATGGTTTACAAACCAATCAATTTTTATTCTTATGTCTATAATTGAGTTTTCTAATTTGTTGTATAGATGGGAATCCTTGAAAAAATCGCCGAAATTGAGCATGAGATCTCGAGAACTCAGAAAAACAAAGCCACCGAATATCATTTGGGTCTTTTGAAGGTGGTTTTTAATTTTTTAAGCAATTTTGTTAAAGATTAATTTAGGCGAAATTGGCGAAATATCGCCAACAACTTCTTGAGCCAACTGGAAAAGGAGGTGCCAAAGGCGAAGGATTCGATGTGATGAAAAGTGGAGATGCCCGAGTTGCTATGGTAAAAAATCATTTCTTTTTTTTCATTATTTATAGAGATTTTCATTTCCGGTGGGATTTCCTTCTGTTGGAAAATCAACATTGCTCTCGAATATGACTACAACTCATTCGGAAGCTGCTGGATACGAATTCACAACTCTCACTTGTATTCCTGGAGTAATTCAATACAATGTACATCTGACAGTTTTATTATCATTTTTCAAATATATATGTAGAATAATTTCAGGGTGCGAATATCCAATTGTTGGATTTGCCCGGAATTATTGAAGGCGCTTCTCAAGGAAAAGGTCGAGGAAGACAAGTAATTTCTGTTGCCAAGACTGCTGATCTGATTTTGATGATGTTGGATGCTGGAAAAAGTGATCAGCAAAAAGTTGAACTATTCTTACACACTTTCAAATGTCGATTAAAAATTTTTTCAGACTTTGCTAGAACGAGAACTGGAGGCTGTGGGTATTCGGCTAAACAAGTCGCCTCCAAATATTTATGTGAAACAAAAGAAGGTTGGTGTATTTCATGGAGAAATCACAACAGAAGAGTTTGCTTGCAGATCGGAGGAGTGAAATTCACAAACACCGTCCCATTGACACACTGTAATGAGAAACTGATTATGACAGTTCTCCACGAGTACAAAATCTTTAATGCTGATGTGATTTTTAGAGAGGACGCAACGTAAAAAATCAACCATTCATCTCTAATTTTGAAATTTTAATTTCAGAATTGATCAGTTTATTGATGTGATCCAGGGAAATCGAGTATATATGACATGTCTTTACGTGTACAATAAAATCGATCAGATTTCAATTGAGGAAATTGATAGGCTTGCCAGGTAATTGAAATGTATATTTGGTGTCCGACGACTGTTGTACGCGGGTAGATTTACGCGCCTGCGCCTTCCCTATGGTCTCGCACGGACTAACTGATTATTTTGCATTATTTTGATTTTCAATGATATTAAGAATTCAAGGAAAAAATTAAAGAGCTCACGTGAAAATTTCAAATTAAGCATTCACTTGTGGCGAGACCATTTCGAAAGGCGCACCCCGTAAATCTACCCGCGTACATCAGCCGCCGGACGCCGAATATATGATAATTTACAACACGTCTTGCAAAAAGTGTTTTAGGTTACCACATCATGTTGTGATTTCTTGCGAAATGAACCTGAACATGGATTATCTTCTCGAAAAGATTTGGGAATACTTGGCACTTATTCGAGTTTACACCAAAAAACCTGGAAATGCGCCTGATCTTGGTATTTTTATCGAAATAATCGCATATTCAATTATTTAATTGTTAAAGGACCCGAGGACGGAATTATTCTTCGCAGCGGAGCCACAATTGAGCACTGTTGCCATGCACTTCATCGATCGATTGCTTCCCAATTGAGATACGCGATCGTCTGGGGAACATCCACCAAATTCTCGCCACAACGTGTTGGATTGCACCACAAATTGCACCATGAAGACGTTATTCAAATTGTTAAAAAGTGATTTTTAGTTATTTTTATAGAAAACCTCGGGTTTCTCGTTCCCTTTGTTATTTTATTGTTTTTACTTCAGTAAAAATTTTTGATATTTGAAAATTGATTTTTTTTTATTTATGAGAAGGTTTCTAACTCCTTTCAAATATATCGTTGGTTCAACATATATTTAAGTTTTTCGGTTCAATTTTCACTTTCAGATGATTTTGCGAATTTTAATATTATTCCTACTAACCATCAATCATTCCGATCAAGAGAGATATTTCCCATCGCTCGGACGCGGTGAGCAATGTGCTGGAACAGGAGCCACAAATCAGAAGACAACGGAGAAGCGATATGTTTCTGAGAATCCATTGGGACCCGTAATTGAGTGCTCATTTTTGCCTGAAGCTTTTATTGACTGCGAAGAGCCAGTTCTTGTTCCGAACTATGTTCAGGAACAAAATGGACAACAACCTAATATTTCGTATAAGGTAAATGTAAAAATTAAAATTTGTTATTTATCTATTATCTTCAGGATGTTGGAAAATGTGTGAAAATGGGAGGGAGTCGAGCAGAAGACATCGAGTTCACCAACGTCAAATGCCACGTGCTTCCGTGCATTGAATGTCGAGGAAATCGAACATTTTCGAAGCTCACACCGTGTATCAAGTTCGTCCGAAATTGTTCGTTGGATTTTAATTCCAATATTATTTTAAAGGTACACTGGCCACTACTTTCTCTCAACCCTCCTTTACTCAATTTTCCTCGGTGTTATCGCAGTCGACCGTTTCTGTCTCGGATATTCTGCGATGGCTGTCGGGAAACTGATGACGCTTGGAGGATTCGGCATCTGGTGGATCGTCGACATTTTCTTGCTCGTTTATGGAGCACTGGTGCCTGCAGACGACTCAAATTGGGAACCAAATTATTAATTTTATCATTATTGCTATTATTCATGTTCGAAAATTGTAATTACGGGAGTATGTATTTAATAGTTAACACTTTAAAGAATTTCTTTGTTTCGATCTCGATCATTTCTTCTGTGCATTGATAGTCACCTGAAATATAAGGGTTGTAATAAGTATAAATAATAATTTCTTTTTGGTTTTACTTTTATCGTAGATAAATCTCGATTGTCAACTAGACAGTTGCAAAATTTTTGAACCAACGCAGCGAGTTGTTCGGGTCTATCATCATAAGGAACATCTGAAGACTACTATGGAATACATCAATTGTTTGAAATTTCCCACTTGAATTTTTATCTTTTTTATGAAGTTCGATTTCCGATTGTCGATATGGACCAGTAAACACAGAGATGCGATTCTAAAATTTTTCAAAAAGATTTTTGAGAAAAATCAAATCCAAACCGGCGTCTTTTTGACGTTTAGTAGTTCTGGAGCGAATGGTTCTTCGCTTGCATCCCATTCATGGTCCGAATATGACGGCAATGCTTCTCCTTTGGCTTAAAAATATTCAGAATAGGCGTTATTCTTGAATATATCCAAAATTACCATCATCTTTGACTTCCAATTTAGGCAATTGACGAATTGATTTCTTAAAATCGACTGGTTTCTCAGGAGTATGCGGCGAATTCGAGCCTTCCATTTAATTTAGAAATGATCGTCATTTTCATTTATTGAAATTATTCATTTATTATTTTTGAAATGAGTTCGAAAAGAACCAAATCACCAAAATCGCCGGGTATTTCTTTCAAATCGTTTTAAAATCATTATTTCATCGCCTTATTTCTAGTTGTTGGAGAAGCACTTCCAACATGTTCAGAAGCTGAATGGGATGCCAGTGATGAACCATATTCAGCAGAGCTATTGAATGTTAAAAAGAAACCAGTAAAACGACACATAAATATTTAATTATACGAGTTTTTTCAAGAATCGAGTCAACGTGTTTTCTGCGACTGAGAAACAATTAGAAGATGCGATTCCGCCATCTCCAGTTCTTCCAAAAGAAAAAAGTATGCTCAAATTCATATTTTTTTTTATTATCGGAGTCAAACGAATGGACGAAATTTAAAAAAAAATATTGGCTGTGTGCCAATGCGTCTCGAGAGTACGCGAGATTGCGTACATTGCATTATAGTTTACGCACATTTAATATTCAGTCAACAATTAATTTAAACCTACACTGAATTCATGAATTTGAAGCGAATCCTCTTTTCAGTCGTTTGAATATATCATTCTGAATACATTGCAGAAGTTGAACATGATTTTCATCAAATAGCAAAACTTGTGCAAAAAATGTGCAGAATATTCATAGAAAATCCATTATCGGCCGATTCGGAAGTGCACATTCGACTAGAATTCCCTGATGAGCGAAATGATCAACCGAAAAAGAAATAATTTTAACAAAATCAGATTATTTAAATTTGAATAATAAACTTGTTTAATTATTTTAAAATTTTTTCACTTCTGAGAGTAAAAATATTGAACCACCAATATTGTTTTTGTCTTCAGAAGCTTACTAACTTCTGAAGACAAATATGGAAAAAGCTTCGTTTCATCGTATATCTCAAACCTAATCACACGCCGATGATTCAGGAGAATCGATTACAAGGATTGTTCGTAAATCAATAAACTCTTAATGAAATCGGAAACGAGAATACGCAAAGAATGATATAGAAATTCGACATTCCCCTCAAAAGCGCTATTTTCATTCGCATCGACTTCTTCGCCACCTCAAGATTTATCTACTCACTTTCGATTTTAGCCGAAACTGTCTGGATAGGTAATAGTGGACAGGATGCGCGATATGCTTTCAACTAGCCCGACCGTCGACCCGGTCAATTCTCACTTGAACGTTCTAGCGGTTCGCACATTATGTACATATTAGGCAGCTTTCAGTTTTCTGAAACGTTTCAAAAAATCTCGAAGATTCGATCCATCCAGGGTGGGGTTCTTCTTTTTTTTTGCGATCGCCGTCGAGAACGAGACAATCCAATCCAATCCCTTATCACCTAATCCACTTTTTTGCCGCGTTTTCTCGTTTACCCAATTTGTTTGACTGACTCGCGATAATCGCCGAAAAACTTGAATATTCGTTTAAGAACAACCGCATGATTAAGGTAGAATAAAGAAGAAGAAGAAGAAGCATTGGATTGGGGGGTCGATTATTGAAAACTTCTCATGATTATATCACTTCGCATCGATCTCAACTCTCATTTTTTATGCGCGGACATGTCCTCTTTTGTTTTCAATCCAGGAAAAATTGAAAAAGATACGCGCGTTGCGCGGTTATACACACCATCATCATCATTGCCGTCGGTTGGCCTAAATTAGTACCCGGCTTTTGTCTTTTTTGAACAGCGGGAGACACACATTCCATTCGGTTTTATTGATAGTGTACTTTTCCTTTTGATCCGTCCATTTATTCTCTATTCCTTTATAAATATTATAATAATTTTTTTTAAATCGAATATCGCGGAAGATGTTTCAAGAATCGTGTTTCGATCGTATCTCGGTGAAAGTTTTTCGGCAAAAAATTCAAAAATTCAGGTCAACCATTACAATTTTCTTTTTTTGAAAAATTCTCCCAACTTGACCAAATTTCTATAATTTTTTTCGAAAAAAAAAAATGAAATTCATTTTTTTTCTCGCTAAAAATTTTTCTGGCTCGAATTTTTCTTTGCATTCCATCATTTGAATTTCAAATTTTCAACCAATTTGGCATTAATGGTTTTTTTTTAGATTTTTTGGCTATAATTATCGCATATAAATCAAACAGCCGATTTTTGAAACCCACACCGATTTCGGTTTGTTTCGTATTCTTGAAACTCGACGCGGTTATTTATTTTTTGGGTGTTTCGAAAGTGAAACAACCCGAAAAACATTGCCGACAAGCCAATTTGCTAGTCGCTTTTCACTCGCTTTTTTTCGCTAATTCGTCTGCCTCGACCGTAATCGAAACCATTCCTCCAGAAATTATCGGGTAGATCAATCAAATGATCATCCGCACATTGCTGTTGGCGCTGCTCTTCGCAGGGGTCGCCCACTCAGGTCAGTTCAGCAAATCTCGAAGTTCAATTAAACCAAGGCGATTCCGCATTATGCACGACGATTGTGACAAAATTTATATAATGAAACGGATTCCTAACTATGCATAACTATATTAGATACAGAAGGGGCTGGATAGAAAAAAGGAATGTTTATAAATTTGTTGTGTCCTTGTGAACGAGCCAACGTAGAGAATATATTTATTAGACACAAATATGAATAACTGATCATTGAGCGTAAAAAGGGGTTTTTATATCGCTCCTATGAAACGTGTGCCACGTGGTATGTCACGTGACGTGTCGAGGTCACGGCTCCAACATCTCCCTCGCTAGTTCGAAACATAGGTGTTTCGGGATGGATTGATCTGTAGTCGTCTGACCGGCTTCGGGATCCTTGTTGAACGACGTAGAACAGGAGATGGGGTCCTTTGAATGGCGGTTGTGATATCCGAGTCCGAATCCATGTCGATTGGCATTGGGATTTCATATAGGTCCAGTAGCGTCTCAGTTGCGTTCCAGTCGTTCCTAGGTCGGAGTTGGTTAGCATGGCGAGTCCATAGTTGTCCTTGACACTTGACGCGGTATGTAACTTTTCCTGTACGTTCGACGATGGTGCCAGCGGTCCATGTTGGCTTGGAGAATCGTAAATCCTTCGCGAAAATAGCGGTTCCCTCTTCGTAGGCAATGTTCCTTGCTCCATGATGACGGTTGAATTGCGATTCCATTTTCTCGTTGCGCGGTCCAGGTGTAGTGGTTGTCGGCAACAGCAAGGCCAGGGGCGTCCGCATTGGTCTTCCCAAAAAGTTCTCAGCAGGGGATTTGGCATCCGGTCCAGCTGGGCATGGTGTTGATCGATAAGCTTGGAGAAACGTTTGAAGGGCTTCTCGCGATGGTTCTTCTCCTTGAAGCTTCCTGATACCTCTCTTGAATGTGTCGACAAATCGCTCCGCTTGCCCATTTGATTGCGGGTGGTAGGGCGGTGTCCGAATGTGATTGATTCCACGTTCTGCGCAAAATTGTCGGAATGAGCTTGCCGTGAACTGTGTTCCATTGTCCGTTACGAGGGTTTCCGGATTTCCGAATTGTGCGAAAACCTTCTTCAGGATTGTCATCGTTGCTGTCGTCGAGATGGTTGACGTCTCGTGAATTTCCGGCCATTTCGAGTGGGCATCCACTACAATCAGGTAGTACGATCCATCTACGGGTCCAGCGAAGTCGGCGTGAACGCGTGTCCATGGTCCAGAGGCGGCAGGCCATGATTGAAGTTCCGCTTTGATGGGGTTCTTGGCGGCAGCTTGACAGTTTCCACAACTCTTGACAAGATCCTCGATATCCTGGTCCAGCGATGGCCAGTAGACGTAACTTCTAGCGAGCATTTTCATCTTGGTTCCTCCAGGGTGAGCCTTGTGCAGTGCGGTGAGAGTTCTTCTTCGGAGTGTAGCAGGTACGACGATCCGGTGGTTGAACATGAGGCATCCATTGACTATACTGAGGTCTTCTCGTCGGTTGAAGTAGTTCCATTCTGGTTGCTTCCTTGTGAGCTTCGGCCATTTTCCGGTGGTGACGTAATCAATGATCCGGCGGAGAAGCGGTTCCATGCGGGTGTGATGACGAACTTGGTCGGCGGTGATGGGCAGATTCGAGCAGCGTTCGGTCTGATCGGCGATGACTTCAGCTTCGACGGCGGCAATTACTCGATCTTCGTTCTCCATAGTGCGGGCATGTTCCGATATGAGACGGGAGAGTGCGTCGGCTTGTCCAAAATCCGTTGTCCTGACGTATTCGATGGTGAAGTCGTAGTTGAGCAGCATTGTGGCCCAGCGTTGGAGACGGTTTGCGGCGAATACCGGTACTCCCTTCTTCGATCCGAAAATGGCAAGGAGAGGTTTGTGATCCGTGCGCAGGGTGAATGTCCGTCCGTGTATGAATCGGTGGAAATTTTGGATTGCGAAAATGAGCCCAAGTGCTTCTTTCTCGATTTGGCTGTAGTTCCGTTGAGCGGCTGTCAGTGTCCGGCTAACATGATATACAGCTTTTTCCGTTCCATCCGGCATTCGATGTGTGAGGACGGCTCCAATTCCATTGGTTGATGCGTCAGCGGCGACTATGAGCGGCAATCTGGGGTCATAGTGCGTGAGCAGGAGGTCCGATGAGATGACTTCCTTAATCCGATCGAAGGCAGCTTGACATTGTGATGTCCATGTGAAACGCACGTCCTTCTTTGTGAGCGCATCCAGTGGTTGTCGAAGGGTGAATAGGTCCTTGACGAATGCTCCATAGAATTGAACCATTCCAAGAAAAGATCGGAGTTGTTTGATATCCTTTGGCGGCGGCATTTCGGAGATGGCTTCTACCTTCAGCGGGTCCGGCCGGCGTCCGTGAGCGTTGACGATGAAACCAAGAAATCGGATTTCGTCCATTACGAAGCGGCATTTCTCCAGTCTGATTCGCAGTCCGTATTCTTGTAGGCGCTGGAATACGGTGTCCACTCGTCGATTGTGCTCTTCGAGGGTTGATCCAGTGATGATGATGTCGTCCAGATAGGCGGCGACTCCTGGGATTCCTGCGATCAGCGAGTCCATGAGTTGTTGGAAGATGGCAGGTGCTGTCTTGACTCCGAAAGGTAGGCGGTTGTAGGTGTACAATCCAAGGTGTGTGTTGATGGCGAGGAGTTGGCGAGAATCCTCGGCGACTTCCAATTGCAGGTAAGCTTCACTAAGATCCATTTGACTGAAAATCTTAGCTCCGTTCATGGCTGCGAAGATGTCGTCCGCAGTTGGCAGTGGGTGCTGGTGTTGTTCGAGGGCATCGTTGAGTCCTGTTGAGTAGTCGGCGCACATTCGAATAGACCCGTTCTTCTTCTTGACGACAACGATTGGAGCGGCCCAGTCCGAATGGTCGATCTTCGCGAGCACTCCTTGAGCAATGAGGCGTTCTAATTCTTCAGTGACGCGTGGGAGAGCAGCATACGGGACGGGTCTTGACTTCCGGAAAATTGGCGTGGCATCCGGCTTCAACTTCAGGCTGGCAGTCGTTTTGGTGCATCTTCCTAATCCTGGGTTGCATACGTCCGCGTATTTCTTCATTATCTCCTCACAAAGCTTTCGTCGGCCATCCTTGAGGTCGTGCGAAGTGATCTCGATCCGCTTGGTGTACGCGTCAGCGGCGGCATCGTCCGTGAGCAAGAGAGAGCGGGGAATGTGCTGGATCCAATCCAGTCCGAGGAGTGTGGCGGTATCGGCTACATGACAATATCCGGATCCGTGTTGTCCATTGATGATGAACTTGCAGTTGAACCGTCCTTTGAGGCGAATCCTGTTGTTGTTGGCGGCTTTCAGATTGACGTTGGCAGGCTCGAGCGATGGTTTCCCAAGTCGAATCCAATCCTTTGTTGAGACTAGCGAGATATCGGCGCCAGTGTCCAATTGCATCTCGACGTCGGTTCCATTGATGTTCACGTTCTTGAAGATCCGGTTGCTCTTGTTGATCCATGCGTGGTTGACTGAGATGAGTCCCAGATGTCCTCCTTGACGTCCTCTGCGGGATCCTTGGCGTTCCCGGCGGGATTCTGGGTTTCGTCTGCTGTCCGTTCGGTTGCGGTTGCAGTCAGCATTCCAGTGAGGTCCTCCACAATGTCTGCATGGTGATGGTGGCTTCTGCTGCGTTGTTGGCTGTTCTGGTTGTGGTTCGGGTGTCCTCGCCTTCGGGGTCGAGGTTCTTCGTGACGTCGTTGATCGTTGTTGGTGGTGGTCCTCTCTCGACATAGCAAAGATGTGCTGGTGGTCGTGGTGAAGTCCTTTGATTGTTGGCGAATTGAGGAGTTTCGCGTCGTCCTTGATTCCAAGAATGCGCAGTACGTCCGCTTGCAATTCGTCCAAAGTGATGCTCGGCTTTGACTCCAGTTGCTGCAGAGCCCGGGTGCGTACGTCCATGAATTCCGGTCCGTTGAGACCCATGATCCAGACGAGAATCTGGGTTTGCTCCGGCGTCGTCGTTGCCCATTCTGCTTGCGCGAACTTCCTCTTGATTTGACCAGTGTATTGAACAAGATCCGAACCAGTGAATTGCGATTGCAGAAATTCGAATCGGCGTCGGAATACAGACTTCGAGTGTCCAAAGAGAGTCTTGAGCCGGGTGATGGTCTCTTCGAGCGTCAGATCCGATGGTTTCCTTGGCAGGATGTTGTCGGCGTACTTGGCGAAAGCGGGGGCATCGAGCTTTGATAGGATGATCCTGGTTTGGGTGCCGTCGTCCAATGTTGATCCATCCAGTCGCAGAATGTCCTCGTACCGTGAATACCAGATTTCGAATGTGGTTCCTTCATCCGGGTCGAAGGAGAATGTCGGTAGTCGAGTCGTCAGAGAGTCGATAAGCCCTGTTTGGGTGTTTGGTTGTGCGGGAGCGGTTGGTGAAGTGCCTGGTCGTCCCTCCATCAGCAGTTTGGTGATTTCTCGAACGAAGTCTTGGTTCTGCTTCGCTTGCTCTGCCAAGAGCAGTTTGACTGTGTTGACGTCCATGGTGCGTAGATCCTGATCGCCAGTTGTTGTGTCCTTGTGAACGAGCCAACGTAGAGAATATATTTATTAGACACAAATATGAATAACTGATCATTGAGCGTAAAAAGGGGTTTTTATATCGCTCCTATGAAACGTGTGCCACGTGGTATGTCACGTGACGTGTCGAGGTCACGGCTCCAACAAAATTGTATTCAGCCCTTCCGCAATGCAGATTCGACTCCAGACAGGGATTCTACACATCGATTCGTTCCGATCTTGAGATTGGTGAAATCATTCTCAAAGGCACCGTCAACCCTCCAGATGCAGATTTCATGATCGCCAACGTCAGATCCGATTCGTTTAATAATGTTTGCAATTTCGTTTTCTTTTAAATGCGACAATTTGTTATTTGAGACCGATTGGGCTGATCGTGTCGTCGTGGATCGAACAAATTTGTCCCCTGGCTCATTTGTGGTCCGAGTGGCCGCTTCATTGTCCCTTCCAGTCTATCCGTCGCCCACGAGGGAAGCGAACATGTTCGTAACAGTGGTCTGCAACGGATACGCCTATCCGCTGTTCACAATCCACATCGAGCCGACCAACAGATTCTCTCCGCAATTCTACAATGAACCCTATCACATGTTCGTGCCAAAGGTAGAAAAACAATGGGTGGTTTAGTAGAAAACAAAGAGCATTCTAAAATTTGAGAATCTACCGATTTGGACTGTTCTCGAAACGCCTGTCGCGGCAATCGATTGGGATCCAGCATCGAACTATTCGCTTCAATTCTCTTTGGAGGTCTAGCAGAATTCTATTTTTTTTTTATTTTTGCAAATTTCACTTCCAGGATTCTCATAAGGGCATCGAATTAGTCGATGATAAGTCCACACCGAGAAAAGTGTCCGGAAAACTGATTTCGGGAAGTGAGCATTGGCCGGACATCCAAAAACCTTCGATTGTTCGTCTTAAAGTCGTTGGACCTTACAAACTTCCAATGAATCTGAGACTTGCAGTGACTGTATGTTTAAGAAAAAAAAATTAATTTTATAAATTATGAGCTGATTCGCTTCTTTTTAGGATGGGGAAAGAAAAACGACAACATTTTTGAAGCTTTATGAGAAAACCGACTCAGCTACCCATCCTTCAGTCGCTGTGATTAGCAATACCACTCCAGTTGCTTCGACGTCAGCTGCTACCAGTCCGACTACAACGACATCTGAATCCACCACAACAAAGGAATCAACGTCTCCCACTACGAAAGTCTTTACGACAACTACACCTTCAACTACAACAACGACAACAACGACAACAACGACGACGACGACGACTACATCTCCTTCTACGACGACTACAGAAGCAATAACGACGACAGCCAAGCAGGAGACAACTACTGCTGAATCCAAAAAACCCATTGAGGAACTTCTTCCCAAGAAAGTTGATGAGGTGAAAGCGAGGGCATTCGCGGTGAAGAATCGGGAACTGAATGCGATTGAAACGGACGAACTTGAGCCTGTTGGATTCCAGCAACCGACGAGATTCGCCCAATGCTCACAGAGAGTCCTTCTTCGCGAGAATTCTCCGAAAGGCACGAAAGTGCTGCATCTCGACATTTTGAATCCAACAAAAGACACCAAAGTGAATCTCTTGGATCCTGACGGAACATTTGAGTTGGATGAAGCTGCTTTCGATATAATTGTCAAGGATCCAAGGATGGTTGATAGGGAGTTGTTTAATTCGTTGGAACTTATTGCTGAAATTGAAGTAAGAAATTCAATGGGTGTTTAGTAATTATTAATTAATTCAGGGAGCAAGTTTGAGCACACAATGCACCAAGAATCGAATATACGTCGACTTGGAAGATGTGAATGATAACAGGCCGGTTTTCGAGCAGGAAAGTTACTTCTTCCACATTGTGGAAGAGTTTCCGCCCGGCGGAAAAATTGGAACTCTGATTGCTCAAGACATCGATCAAGGCAACAATGGCGATATCACTTATCATCTTCTGACTCCCGAAGTTCCGTTCCAAGTTGGAACCCAAGGGAAACGCGCTGTGATCATGACGACAGGACCCCTCGACGCCAAAAATGCTCCATACAATTTGATAGTTGAAGCAAGAGATCATGGCGATGAGCTCGTTAAATCGGCCAAAGTTCCCGTGGAGATTTTCGTATTGGGCTCGGCAATCAACCAGAGTCCCGTTTTGAATGGCGTGAAAAATACCGAAGTGAACAAGAAGATCGATGTGGTGAAGAGCCTTGAAATTGTTGATAGCAGCGAGGAAGAAGCTGAACAGAAGCCGACTACAGTAGTGACAGCGACAACAGTTGAGCAGCGTCAGGAAATTGATGATGACAATGAGTACGATGATGAAGTGACGTCGGCTCAGACGCCAGCGGCTGCTGTTGAATCAACAACCGCTTCAGAAGGACTCGAAGAAGAAAGAGATGAGGAGGAGTTAACATCGTTGGCAACGACCCCGACAACAGCGATAACGAAAGATTCAGAAGATGAGGAGGTTGAAGACGAGATCGTTGAGACACAATCTACGACTCCTATTCCAACAAAGACAACTCGTCAGCCAACTACAACCGAAGAGAACCGATTTGAGGATGAGGATGAGCCGGAGGAGGATGATGTGACGAGTGCGAATCCGACAGAATCAAACGAAGAGAAATTGGAAGAGGAAACCTCGAACGAACTCCCTCAAAAATCAATGACTAATATTGATCTATTTTTGCAAAAACAGAATGAGATTGAATCGAAAGAAGAGAATTCGGTTGAAGAAGTTACCGAAAAACCGAGAGCATTCCGATTTAACAAACTCAAATATCGATTCGAGGTCTATGGAGATGATATTGAGGAAGATGATGTTATCGGACGAGTTGAAGCTGCTCCAGACGCACAATTCTATGCTATTGATAGAGAGGTAATTTAGTGAATGTATCTCAATAGTATTATAATTATTAATTTATCGATTTTCAGGTAGCCGGAATTGTGAAAATCAACGACGCCGGTGAGCTATTGGCGGGCGACTCGCTCAAATCGCATCCGACGGGTCCCATCGAGTTCGGCGTCTCTTCGACGAACGGCGTCACAACGGTAATTATGTTTTTGTCGTAAATTTTGGCGCAAAAATGACAACAGAGGCCACACATTAATTATGTGTTTTCAACATTTTGCGAGGGGTGTCTCACCTGGCAATTTTCCAAATATCGCATAAATTAGTCAATGCGCCTTTAAATGATTGCCGGCCGGCGACTTCCGACGAATTATTGATGAGCTTTGCGTGACAACTCGTAGTACTCACGACATACATAATATACTCATAGTAACGATTATTGAAAAGGTGGATTTTGAATTGGTTCAGAGATTGCGGGCTTATTGTTCCCATCAAGTGGTTTCATATACTAATAACGGGGGTATCTTGAGACGCGGGTTAATCCGCGCCTAATTATATGTGTGTGTAGCGATATATGGGCTGAGAAGATATTAATAAAGAGAGCGGACGGCTCGATTTCCGGCTCAATGCAGATGCGAGAGACCCTCCTCCGATTGCACATTAACTCCCAATATATCCTGTTTCGAACCTGTCAATTAAGAGGTGAAAATGATTGGTGGGACCTCGGAAATCCCCGATTTGATTCGATCAATTGAAATGAATGGTTTATAGAAGAAGATTGTATCAGTTTAGAAAAATTGCAATTTAATCTAAAATTAAAAACGGGGAATTTTTGATATTATTTGCACGCAATTAATTAAAGAAGTCACCGAAAAATCGAAAATTTTCCTTGAAATACGAAAAGCGTTTAAATTGCCGCCAAAACAGCTATTTTTGCGGACTTGGCTAATTTTTGTATTTTCCTCGCAAATTTCATTATGATTTGAGGTTTCAAAAATCAGAAAAATTAAAAAAACGTTCGCGCTCGAAAATGTGTGAAAACACTGTGACGCACAATTCACAGAAAAAACACAAAAAATATATATTTCTTTTGATTTTTTCACATCAGACTTTTCGCAAAAAAAGTTGAAATTTTTTAAAAGCATAAATCTAGTTTCACTTTATTATTGGACCCATAATTAATGTCGTCTAAGCAGTTTCAATGGCACATCGAATTTGGGTGGGTTGCTTTAATTTAAATTCTTCAATGACTTCAATATTTTTCGTGGACGGACGAACGAATTTGAGAAATTTGAATTGCGCGGTCTGTCATTTAATTGGTCCCGCAAAACGAAATCGACTCCGTCATTCGTCATCTATGCTATTAACCAAAGTACTTAAAATTCATTAAAAATTATTCTCCTTCATATTATGATAGTTAGAAAACGTAAAAATCGCTCCTAAAAGTTTTTCCATACGAGACCCAAGGCGGCAATTCAAACAATACCCCAATCGCAGCACCCCAAATTCGTCCGTCGTCGACTAAATGTAGCAGGAAGACATTTGAAACTAACGCCCGCAATTAAGAGCTTAATCGTTTGTTTTATTAATTCGCCGCCAAATTAGATGATAATAGCGGCGAGTGGGAGACGACGGAGCACGAGCACACGCCGACCGCTCGGCGTCATCTGTCGCGGCACTTTTCTCGCCCCGTGTGTTTTTTTTGTGTTCATGATTCGCCTTGGCAACAGGTTTCTCTGCGCTTCTGCAACTCGCGTGCCCTCTCGTCCGCATGGGGCGGAGCTATAATAAAGGCTGTCCGCGCAGGTGCATAGCATCAAATTGGTTTGGCGAGTGTGTCAAGACCTTGTAAATTCGCTTGACTAGGTTCCAGGTGCTTCTTCGAGGCGCTCGTATTGTTTGCTTATTCTTTTTTTTTCGCTGTTTCTCGCCGGGTCATTAATGTTTGTTACTGTTCGACGGACCTAAATTGCCACTTATGATTGCGCTCAATGTTAGCCTATATTATTCTGTTCTGCTTGATTTATCATGTAGGTTCTCAATCAAAAAAATTAATTCGAGTGCGGGTTGTGAAGCACTCGATTCGAACAACTACCACCATTGCGAAATTGTATCCTTTTTATTGGCAATTTTATTCGAAAACCAAAACTCTACATTTTTTCTATTTTTTCAGAAATTTGTCAAAATTCAGCAAATTTACATTTTTTTTTTAGAAATTTTCTGAAATTGAAGCCAACTATTAGAATGAAGTATTTTTACTGAAAACAAAATCCAATGAAATTGTCGAAGAATTACATTTAAAACGATAAAAAAAAAATAAATTTTCGATAATTAAAATTATTTTAAAAAATCGTTCACTTCAATTTCTATTCGCTTTTTTTTCATAAATCGTTTTCAGACGCGATCAACAGTTACTGTGCTTCGTGACGGAACCCGTGATGCGATGTCAGCTCTTCCGCGCTTCGACCAGGACGTATACGATTTCAGAATCCGCGAAAACCAACAGCCAAAAGTCATCGGGAGGGCAAAAGTGCTCGAAATTGGCAATTGGAAGCACTTATTTCGAAATTGCAGGCATTCCATTCGGCCCTTTCGACATCCGACTCGCTCAAATTGACGTATACACTGGTGACGCCGTCAAACTTCGACGAGCTTCCGTTCGAAGTGCACACCGAATCCGGCGAAGTGAGCACGAGTCGGCCGCTCGATGCCGAACAAGCGCGAGCTTATCAATTCCAGGTTTGCGATTTCAATTTGCTGAAACGAACCGTGCAAACGTTAATCGTCGGCATGACCATTTCGGGTGGGGGGATTAGCAAGCATTGTTGTTGATCGCAAAAGCTTCGAAAACGGATGGAATTGACGTTTTTTGAGATTAAATTGAGACATGTCGATTAATTCGAATCGGAAATTCACCGCCAACTTTTGGATTATACAACGTGCAAAACCGACATTAGTTTTCATATAAATATCGTGGGAAGTTTTGATTATTTGACGGAGAAATATTTTCGTTGGCGGTGAGATTTTATAAATATAAGTATATTGTCAGCGACAAACGACTGAAAGGAGGATTCGCTTCAACTTCGCGAAATTAGTGCAGATTTAAATTAATGACTGAATATTAAATGCGCGTACACTATAATGCAATGTACGCAATCTCGCGTACTCTCGAGACGCATTGGCACACAGCCAATTAAAAAAAATTTTTTTTTAATTTCGTCTTTTTTTACTCCGACAATGCATAATGAACCCACTCAGAATCGAATCGAGCGTGTTAAATATTTCAAAATTGGGCGGTTTTAGATTCGCGCTTGTCTGACACAACGTATTTGCTCGAACGCCGAAATTCATGTGATCGTCGAGGACGTCAATGACAATTCGCCAGTGTTCGTCGAGAGAACCGTCGAAACATCGATCGGAAGTGACGTTCCGCCAGGCACGAAAGTGATTCGCTTGTATGCGAATGACGCCGACACTGGCAAAAATGGACAGATCACTTTTATAATCAACCCGGAAAGCGGTATCCGATAAAAATAATTGTTTGAATGTTAGAAAATCAATTCTCAGAAGTGTTCTCGATTAATCCATCGACGGGACAGATTGTGACCACTCAAACTCTAACCGAGCCATTGTATACATTGTTGGTGACCGCTTCTGATAGCGGAATTCCGAAACGAAGTGACAGTGCTCAAGTCAAAATCAATGTTAGAGGATCGAACCCATCGTCGCCGGTGTTTGACCAGGTTTGTCCGAATTATCAAAAAAAAAATAGCAGGATGAATTAAGAAAGAGTACGCATTCTCCGTGGTTGCTCCGATTCGAATTGGACAAGTAATTGGCGAATTGCATGCGATGGATCCAGACCCAGGTGTCGAAGGAATCGTCTCTTATCGCATTCTTCCTTCTGACAACGACGATCATCGAAGATTCTCAATCAACAAAAAAGTAAACTCCGTTATTTTTTGCTGTTTATCTGAAAATGTTCTTATAGACTGGAGTAATTTCTGCGCTCGAAACATTGAATATTGATGATGGGCCGATTAAATTGAACGTAGAAGCATCTGATAATGGAAAGAATATGAAAAGAAAGGTAATGAATGAATTAGTTTTAAGCAAAATAATAAATTTCAGACAACATCTGTTGTTAATATTGATATAATTGAATCAAAAACTCTCAAATTCTTGCCGCTTCCAACCACGATTTATATTTCAACAGAAAAGGTACTTTTATTTTTTTTCGCTATCAGTGTGTATTGTGGGAAACTGTGGAAGATTGGTTAATTGTCAAAATATTTAAATTAGAGGTCTTGGTGCGCGGTATGCACCTTTGACCTCTGTATGGGCCCGTAAATCTACAATTCGAGTTTTGCGCCAAGATCATTTCTATCGCTTTTTTGGCATTTAGCCAGTTTTCCGCAGACTTCGAAATGTACATGAAATGGTTGTTTTCAGCCAGTTGGAAGTGTCGTTTTCCGCGTCTCTGCTTCAAGTTCCGACGATTCTCCGATAAAATTCAAAGTGCTTCAAGAAAGCTCGCAATTTGTGATGGACGGCGACCTCCTTCGAGTCTCGAATCATCTTGTCGAAGGCGAATCGATTCTGCTGATCCGCGCTGAAACTGACGCGAATCATGTCGATCATCGGCTCAAAGTTGTCGTGATGGCTGACCGAGACAAATATCCAGTGTTTCCACAATTGACCTATGATTTCGATGTGGCCACTGAAGGCAAATTTCCGAGAGTCATTCATCAGTTCAATGCGAAACTCGCGAATGGCTCGATTCAATACTCATTCTTCCCACCGACTCCTCCAAATGGATTTTATCTCGACGAGAAAACGGTATCAACAGCGATATTCGTGTATTGACATGATAATTCCATTTAGGGCGAATTATTCGTGACATCGCAGTTCCCTAATGAGCATCGAGATACGATATTTGTCGTCGTCCGCGCTGTGAACACACACTTCCGCAAATTTTATTCCGATGTCGGGGTTCGTTGTTTTTCGAATTATTTTCTTTAAAACTTATTCCGTTCAAGATTGCGATTACACCAGTTTCCCAGTTGAAACCTGTTCTGAAATTCAAACAGTCCTCGTATAATTTCGAAGTCTACGAGAACACTCCAAAAGATGCGATTGTTGGAACATTGACGTTGACACTCGGATCTGGTCCCATTCAGAAGTTCTCGATTGCACCGGATACCTCATTCTTGGGAATTCATGCGAACGGAAGTTTGTTCTTGATGGAATCACTAGACGCTGAACAAATGGATCAACTAGTTCATGATTTCCAGGCAAGAATCTATAATTAGTGGGTGTGTAATGAGCACGTCGATTTCAGGTAACGGCAACCGATGGATTGGATACAGCAAAAACTCGTGTTCAAGTGGCCATTCGCGATGTGAACGAATTCAAGCCGAAATTTGACGATGAGGAATTCGAAATGACAGTTTCTTCGACAGCTGCTCCAGCAACAAAAATTGGAAGAGTTCGTGCTCACGATGAGGATATTTCGGAGAAGAATAAGCTCATTTATCGAATTGTTGGAGGTTTTCTTGACAGTTCTCTTTTTGCCTTCGAAATAATGAAAATCATTTGTAGGAAGTGGAAGAAAATTGGTGTTTATCCAGGAAGACGGAACAATTATCGTTGGAGATGAGCCAATTCCGGATGATGTCGATTCTTTCGATCTCATGATCGAAGTGGTCGATCGAAACGGCAATCATGATCAGACTCACGTTACCGTGTATATCGAAGACACGGATGTCGATGAAGAACCGCCGGTATTTCTGAACCAACCATTAGTTTGGAATGTCACCGAAGGGACCACTGAAACCTACGAACTTCGAGCCACCGGCCAATCCGTTCAATTCCGAATTATCGGCGGAGACAATGATCATCATTTCGACATTGTGAGAATGCCCAACAACAAGGTAATTTGCTCATTTGCACACTTATCCTATGCTTCTTTGTTTTAGGCTCATTTGCGTATCATTTCGGAGCTTGATCATCGTCAACAGTCTACTTACAACCTTCAGATTGAAGCTACCGATGAGCGTACTCAACTAACAACCGTTGCTGAGCTCGTGGTCAACATTGAGAACGTCAATGAACATGCTCCAATGTTTGAGCAGTCCGATTTCACTGGATCGGTATTATTTCGAGGAAAGGCATTTTGCATCTAACTCGTATTACTCGCAGGTTCCAATTGATATTCCGATCGGATTCCCAATCGTGACAATTACTGCGAGCGATATTGATCGAGATCCTATTCAATTCTCACTTCAAGGTATTTCATTTCTGTGTGCTTCGAATATCATCGGTTCATTTCAGGAGATCAGTTGTGCGATTCGCAATTCGCAATCGATTCTCGAGGACGTGTTTCCTACAAGGTGCGACAAGAAGATCGTCAAGCTGGAAATATTGTGTGCCTTGTTGTCGCTTCCGATGGAACGTATTCATCGCATGCGAACCTTCGACTCAGAGTTCTTGAGCGTTCTCAAACAACCGAAGCTCCGAAAAATACGGCGCCGATATTTGAAAAGGATCAGATTAATGTTTTCATCAAACAAGACTCGAAGAACAAATTTATGGCGAGAATCAAAGTAGACGATGCAGAAGGCGATCGAATCGTCTTCTCGATCGAACCCGTCGAATTCCGCAATTTGTTCAGCATTGATCAACACGTATTTTAATAATTATTCGAATATGAGACATTGGGAATCGGTTTTTAGGGAAACTTGAATCTGCTCGTCGAGCCATCTGAATTGGAGCAATCTTCGTATAGCTTCCTTGTGGTTGCCGAAGATCGCGGAACTCCGTTCTTATCATCGTTCACAAATATCAAAGTTACCGTTGACAAGTCAGCTAGTACAGCAAGACCAATCGCTGAGAATCAAGATGTAAAAATATATTATAAGAGGAAAATTAAACCGATTATTTGTAGGGCGACGAGAAAGAGGATGGAAACGAAGAAGAAGGAAGTCGTGAAGAGAAAAACTCCGAAGAAGAAGATACTGAGGTGACACTTGCTCCCAAAACGACTGAAGAATCCGCGGTCGAATCGACGACGACCAAATCGATAGGAAGAAGCACTATTGTGCCAGGTACAACAAAACCTTCTATGTTGCATCACTTTCTGTTATTCTAGATGTCCAGTTCAGCCAGCCCACGTATAACTGGGAAGTTGAAGACGTCAAACCAATCGGAACTATTGTCGGAAATGTGGAAGTCAGTGGGAACGAGGATCGCTCCATCGTGTTTTCATTCATCGATGGCGATCATTTGTCAGCTGATTCTGAAGGTCGAGTGACCGTTTTGACTCCATTCAAATCGACAATCAACGATGTCGTTATTGCTACGAAAAATGTAAGAAAATCGATTATTGCGAACGTGATTGTGCATGAATTTTCAGAACCAAATTCTCGCTGAAGCTCGCGTTTTTGTCACTGTGAAAGCAACAACAACTAGCAGTTCGACGACGACAACGACGACGACAATTCGAACAAGTGTCGTTACGACGAGAACTCAACCACCGCCAACTCTTCCAACAATCGAAGTCACAACCAAGAGACCGACTACGGAGAAGCAGACGACACTTCACACATTGGCGACACTCGGAGTTACGTCTTCTTCTCGAGTTATCCCGCTTGTTGTTGAGACGACAAGTCGTGCTCCAGTCGACAAATTTTCATTTGCTCAACCAATCTATTTCGCGTTCTCCACTGAAGGAAACTATTCATCGGGATTGGAGCTTGAAATCAAACCCGAACCATTGTCGACAAATTTCCTTGGAAATGTCGCCTATTCGATTGAGGATACCACCACGAAATTGCCGTTTTTCATCACAGGTATTGTCGTTGGAATTCGGATTTTTTTCGGAGGAAATCAGATAAATTTGTCATTTGTTTTTTTTTTTCAGAAGACGGAAAACTCATAATTTTCGAAGCAGATCATGAGAAGCATTCGTCCTATATGTTCACTGTCATCGCGAAAACGTTGGAGGAGCCGATGAAAATTGCGAGAACACGATTGAACGTCACGATTCTCGATGTTAATGACAACTATCCGCTATTCGAACCACATCCAGATGTGATCGGCGTTTCGAAGAAAATGCACATTGGAAGCCCGATTTATCAGATGAGAGCATCGGATCCGGACGCGGATTCGGCTATCATATACGATATAACTCCGAAACATTTCTTCTCGATTGATCCGAGAGGTAATCATTTTTCGAATTTGCCCTTCAATTGAAAATTGGTTTAGACGGATTGATTCGCGTCGCAAAAGATTTACAGCGAGCCCCAGATGACGTTGAGCTCGTAGTGGTTGCAAGCGATTCTGGAAGACCGTCGCTCAAGACTGAAGCCAAGTTGCTCATGAGACTTTTCGATTCTCTCGGGCCAAAACTTCCGAAGCAAACGTCTGAGATTGTTGTGCCAACCTCGATGAAACCAGGAGATATCGTAACTCAAATCGTGGCGGGACCAACTGTCTCGGAAACTGATAAAGTTCTCTACCATGTGGACAGCGACTTGTTCGAAATGGAAGCCAATGGTGTTCTTGTTCTGACTCGAAGACCATTGGATGTCGAATCGAATCAATATCATCAGCTGAACATCACTGCTGAGAACAGCCAAGGAACCGATTCGACAATTCTGAATGTCTATGTTGAAGGACGACTGAGTGGAACCACTCCGTCGCCATCTCAAATCGCAGTTTGTCAATTTGAGAAGAAAATTTATCGAGCTCAAGTGAAAGAAAACCTCAAGGATCGAGTAGGTGTGGCGAAGGTTCAATCGAATTGTCGGAAATCAGGAAAACCGGTTCGATACGCATTCCATCACCAGATTCGTACGAGATATTTTGTTTGTCGTTTTCATCAATAATTCCTTTCAGAAGAATTTGAGATCGATGAGCGTACTGGTGAAATATTCACTAGAACTCCATTGGATCGTGAGAAGAAGAACTTCTACTTCATCGTCGTGAATGTTGTCGAACAGCAAAGGTCGAAGCGACAGTCGGATGCTGTGATTCAAGGTGCCGATCGTTTTGAGTTTTCCTTTTGACATTTGTGATTTCATTTCAGACGCGGCTTCAAAATTGGCAGCTTGGCAGACATTGGTGATTGTGACGGTTGTTGATGAGAACGACAATGCTCCGGTCATCTTACACCTTCAAGAAGACTCAGTTCTATCGGCAGTCGTCGACCAAAACGCTGATATTCTGACACCGGTGATTTCAATTCAAGCGAGAGACCTCGACATTGAACCCGAGAATCTCAAATTCTCGTTGGAGGGCGATGCTGATTCGACGTTTATCATCAATTCGACGACTGGATTCGTGCAGCTCGCCAAGAGTCTTTCAAGCTCTTCTCGATCGCAATTCGATCTGTTCGCATCGGTTTCCGACGGAGTTCACGTCGTCAAAGTGCCGCTGTATGTCTACGTGCTCTCGGTTGACATCAATGTTGTCCAATTGACAAAGGACACCGCGCATGTTGATCTAGACCCGGCTAGAATTGAGCGAAGTTTGTCGTCGTCGCTCGACATGGACACAAGAGTTCTTGTTGCTCAACCATATGTGGATGACAACGGAAAAGCTGATCCAAAGCGGAGTCACGTTTTCGTTTATGCTTTGGAATCGCGTTCAAAGAAGCCTGTCGATCGGGAAACCCTTCGCGGACTTCTGATGAATCATTCGAACGATCTGTCGCACCTTCAATTTTCGTCGGTATCGTTGCTCTCCACAAATTCGGCGTCTTCGAATGCGCTGCTCACTGCAATCCTGCTCATGCTCCTCGTTGCTCTTCTTTTATTCCTTTGCGCTCTGATTGCTTTCTGCGTTAAAAGGTATTGTGATCTGACTATTTTTTTGTGATTCCTATCATCCGCGTTTAGACGATCAAAAACCAACAATGCATTCATCGAAGGTGCTTATATGGTGGATTCGACAGGATCCGGACCTCGTCCATACGATGTCGAGAATATTAGCCGTGCGACGGCGCAGAATGTGCTCTCATCTCGACCATTGCCAGATCCACAAACCCATCAGTATGCTTATTTTATTTCTGACAACATTTTTCTTTTCAAAAATGTCCTTATAGAGTCGAATTAGCCGTTTCGCCGGCTTTCCTGCCAGCAGAATCTGAAGAAAGAAGTGACACGACGAGAGAATTCTCGAATAGCGTTCGCGAACGACCAACACTAATCCAATCGGCGATCAGAAAACATAAGGTAAACGTGAAATGTGAATTCGATCAAGTTTGATTCTCATTTTCAGATTCACTCAATGCAGCCTCATATGCTTTCTGTAGATACCGAATTGAGAAAATAATAATTTTTATTCGTTTCTTCTTATTTTGCACGTTTTTCTAATTTTTCCCCGGGTAATTATTTATTGCGCTCAAACGATTCCTTCAATTTTTCCTAATATCTGATGATCACTCGGTGCTAGCCATCTAACCAAAATGTCAATTTTCGTCTTTCTATAATAATTTCTCTTAATAATATTGATTATGTGTATATAATAAGACCCTATCTCTTCTTTTCAATGGCCTTTATTTTCACTTTGAGAAAAATATCAAGTGTGCATTTACTATTCGACAAACGGTGCCCAATGTCATTTAATAATAAACCTTTTCTGTTTTATGAAGTTTATTTCAGAACATAATTGTTGGAAAAATTCAAGCAGCCGCCCCAACTCCTTATCGGAATCCGATTAAAATTTGCAGATGATAAATTCTATTTGTTCGATTCATTTATTTTCGAGCGACCCATAATGTGGAAATTGTTGGTATTCTCGATTTTTGCAAACGGTATGTTAGTTTGTTTTGATTTTGTAAATTTCGATATGAAACGAAGAAAATCTAGCCGAATAAAACGAAAAATTAAAATGATTTCACATTTTCTTAATTCAATCATTTTTTTATTAATGTCGGAGTCAAACAGTTAAACGAAATTTTTAAAAAATTATTGGCTATGTGCCAATGCGTCTCGAGGTAGCGAAAAGTACGCAAGACGATTGCGTACATTGCATTATAGCGTACGCTCATTTAATATTGAGTCAACGATTAATTTAAATCTACACTAATTTCGCGAATTTGAAGGCCCCGCCTTCCTTCAGTCATTTGACGCCGACAATATAATGCATTCATGCGTAGAAAAATAATTCTTTCAGCATTTTGCTCGAGTCCTCCGCAGTGTGTCTCAAAGAATTTCAACATTTGTTCTCTTTGGTTCAATCAAAATCTGAATGAAACTAACTCGAGATCGGGATGGGATAGTCCGGCTGATCTGTCGAATTCAATCCGCAGTTACTACTCGCAGGTTTCGCTATTCTTTTCCAGAATCCAAGTCGAATATTCAGGGCATCAATGGACTATTGACAGTTTGCTCAGCTCGCCAGCAGTTCCAATCATGCCTTGGCAGCAGCTACGATGTGTGCATTTCGGAGCTCAGTTTTCTTCGAAATGGCCAAAATCTCCAAGACAGTAAAGCTTATTCGGCGATTTTCAAAATGATGGAATTCGATTGTGACGGAGGACTTCTTCGTGAACATAGCCACTAATTATCGAGGATCAATTTCAGAGATTTCAGAATCTGTTCGAAACTGGGACTGCATTCTCGCAACTGAGTCGTCGAAAAACGACGAGTTAACTGCATGCGGAGATAATTTCCATAAACAATTGGAAAATGCTCCGTCAAAACTCTGCCAATATTCGGTCGAGTACGAGAATTGCGCTAGAAAATTCTTTGCAGCTGCGTGTGGTGCCGAGGTTCATTATTTTCCATCTTTCGATTTTCTTTAATCAAACAATTATTATTTTATATATTTTGAGAATCATTATCACAAACTTTTCAGACATCGTGGTGGGCGTGCGAGCGAATTCGTCGCGGGTATTCCCTTGATGAATTATGTCCCAGCGATACTTGCAAAATCGACGCTCCTTCGCAATTATTGCCAAAAAATCAAGACGCTGACGCAATTTTCTCGAGAACTCCAAGTAAGATGCCAATTAAACTAATTAATTAATTTTAAAACAAAAATGGAGAAAAAGAGAAAAAATCAACATTTGATCAATAGTTTTAATACGACCCTCGCCAAGATCGCACAAAGAAGAATATACGCTTTAAATTACGACATCCGCACGTGATATTTTTTTTGTAGAAAAAAAGTCGGAAATTGTAGCAAAAGACGCATACACTGAATTTTTACGGAATCTTGACGCGGGACGTATGAAACTCTGGTAACTCAAAACCAATCGGATCCGACAAAATTCGGCTCCGGAATCAACCTTATCCGATTGGTAATTCGACGGATAAGATTGTAAAATTGTCGGATCTGGATTGGTTTTTTCGGGTATTTTCGGATCCGATTGGTAATTTGTCAGATCCGATTAGATTTTTTTCGAATCCGATTCGAATTGAAATATTGAAATAAAACGGATTCGAATGATTACCAATCGGATCCGAAGTCCAATTTTGTCGGATCAGATTGGTTTTGAGTTACCAGAGAACTTCAGAAATCGTAGAAGAGGATTCTTTCTGCATTAGAATCAGAGTTGGGCGGAATTCCGCCTTTTCAAATTACTCACCAACGCAGGTTCTGAAAATTTGCGTCAAATTCGCTGTTTGACGCACATCGCATATGACGCTCATTTACAGATTTCGAAATTTTCGTTCAATAGGGGACCGAGTTGGGCGAAATTGCGCAAAACAAAGATTATTCCATCCCAATTTGGAATCTTTAATTTAAAATCTCTATAATTTCAGAAGCGGCACAAGTTATCCAGGAACTCGTGAGAATGAAGAGAAATTTTTAATTCATTTATTAACTTGAAAAAGAAAGTCAACAACAGTTATAACGACGAATCTATTCTATTCCTATGTATCGAAAATCGTCTATTCGTATCCCATTCTCTTTTGAAGGATCGAATTCCGCTCAAATTCAGGAACCTCTTGATATCCACTGACTTGCATATTCATATCACTAAGACCCGATGACAATGTTCGAATAACCCGCGAAAGATTCTCCATTTCCGCCAACGGCATCTGAGCACAAATCCGCACAGTGTTATCTGAATTCAAATGAAATCGACGTCATCGAAATAATGCGTTTGGCTTGTACCGTTGATTCTGTCGGTGAAATTGATCTTCGCTCTTCGTTTGACAAATTCCGACAATATTGGCTGAGTTGGGACTTCAGAGCTTACGTTGACTTCCACATCCATGACGGGCTCCGTGAAAATGACGCCGGCAATAGAGATCGCTTCATTCAAACACTTTTGAGCACACGCGGACACTGTAAAATATTGCTGGTATTAAAACGGTATCGAATCTTACGCAATGCAGGATTGATTTTCCCTCCGCTTACAACCAATTCCGTTACGAAGATTTTCACAGCCTAAAAGTTGAGAAATGATTACTTCTCAATCAGGGTTGTTAAATTTTGGGCCCGGCCGGCTTTTTTCGCTGTCAAATTTTCGGCCCGCGATTCGGCCCCCGATTCCGTTGTTTACGGCCGCACGGCCGAAGCGGGAATTCAAAAAAAAGCCGAAAGCCGGGCCGGCCGGCCGGCTTTCGGCCCCGGCTTCAATTTACCAACCCTGTTCTCAATTATTTGATTCTTACGTGAACAGGATACGAAGCTAATGGGCCATTTTGTAGAGCATTCGCGCATCCTTCGTTAATCGCTCGCTGCCAATCTGGACGAATCGGTCGCGCATCTGATGGCAAATCGAGTTCTACCTGTAAAAATGCATTCATTCCAAACTTCAAACATTGATTTGGTACTCTTTTAAACGCTGTTTTCTCATTTGTCGGTTCAATTCGTAGGCTTAATGTTACAGTTTCAGGCCTCTTCTTCTCACTCATTTTGTCTTCAAATGTACATGTATGATTGACAGTTTGCGTGATCATTTCCTTATAAGCCACTTGCAATTTTCCAATAAATACATCAAGTTTGTAACCGCGCAAGAGTCGATCTTTAATTGCTTCCAAATGCAATTCTCCTTGAGTTTCAATGATCGTCTGGCCAGTATCCTTATCAAACCGAACCTTCATCGATGGATCCTACGAAATGAAATTATTCGAATTCAAAAATGAATCCTTTGAAGACCTCTCTTGTCATCTCATCGAGTGCTCGATTAAAAACGTTTTGATGTTTCATGGATGGTGGTTCGATGCAACAGAAATAAACAGATTCGGGCGACTCGATTCCTAAACAAGAAAATCATAAATAGACCAATGCCGAATGGGACCAATAGGGAGTCAAAATAACATATTTGGCCAACCTCTTAATTTTTTTTTGGAATTTCACTACTTATCGATTTTAAAGAGAAGATACATTAAGATGAGCGGATCCATCCAAGAAGTCCACTGTAACGTTAAACGAATATCCATAGTGAGCCAAATGATAGGTATGATTTGATGCTGTTAGTAATCTCCGCTAGTTTAATGAAAAAATGGAGTTTGGCCCCATTTGTCACTTTCAGTTCTTAAATCCAGGTCCCTTTTGGCACAAAAAGGGTATTTTTAAATAGAGGTTGACCCCCTATTGATCCCATTTGGCATTGACACATAAATAAGATTCGAAATGTATGCTAGAGTAGTCACCAGAAAACAATACAGCTGCGCCATCAATACTCGTCTTTCCAGATATTGTTTGAGTATCAATATTTAGTTGTTTGAGATTTTTGAACGCCATCTCAGCCGAATCGCGACTAAACTAGCCCAAATAATTATTAGTTCAATAAAATAGCAAAACCTCAGCAAAATAGTGTCTCCAGTGATCGTGTTCGATAGTCCTGAAACCACAGCGATATTTCCGTGTTCAACAAAATCAGCCGGTTGAAGCTCATCGGCATACGGCGTGAACAGTTTAATCGGACCTTCGCTGCTCATCTGATTCGCGTTGAAAATCGTCGAATTGTTTTGCAATTTTCCGGTATACACACGCACATAACTCAGTTGTCCTCTTCTTTTGTCATGTGTTATCTGAAAACAACAGATGTCGATGTTTCCAGCCGCTCGGTTTCACCTTGAATACTAAACCAGACAAATTCGCTCCAAAGATTTGTTGATATTGCGTGTTTCTTAAATCCGGCGATGGGAAATATTCGTTGACTCCATCGAGAATCGGCTGAACACAATGCAAAGATTTGACAGCACTTCCGCAAGACACTGTCGCGATTTTGTTCGACAGTGTCAGATTTCGAAGAGCTGAAAATCGAAAAATATTAAATTAAAAATTAATTCGATTAAACCTGCGTTAATCGTTTTGTCATCGACTTTCGAATGATCTCCGTTAAATGAATCTAAAAACTCTGCCATGAACATCTCATCATTGTCGGCAATTCCATAGCAAAGTTCGCTTCTCGCTTCTTCCCATTTCTCGTATTCTGCTGATTTTTGCTCGATATGTTTCCATTGCTCGTCAACGTCGCCAATTTTTAAAAACCTCTTTCCAATTATGTCAATAATTCCAGAAAATTCTTGATTTGATAATGGGATTACGGTCGGAATGGCTAAATAAATATTACTATCCGTTTATAAACGTGTTACTATGGTGTCTGAACGCGCGTATATTTAAGTGGATGCGCCTTCGCTATGGTCTCACGCGGACTAACTGATTATTTTCTTTTTTAGAGGTCATTCCGTTAATTTTTAATTTCAGTGATATTAAGAATTCAAGGAAATGATCAAGAAAGTTCACGTGAAAATATCAGAATAAGCCTTCACGTGTGGCGAGACCATTTCGAAAGACGCACTCCGTAAATCTACCCGCCATAGTCTCGCCACGAGTCAATTCTTATTTTCTTAATTTGACGTAAAACTTTTATATTTGTTTTATGGGTTTGCCATTTTCTCGATTTTCTGACATCAATAAAATTAGAAATCATGAGCATAGAATGCAAAATAACCAGCTGTTCCACACGAGACCACATCGAAATACGCATGCCCGTCGCCGGACGCGGACCATATTTGCAAAACCTTTAATTCCCAATTTTTGTTGGATTGAATCCAAAGAGTTCGCGAAATTTCCTTCCTTTTTATCCAATTTATTGATGAAAAATATTGCTGGAAGTTGAAATTTTGATGCCTGATGCCATACAGTCAATGTTTGTGGCTTAAAATGAAAATAGGACACAAGGAAAAAATTTTTGAGAAACCTGAACACCAGCAGATCCATCGATTATGCAGACAATTCCATCTAATACACGGACACATCGCTCAACTTCCACTGAAAAATTCGAATTTTTGAAAGTCCTATTTTTATTGGCTATTTGCCAATGCGTCTCGAGAGTACGCGAGATTGCGTACATTGCATTATAGTGTACGCGCATTTAATATTCAGTCAACGATTAATTTAAATCTACATTGATTTCGCGAATCCTCCTTGCAGTCGTTTGACGTCGACAATACGAATGTGTATATTTACGCTAATTAGTAAATGTGCGTACACTAAAATGTAGAGTACGCAAACACGCGCACGTCTCTTTGCTTCGAGACACCTGGAAAATAGTTAATATTTTAAAAATTTCATTCAGCCATTTGATGCCGACAATAAAAAAATCCAGAAGCAACTAAATTGCTTTAATCAAAACTAATTATCTCAATTTCTATAATAATTGTTCGGAATTTCTTAATTCGAACCTCGAAAATCGACGTGTCCTGGCGTATCAATCAAATTAATTCGATGATGTTTCCAATCTAAATTGACTGCTGCGGATTGCACCGTGATTCCTGATAATAATCATCGTTTTTTCAATCGATTTTCTCATTCGATTTACCGCGTTCTCTTTCGATATCCAAAAAATCGGTAACAGTATTCCCTTTATCGACATTTCCCGCCACACTAATCGCTCCGGCTAAATACAATAATCTTTCGGTTACGGTTGTTTTGCCGGCGTCGACGTGTGCAATTATTCCAATATTTCTAATTCGTGTTTTATTCCAACATATTCGCGAAGTTGAGTAGAATCGGGTTGGAACTCGTCGAGTTGACATCAACTGGAATCGATTTTCAAATGTTTTCGATTATTGCAAAAAAGGACAAAACAGCGAGTTCTAAGCACTTTCTCCAACAAAAATCGGCTTAAAGTCTCAATTCTCAAACTTTATTTATTCTTAAAACGAATTACACATGAATTAAAAAAAAAGTTTCGATTACAATAAATAATTTAGGTGGAGAACGAGAGATTTCACAAGGGAATAATGGGCATTGAGGAATTCGACGAAATTTAAGCAACACGGTGTCCGCTCTTGGCGAGTTCCAGCCTTAAAATTTCAACTATTACAGAATCTTCAATGGGTAATTCAATTTTTTTTTGAATTATTCAAATACTGACTTGAGTTGCTTCGAGAACTCGCTCTCATGAGTCTCGTCATCCCAGTTGTCCTCCCAAACACTGACTTCGTCTTCACCTTCCTGACGCTCAGTCCATTCCTAAATACAATTTCTAGGTATTACTGAAACGAATTATACCTGAATTGGGAACTCTTCGAATTCTTCCTCCTCAATCTCCTTCTTCTCGATCTTCGGCTCCTGCTTCGAATCAGCAACAGTTGACATGTTTTCTAGAATTCGTCATTAAAATGTGAAATTTTCGAGAAATCAGGTAAAAAAACGGAGATCGAAACTCCGACGATATAAACAAAAACAAAAAAGAAAAATGGGTTTCTTTAATTAATAACAACAAGGCGATAACAAACAAAAAGTAATAAAAACGCCTAATCTAAGAAAAAAGAAACAAAATCCTAGAAAAAAAACAACTAAAAATTAAAAAGTTGAGATTCGTTCAAAGAGTTTCATCTATACATTATCCTCGTTTTCTTTTTTATTCTTCTCTTCTTCGATTTTCTCATTTGTCCTCAATGGTAGAGCTTGTGCTTTTGATTCAATATTTTTGACTGTAAAAAATAAATGTCAAAATATTTTTGAAAAAATTGGATTGATTTTTACTTTCTCCTTCATTCAGCAAATGTGTCAAATGTGATCCTTGTTTTGGTTCAATCCATCTCGGATAAATCTTTCCGTGCAATCTCCATTCTCCATCCACAACGGCAATATGATTCTCAAACACAACATATTCGACGACATCTTTTGGCTCCTCCTCAGATCCCAAAATTAATCGTCCAAATCTGTCGTAAATTGCGAGTTTCTGAAATCATTTTCAAATTTTTATGAGAAAAATTGCTGATTTGAAATACCTGCTTAGTATGCATTCTAACCGTAATCTGTGCGATATCATTTCCACTTTTTGGTGGATTGTCAAAACATCGAACGGCGACAACTTTGCTCGGCTCAATCACATCAACCAGCTCAAAACGGACCGATCCATTTTCAACATCGGGCCACATTTTCTGAAAAATTACAAATTATATTCCACTTCTTTTTTTATCGAAACTAATACCGCAAATGCATATTCCGTAATAAACCGGTGCATCGCATTTTTATCGCGATTCTGCAAAGCTTTGTGTGCTTGAACGTAAATGTCTTCCGCCTTCGACGTGAAACTTTTAATATCAAATTTCTCGAATCCTTGCTTCTTTTTTATCCGATTCGTTCCCATTCTCCAGTTGTAAAATTTATGCTGCATTCTTTGCTAAAAACTAATGTAATAAATCATTATTTTTTTCATAATTTCGACTCACTTTCACTTCGTCAAATTTATTTTGAACATCGGTGAAAGATGCGGGATTTTCTGGAGGCACGTACGGATCCGCAATTCCGTCTAAAATCAATATTTAAAACTCTTTTGAGGAAAAATATCTTACAAATTGATTGGAATGTGATTTGCGATTCGTTCCAAACTCGTGGCGCTGCTTCTTTATAAGGGTTCGTGCCTCGCTTTAATAATTCGATCCTCATTTCCTTTGGCGACATTGCGTCTTCTTTTTCTCTTGCAGAATCCATAGGAAGATCCATTATAACAGTTTTTCGCCCGCGCATCTAAAATAAAAAATACTTCGCATTAATTTCCGAAAATATTAAATAATTACCCGTCTAAACATTTTCTCATTCACATGAGTATTTCGATTTGCTTTGGCCCTGTTCGAACGTGCCATTCCCTGATATCGGGCCGAATCACCGGCTTCTTTGTGATGATGAACACCTATTAAATATTTTTATTAATTTTTCAATCAACGACGATTAATCTTTAGTGTTTGAATAATTCTTAAATTTTGGTTTCTCATTAACATACCTGCCACCTGTACCGCACATGCAGCACTGTGTGCCGGAACCAGGAAGCCTTTTAACAATTGCGGTGCTATCTTACTACAGGCCCTACCCAACATTTGATCTGAAATAATAACAAATTGAATAATTTGAAAACGCGAATATCATCAAGACTCAAGTGTGCGATGGAGCGCGTTTGCATTTGTGGCCGGGATTTTTTTAGACGGCCACGCGTCCCTTAAATGTTTCAGACCAGGGCTGTGCGGCAATGGAATTGCCGATTGCCGAAATTGCCGAAATTGCCGATTTTTCAAATTGCCGAATTGCCGAATTGCCGAAGAGAGCGTTCGATCGGCAATTTGCCGAATTGCCGGATTGCCGAAATTATGATTTTCGGCAATTTTCCGAATTGCCGGATTGCCGAAATTTTGATTTTCGGCAATTTGATATCAAAAAAAAATCGGCGAAACCAAAATCAATGTCCATTGAATAATTTGGGATACCGTGAAAATTCGGTATTTATATTTCGAATTATCGTTGAAAACATTTAATAACCGAAATTTTTATTTAATAGCCGAAATTTTTATTTGTTGAAAACATTTAATAGCCGAAATTTTGATTTTCGGCAAATTGCCGAATTGCCGAAATTTCCGATTGCCGCACAGCCCTGTTTAAGACCTAAGTTTCCCCGAATGCAAAACTTCTGATTTTTAACCAAAACGTATTATGAATAAACTGCTTTATTTTTAATATTTATTATAAATAAGATCAATTAAAAAGTATAGTCTGTTACAAAATAATGCGACTGTCGTTATTTATCGTAAAATAGTCTACAAATTTTCGACTGAACAATATGAAGTCACCACATTTAATATTTTGTATATTCAGCTCAAAATGTAAAAATTTGAAATTATATTATTTCGCGAGTAAATTGTGAAAGCCGATTTAAATAATTACGTATACGATTGTACAATATCCGTATTCTACAGTAGAATGCGCCATTCGCAGTTTTTTTTTACTGAAAAGTTATATCGTGTTTTCAATTTGCCGCGTCCTGTATGAACGGTGCAAAATTGTCTAAAAATTGAATAGGACAGTAGAAATTTTGAAATTAATCTGAAATGCAAGTCCAAATCAGATACGAAAAAGAGACAAATTCTCGAATTGAAGAGCTATAAAAAACTTTAAAGCTTTCTAAATATAGTGGAAGCTATTTTAATAAAAATCCAATAAAAAATGACAAAAAATCGATTATTTTTATTTTTTGAAGGAAACAGTTTGAACAGCACAAGTAGTTAGTCGTTTTTTATTTCTCTTTTCCTGTCGAAATGAAATTCCAGTGCATTTTGGGAACAATGAATCATCCATTGGCTCAAGAGAGCATTGAACCTAAAAAAGAAACAAATCCCGCAAATTTTCATCAGAAAACATTCATTTTCGTACTGCTTTTGTGTTGGCGGTATTTGGAAAATCGAACGGTTGCAAGTCGAATTTCAAATAAATTTCTCCATTCTTCCTGCCGAAAAAAATATCGGCATGCTTGATATTTTTAACTTGGATAGTTTTTAGAAGTTTTTCAAGTTTCTCTTCAACCTTCAAATTGCTCTATACTCCCGTCGTCCTTTATCGAACTTACTTTTGGAATTTCTGACCAATCCAATCTTACTTCGAATTTTGCTGTCATTTTGATACAAAATAAAAAGTGTTAAATAAATTAATTAAGAAATGAATAGACTAATTTATTTTCTCGTATTTTACGCAGCAGTTTTGATTAGAGATTGTTCTCTTGGAACTTTGGTTATTTTCGAGTTCGTTCGCTTCAAACTCGTTATACTGGCTTCCCTAAAACGTATTTCGATTTGTCCGAACCATTTTTTCGGAAACTTCTTTTCAGACTTTCGTTTTCTCCTGTTCAACAAATTTTTGAGTTTTTTTAATTTCGAACGAGCCGGCTTCTTCGGAGCACTAAGTTTTGAATGCGACTTTTTTGCTTCGACTTTCTCACTTCTTTGCGGTGATGTTGCTGCAGCACTTCTTCGAGAAGAAGCAGTTCTGCAAAATGCAATCATTGGCATCGACTTCAGTGAAAAAATTCGAAACGATCTGTTGTGAGGATTGCGACTGAAGGCTTGAGAACACGTAGTTGAATAAGTCGAGTTTATTTGAACTCTGAGAATGGGGGAACAGGGTTGGTAAATTGAAGCCGGGGCCGAAAGCCGGCCGGCCGGCCTGGCTTTCGGCTTTTTTTTTGAATTCCCGCTTCGGCCGTGCGGCCGTAAACAACGGAGTCGAGGGCCGAATCGCGGGCCGAAAATTTGACAGCGAAAAAAGCCGGCCGGGCCCAAAATTTAACAACCCTGGGGGGAAGAAAAAAACGAACAATCACAAAATGCGCGCCTTTATACACTGGGTTGACGTGTTTTTAGAAACAATTTCTAGTAAGTGAGACAGTGTTTATAATTGAGAGAGCGCAGACAACGAGAAAGTGTGTTGTGGAGGGAGACGCAGACATTGAATGTAAATTTATGAAAATATGAAAATTTGTGGAATATTCCATCATATTTTTTTTATTTTCGGTTTCAGACGGCTGCTCGAAATTCGTGCAGAGAGTTTACGAAGACTTTCATAACCTCTTTGAAACTACGCTAACTCGGCTGAACATCTGCGATGCTCTCAGCAGACAAGAAGACGTGCGCGTGTCTGCGTACATTTTTTTTACAATTAATTCTTAAAGCCAGCGGGTTGATTTACAATAACTATATGTATAGTAGCCGGCGACTGTTGTACGCGGGTAGATTTACGCGCATGCGCCTTGAAAATGTCTCGCTACGGGTTTATAATGAGTTTTCGTCAATTTAACAATTGTCGAATCGACCTATAAAATGCAAAATAACCAAGTTCCACACGAGACCAAGAGAAAGGTGCATCTCCCCGTAAATCTACCCCTATGGATCGTCACATTTTAAAATTCGCGAAAATGGATTTTTTGATGAAAAATTGCACAAAAATGAGGTTTTGGCTAAAAAAAAAAGATGGCAGATGAGAAATCATTCAAGTTTCGTTTCGTTTTCAAAAAAATTTCAATTCTTACACTTTCCGAAGTGTTCGTTTTTCCGTCTTGGGCACATTCATCACCAAACTTCGATTCGGATTCACTTTCAAGCTCGTGCTCTTCGTCGGCTTCAACACGTTCGGCGGATCAAAATAGCCCGGCGGTGTCGGTGCGACGTATTCACTAGTGGCGCTTCGTTGCAACACATTTCCAGTCAATCTGAAACCGGAAATCTGAATTAGATAAGCGCCGAAATATAGAAATACGGCGATCTGAGAGAAGGTTTCGAGATTGGAGCCGACAAATTGCTGCTTTTGCTCTGCGCACTTTCCAGTTTGCTGCTCTGCTGTGTTTTCGCACTTCGATCGGATTTGAGCGAATTCGGATTGCTGTCGCTTTTCTGCGTTCTCTCAATATCGCGATCGCTATAATTTCGACTGCTAACCACTGAAAATAGAAAATATTATTTCGATCACCATTCCAATCGAAATTCCGAACCATTCTGTTTGTCGTTCTCCTCATTTCTGTCCACCTCCTCCTCTTCACTTCCTTTCTTCTCCTCTTCATCCTCTTCCGCAACTCGTTTGCTTCGATTCTTCCTCTTATTAATACTTTGTCCCTTCTTCGATGATTTCCTCTCAGACCTCTTCTTCTTCTCCGACTTTTTTGAGCCACTTCTTCTCTTCCTTGAAGACGACATCGACTTTTTCGATTTACCAGATCGTCGACTTTTCGCTCTTGATCTCGATCTGTCGATTCGTTTACTCCTTCAAATATTATTTTAAATAAAATAAACAGAAATCAAAATGAGAACTAACTTTTCAATATTTTCTTGTCTTAATCTTGCTTTTCGGTCTTTTCCACACAGAACAATTATTGCGCAATTTAAGGAAACACCGAGTATAAATGTTACTGAATATTGCAATTATGTTTTTTTTGGTGGAAGCCTGATAAAACCAACGGTTAATTACACATTCCATTTCTACGAATGGCTCGCACAAAAAATGACGAAATCTCGAATGGTTTATTCACGACAAATATTTTTTATATTTATTGCGGAAATTTAAAATGGTCGACGATTGAATGAAAAAGTCGAAATTTCGTTTCATTTCCGATGTCATTGCGATTTGATCGAATTTCACTCTGAAAATCGCCATTTCAGAATTGGCGAAACTTCATCAGAATTCACCTCAATTCGCATTGTTTCTTACACATCGAATTTTCGTTCCAATAAAATACTTTACACCGATTATGGCATTCGTACTGCTGAACTTTCGGAATGCTCAGTTTGCCCGAAACATTCGAAACAGCCACAATTGATCTACCACGATATTCGATTATTTCCAATAAATCAGCGGTATATGAATAAATTCCTGAAAAAAAAATCAAATCATTCATCGCTTTTCCGTATCATTATTATGCATTTTTTCCAAATGCCGATTGCCGAAATGTTTATTTTCAGCAATTTGAAATCGGAAAAAAAATCGACGAAACAAAAAGGTTGAACAATTTTGGATACCGTGAAAATTCGGTATTTATATTTCGAATTATCGTTGAAAACATTTAATAGCCGAAATTTTTATTTTTGGCAATTAGCCGGATTGCCGAAATTATTTCCGATTGCCCTGATGCGTTAATCTATTATTTAAAATAAATGTCAAAAATTTTAAAATTTATTGGCTACGTGCCAATGTGCGAGAAGTACGCAAGACGATTGCGTACATTGCATTATAGTGTACGCGCATTTAATATTAAGTCAACGAAAAATTTTAATCTGATTTCGCGAGTTCGAAGGCCCCACCTCCCTTACATCTTGATGAGTTTAGTATTTCCTCGAATAATACAATCGTTGAAATTAAAAATTAACTTTTAAATTGCGAAATAACCAGATAATCGGTCTGAGACCATAGCGAAAAAAGCAATCACTAAATCCAGCTTCTTAGCGCGAAATTGGCAATGTTTCATGCCACTTTACTCTAGTTTTTCATAAGTGTGATACGCAGCAGTTTAATTTAAATGCACTTATTTCGTTTAAAAACTAATTCATATCCAATTTAGGCACGGCGCGCAAGGACGAGATCGCGGATCACGACGGCACAATGAAGAACTGCTGTTTAGTCACCACAATGTGAGTATTTTTATTTTGAAAAGTTGCCAAATTTTTTATTCTATTTTAAATGAAAGCAAAATTCTTTCCGCGATTTTAGCACCCCTTTTCGCACATTTTTAAAGATAACGCAAATTGAATCGATGATGATATCGTATTCACTTACTTACTTAGTCACTTAGTCGGTTCGTCCTTCGCCTGTTGAGGCGCGAGCCACAGCTTTCCAAGCTTTTCGGTCCTTGGCTTGGGTGGACCAGGGGGTGATAACGGCTCCTTCAGCTGTTCTTGTAGTGATCTCCTTCCGAAGCGAGTCCGACCATCTCATGGAAGGCCTTCCTCTTGGCCGGGTCCAATTCCACGGCCGCCACTCCGTTAGAAGAGTAGGCCATCTTCCATCTGTTCTTCTAGCAACGTGTCCAGCCCAGGTCATCTTCCTCTTCGTGATGTGGTGTAGGGGGTCCCGAACTTTAGACATGATGCGGATGTCCTCTCGATGAAGATCTTGTTCACGTTGTTGTGATAACGTGAGGCCAACCAATCTTCGCTCAAGCGCAGCGTGACTAATTCGGACTCTCTCGGCAAGAGCTTTGGTGAAGGTCCAAGTCTCTGATCCGTAAGTCAGCGCTGGGAGAACGATGGAATCGAAGAGCTGTGCGCGGGTTTTGTTACAGGAAATCAAATCGGTGGTGTTCTTGATTCCATTAAACGCTGCCCAAGCTGCTCTTCTCCGTTTACTTCTTCAAATATTATTTTAAATAAAATAAATAGAAATCAAAATGAGAACTAACTTTTCAATATTTTCTTGTCTTAATCTTGCTTTTCGGTCTTTTCCACACAGAACAATTATTGCGCAATTTAAGGAAACACCGAGTATAAATGTTACTGAAAATTGCAATTATGTTTTTTTTGGCGGAAGCCTGATAAAACCAACGGTTAATTACACTTTCCATTTCGAAATCTCGAATGGTTTATTCACGACAAATATTTTTTATATTTATTGCGGAAATTTAAAATGGTCGACGATTGAATGAAAAAGTCGAAATTTCGTTTCATTTCCGATGTCATTGCGATTTGATCGAATTTCACTCTGAAAATCGCCATTTCAGAATTGGCGAAACTTCATCAGAATTCACCTCAATTCGCATTGTTTCTTACACATCGAATTCTCGTTCCAATAAAATACTTTACACCGATTATGGCATTCGTACTGCTGAACTTTCGGAATGCTCAGTTTGCCCGAAACATTCGAAACAGCCACAATTGATCTACCACGATATTCGATTATTTCCAATAAATCAGCGGTATATGAATAAATTCCTGAAAAAAAAATCAAATCATTCATCGCTTTTCCGTATCATTATTATGCATTTTTTCCAAATGCCGATTGCCGAAATGTTTATTTTCAGCAATTTGAAATCGGAAAAAAAATCGACGAAACAAAAAGGTTGAACAATTTTGGATACCGTGAAAATTCGGTATTTATATTTCGAATTATCGTTGAAAACATTTAATAGCCGAAATTTTTATTTTTGGCAATTAGCCGGATTGCCGAAATTATTTCCGATTGCCCTGATGCGTTAATCTATTATTTAAAATAAATGTCAAAAATTTTAAAATTTATTGGCTACGTGCCAATGTGCGAGAAGTACGCAAGACGATTGCGTACATTGCATTATAATGTACGCGCATTTAATATTCAGTCAACGAAAAATTTTAATCTGATTTCGCGAGTTCGAAGGCCCCACCTCCTTTACATCTTGATGAGTTTAGTATTTCCTCGAATAATAAAATCGTTGAAATTAAAAATTAACTTTTAAATTGCGAAATAACCAGATAGTCGGTGCGAGACCATAACGAAAAAGGCAATTCCTAAATCCAGCTTCTTAGCGCGAAATTGGCAATGTTTCATGCCACTTTACTCTAGTTTTTCATAAGTGTGATACGCAGCCAAATCTTGAGCTGCGAGACCAAGTTGAGCAGTTCAATTAGTTACTCTCTGCCCTCTCAAAAGTCATCAGTGCTCGACAATATGTACTATCAGCTTAAAAATAATCAACATGGCCAACTTTTTTTGTTTTCGTCTTCTACATATTTCGAACACACCTTGGGTTCGATTAATAATGCCTGTTTCAAACACGAATGCGTTGCATTCTCCCTCGAGACACCATCGATTCTCTTTTGTGCTCAGCGCTTTTGTGCGAATCAGCTGCAAATCGATGATTAATTTTGCGGTAATTCTCGAAATATTACCCCGTTCTCAATCAAATAGTTGACAACGTTCTCAATTTTTGACGAGTCTGCTTCAAAAAATGCCATATTTTCTTCAATGTCCATCGATTGGAATAGTCTTTCCGGAAAATCGAATGTGTCTTCGTAAAATCGGCTGCTAGGAATTCGAACATCCAATTTTTTCCGGAACAGAGGTTGAAGCTCAGTCTGGAGACGGTCTTGAATTGATTTGCCGAAACTGCATGATCACCTGCTTAATATAGGACATGTGAATAGGATATCCAGTCATGAACATATACAAATCATCTGTGACATTGATTGGTCCGTCGCTCAACAAAAGGCACGTGCAATTTTCCTTGAATTGTCGGATCGGATCGGATTTTTTTGTTTCGAAATACCTCGAAATCTTCCAAAGGCATACAAATCGAATCGTCGACGTTGCACGGATTGAATCCGGCGGCCAATTTCAGAATTATTACAGAAAATATTAAACGGTGCAGCGGAAAATAGTCAAACATTTTGCAATTTGATACGACGAAAATAAACAAAATCAAAAAAGCTCAAACGCGAAATTATTTATTTTTCTTTTGAGTCTCATTTGTAGTCACCATCGATGTACTATGTGTCTTGAATATTTTAAATGAAATCAATTACAAATAATTTCTCACAACAACCATTTTTTTTATAGTTGATTCGAACGAATTCATTTTATAAACAAAACAAAAATTTTCGGGTAGATTTACGCGCATGCGCCTTGAAAAGGGTTCGCCACGCGTGAACGTTTTTTTTTTGCATTTTTCACGTGAACGATTTATTTCTTCTTTATGTGCTTGGCATTTCTTGAAATTTCTAACGTCGTTCGATTTATAAATTATCGAACCGACCCATAAAATTTGAAGTAACCAGTTAGTCCGCGCGAGACCAATAGAAAGGAGCATCCCCGTAAATCTACCCGTGTACAGCAGTCGCCGGACGTTCACTATATATGTATATACATATATTGTGAAATCGTATAGGCATAGTAAATCAGTCTCCGATGAGAAAGCCAAGAAATATTAACACAACTGCGGACAATTTTGAATGCCTATGTCTAAAGGTCGATTAATTGACTGAAACACTCACAAGGGAAGTCCTCTTACAGTCCGTCTTAAAATTGTTTTATTTTTGCAATTCCAATCGAATGAATTAGGTCCCTATCTGCGCAAACTTCGAGATATGGACCATCAAAGTTCGAGCCCTTCCCCTCGTGAAATCTGTGAAAAATTGTGCACAGAGCTCATCGAATGGGTTATCCTATGAGATTATACAATTAAAAGAAGAAGCTTGGGGATGAAGCTAGAAAAAATTGATACTTTTGATTACATATTGTTTGCCAATATATACAGATGGATACTTTGCATTTGTGTGTCGGATCTCGGCGAAGGTTACATCAGAACCAAAAGCAATTTTTTTCTGTTTGTAAATTTTCGCAAAATGAAACCAATCCAATTTGAAATTCATATTGATTTACATTTTTAATTAAAAAAAAATGTTAATGAAGTCCAAAGTCATAGTCGACATCCCCTTTGACGTATCCTTTGATGAATTCGACACCAAGTTCCGTTGGTTGACTTCCTTCGACGACTTCCGGCAGCTTCTCCACCTTCGCATACCATGCCGTCAATTTCGGGAATTTCGTGCCGGGAAAGTTTTTCGGATCGAAAGGGGTTTCGGCAAAATGAGATATCCAAAAGATTCGCTGGAGATTTGGATAGAAGAGATAGTCGACAAAACCAGGCGATGAGCCTTTAAAAATGACGATTCGATTAATTTCTTTGAGCGAACACACAAAGAAAACCTGAATAGTATTCCGAAGTCAACAGATTCTCGGCATCAGTCACAGCTTTCTCGATAGCCTCGAGTTTTCCTTGTTTCACCGACGGATCCTTGATCGCTGCGACGAGACCGTAGAAACTTTGAGGAACATCGCCGAGGCGTTGAATCAACAACTTCTGCTGCACTTTTTCGTAGGGATCCGTCGGAAGAATTCGAGTATTCGGCAACAAATCGTCCAAATATTCCGGAATTATTGCTGATTCGATGATATACTTCAATCCAACAAGATTTTCAAGTCTCATCATTCAATTTCAAACCTTTCCGTCGTGTTCCAATGCTGGAACCTGACCTTTGTAATGCTTCTTGAAGTACCATTCAGGTTTTTCTTGAAGATGAATATTTACAATTTCGGCTCTGAAAACAGATTTGAATTCGGTAAAAATTGGCGAAATTTACGGGATCTTTTTGGCGGCCGCATAGATCAACGTTCTTTGAGCCCATGGACAGAATCTCATGTTGTAAATTCGAAAAGTTCCGGGAGCTGGAGGAGTTGGCTCAGCATCTCCTAAAACGATTATCACCACTAATAATTTGGGAAACATTGTCGAAGTTAAACGACTGGACGAAATTTAAAAAATTATTGGCTATGCGCCAATGTGCGAGAAGTACGCGAAACTGCGTACTTTGCATTATACCGTACGCGCATTTAATATTCAGTCAACCAGGGTTGGTAATTTGAAGCCGGGGACCGCCGGCTTTCGGCTTTTTTTTTTGAATTCCCGCTTCGGCCATGCGGCCGTAAACAACGGAGTGACGTTGTTTCGGCCGGAGTGTCGTTGTTTTATTTTTGATTTCAAAAATAATTATCCTGTTTTTCGTTGTTTTTTTCGCTCTTTATTAAGCATTTTAATTGTTTTTATCTTTGATTTAACATTAATAGATATTTTTTTTTAGAAGAATGGACGATTCTCGCAAAAATGAAGCAATAAAAGACGAAATTGCGAATGTTTTGAAGATTACAAAAGAAGATTTTGAAAAGTGAACTAAAGGCACTGAATATGATATTGGTATGCTCCCTATTTCAACGATTAATTTAACTATGCACTAATTTCGCGAATTTGAAGACCCCTACTCTCTTCCCTTCAGTCGTTTGACGTCGACAAAATAGTCGGCATCCCGACTCTTGTACTCGGGTAGAATTGCGCCTTGAAAAGGTCTCGCCACGTGTCAACGTTTATTTGGTGTTTTCACGTGAACGATTTTGGCGTTTCTTGAAATTTCTAACATCGTGCGATTTATAAATTATCGAACCGACCCATAAAATTTGAAATAACCAGTTAGTCCGCGCGAGACCAATTGAAAAAAGCATCCCCGTAAATCTACCCGCGTACAGCAGTCGCCGGACGCCAACTATATAATCATTTAAACATTTGACGATATTTCGTTTGGAATTCAGTATCAAATCTCGAAAGCAATGGAATATTCGATGAAAATCAAACGCAAACCTTTTTTGAGAACTCGCGAATCTTTTCCTTGAAGCGACATCAGTGAACGAATTGAACGATGAACAACCGACGATCTGCAAAGCATGTTGGTACACACTCGAAAGAAACAAATTGCACCGAAAATGATGACAAATGTTTTAGGCGGGATTTGTCATCTTTGACGGAACGAATAGATGCCAGACATATGACTGGAATCAGTAAATACGAATGAAACGCGAATAAATGCATAGATAAGAATCGACCGAATACACAAATAAATGGGTGATGCAATCAAAAATCAGTCAAAGAAAATCCCGCCGAATTATAATCTTTTTGAATTTTTCCATATTTCTACAGGGATTGCATATTTTCAATATGAGAGCACAGAAAAAAACGCGATTGGGAACCAAAAATCGAATCGAAATTATCGTGTGTTAAATGTATGGATGTCTGCGTCTCTCATTAATACACACTCTATCGTCAAATGTTTGAAATCAACGAAAAATCGGACAACATACACAATTCTCATTAAAAAATTGATAAGAAGTTTCTTTGCAAATACAGATGCTCGGATTGGAATTTCGAAATTGTCCATTATTAAAATAATTGATTTTTCGGTTAACAAAGGTCACGAAAAATAGATAATGATTGATTATTTGGGTAAAATTCGGAAGGAATCATTGACGCTGCCCGTTGGAAAATAAATTAAAAATGGAATAATTTGAGTTAGATCAAAGTTTTTTTTTTCACTTTCCATCCAAGTTTAAACAAATTTTCATCTGTTTTTTGGTCTAATTTTGAAACTTTCCATCGATTATTGAAAATTTGACCAAAAATTGATGAAATATATAATTAAAAGGGGATAAAAATTAATCTGCCACGGATTCTTTTTCGAAAATATTCAAGCTGATATACATAGTTATTTATATTTTGCGCAAACTGATGTATTCTGAAAAGCCACATAAACTAGAAGAAAATGATGTTGTTTTTCGGACCAATTTTTAGTGCAAAAAATCACATTCACAGAGTGCGGCAAATTACGTGTGCACTCTGGTAACGCAAAATCAATCGGATCCGACAAAATTCGGCTGCGGAATCCACCCGATCCGATTGGTAATTCTACGGATAAGATTTGTATTTGTTTGGATTGGTAATTTCTCGGATCCGATTGGAAAATTTTTCCAATTCGGATCCGATTGGTATTGAGTTACGAGAGAATCGAAAAAAAACCAAAAAGTTTTCCAAAAACACGTGGAATAGACAGCACAATTTATTGATCAATATAAGAACGAATTGTTTGATTCTTCCTCCTCGATTTTTGAATGTAATGTTATTTTATTTTACACTTTTTGTAAAAAAAAATAAATTTCATGAATAGGCGCAGTGATTCGAAATATTGGGTAGTAACAAATGTTGGATTGCTCCAGAATTGGTCGAGCCTGATTCATCAGATTAATTCTCTGCTGCTTCACTGCCTGAAAATCACTAGGATTTTAAGTACCACCATATATTCTATAAGACTTTGGACTTTCATGAATTCTTCTCATTTGCGGTTTAAATAAATTTGATTGATTGCAAAGAAAAAGCTATGGATTTATATCCAATTATTTCATCATTGAGAATTCTGATCATATTGTGGAAAAAATGACGAATGCGAAAAATTGCAGCGATATCCGATGCATTGTGTGCGTACACCGAGTCGCACACCTCAATCACAGTAATCTCAAATGAAAATTATTTAATCAATTATTGATCGTTTCTTTTTATATAAAACAGTTAACTTTGAAAATATACAAAAATTATTATTATTATACTTTTTCAACACAACAGTACACATAAACCCATAAATTCGCCAAGAAAACACAGAAAAAAATTTTAAAAAAATAATTGATTAAATAATTTGCAGTTGAGATTACTGTAGGTAAGATCGAGATGTGCGACTCGGTGTACGCACACAATGCATTCGATATCGCTGCAATTTTTCACATTTGCCATTTTTCCAGGGTTGTTAAATTTTGGGGCCGGCTTTTTTCGCTGTCAAATTTTCGGCCCGCGATTCGGCCCCCGACTCCGTTGTTTACGGCCGCACGGCCGAAGCGGGAATTCAAAAAAAAAGCCGAAAGCCAGGCCGGCCGGCCGGCTTTCGGCCCCGGCTTCAATTTACCAACCCTGCATTTTTTCCACAATATATATGAATTATAAATCAATTTTTTTGAAAATATTTAATACTAAATATTATTATACAGAATGAAATCATGGTGAATTGCTTGATAATCCAAAAAGATGGATTATTTATGTATTTCCCGAACTCTTATCAGTTTTCAGTTTTTTCTAGAATATAAAACAATGAGGCATAAAATGTGACACGCCACGACTATCCAATTTCCAACCAGTTTTGCGGGAAGCGAAGGGACCATCGAAGAAATAACATGCACAAACACGCGCGTGTTGGCACCGCCCAACTCATTCGCGGTGGGAAAACGCAATTTGAGACGTTTTCCGCAGCGATTGCCGCCAACGTCGCCTCTATTAGCACATTTCAATTGATTTGTTGTGGAATCGCCCATTCCAACTATTCCAGCGCAGCTCATTTTTCAAAAATTGAAATCGGCTGTCAATGAAGGCCAGATAGACATCGCAAAAGCACATTTTTGAGAATTTTACTTCCGCTTTGTTATGTGTTTTTTTTTCGACGATGAAGAAAAAAGCCTTATTTGTGATCAAATTTCTTCACAACAATCTAATATTTTGAGTTGAAATAAATAGAGTAAATTTTGCCGAGGCTGGACCATCTGGTCCTTGGTCAATTTCTGCCAGGTCCACTCAAGATTTCCCCTATTAACCGACAAAAATCAACACAAATCGTCGCCGATTTATCCGAACTCGAATTTTTTTTCCCAATTTCTTTGATTTTCTCACGATTCGTCAAAATATTTGTTAATTGATTTGACGAACATTTTTCAGCGATATTTGATTATAATTTTCAAAAAATTGAACAAATTTTTTTGGTTTTTTTGAATTAAAAGTAAAAAAAAATCAATAAAATGTCAAAAATATCAAAATAATTCTATTATTTTGTGACCAAAATTTTTGCAACATTTTCAAAAGAATTTCTCGAATGATTTGATTGACAACAATCATATATTCGAGAAAAAAAAAACAGAGAGAAAATAAAGTTTTCAATATTCGTCGAATAAAAACCCTCATGAGACTCTTTTGTCATATTTATATCCTCATTCTGTTTTTATTTACGTTTCTCCTTCTCATATACGTTAGTAAAAAACTTGAAAATTATCTTTTTTTCGAGAATTGGACACTACCCACGAAAATATAACAAGATGTTTGTTTTCAAATATCTTAATTATCATCTGCGGACATTTTAACTTCAAAATGAGAATTGTGGATGATGGAAAAATGAGTCGAAAAAAAAGAAATATCAAAAAAAAAATTCGTGTTCAACGTCTTCTGAAAGCCGATAAAAAACATCAAAAAATTATGCATAAATTTTAGTAGAAAAAAATTCCGAATTTCAGTTTTGTTCAACTTTGTATTCCCATATAAGTAGCTCAAAAAAATAATCGATTGTGTGCAATTTTTGGTGGTCCCATCTAATTGTATCAATCAAAATAGTACACATTCGAGATGCCGTCGGCCATCGGCCGTCGCCTCCTTTTTAATTCAATTTTTTCGTCTCGAATTTTCTCGAATTGTCGGCCCTACCAAAAATTCGATAATTTTGCAGAACAAGAAAGACGTCGAATGCTGCTCGTGAAGCGACGATGAATCACAAAAACTCGTATCAATATTTGGATACCGAGACGTGAGTTCTTCTGTTCCCAAGGGTCTCAAATGGAAAAAGAACTCGAACAAAAACGACTTGGTCTCGGTTATAAATCATAATGAATAACACAAGTCGAAGAGGGTTGAATTTCTCGAGAAATAACCTCGAAATTTCGAATTTTGTTTTTTTTTTAATAAAAAAAATTGTTTGATAAAAATAACCTCATAGACCTACTCTAGATAATATAAGAAGCATCTCAAGTGGTCATTCCAACTTTTATTTTCTATCCCTCGTTTTTGCCTTATTTGGAGATCACAAATTGGATTTTGGCGACCAAACAAGATCATTTCAGTTTCGAAACACCACAATTTATTTTTCTGCGATTTTTTGGGTTCTCAATTCTTTGATTGAATACAATTGTGGACAATTAATGAATATTATTGTCCGAGACGGAGAAATTTGAATTTCGCGGGCTTCACAAATAAAAAAAACATTCAGGAAAATTTTGCAAATAATGATACTATTGGGATGAAAACTCGAAAAACAACGTTTTTTTGGCAAATAATTTTTTTTTTGTAGTTTTTTTTGGGTTTTTTAAAGTTTTTTTTGCGAAAGTACTAATAACCAAAATACAATAAAATACATGTTGAAATTCATTTACGAAAAAATATAATTATATAATATAATATTGTCATCTAAAAGAAACGAGCAGTAATTATGGACCATCGCATTTTTTCGTGGCGGCAATTCAAATTTCGATTTGGGTTTCATACCTTCGATTCAAACAATAGTATCCCAAAATATATCAGAAACGTCATTTTAAGAATCATTGCAAAAACTGATCTTTAAAAAATGAAGGCTGAAGAAAATAATATTTTTATTAAATTTATTTATCCCTTATTGCTCACCCTCGATGAAGATGCGACTTGGAAAACTAAAAAAAGCAATTCTTTTGAAAAAAATTTGAAATTTTGAGTTTGATTCGCAGGTTATAAAGATTACGGTAATCGAATTTCAACTGTTCAAATTCGAATTTGAGCTGTCAAAAAACGACAAAATTTCAATGGTCCACAATCTCTCAAGGTGCTCATTTTTTGCGGGTATTCTTGGAATCGCGAGACTTCCGAAAATTGGCTAAATGCCAAAAACTTTTTATTAAAGTTTCGCGCCTTTAATCTATCCTTATACTTGAGATCGTAAATCTACAATTAATTTCGTACCAAGACCATTGTCATTGTTTTCCGCCATACAAATAAATTCGAAAAATCGAAATCGCCGGAGGCCAACTTTAAACAGTTGAAACAGAAAACAATGGGAGTTAAAAAAGAAACTCAGTATGTCAATGAAATTCCCAAAACGTGATTTTCATAAAATCCCGAAAACTTGAAACAAATCGGCGATTGAATGCATCCGTCGCAAATTGATTCCATATGAAAATAGAGGTTCTAAATAGCATCGGTTGTCATCGTCGGCTTTTTCCGACTAGTCTCGTTCATCTCGTTTTCGCTCCTTTTTTTGTTTGGCCATTTCTTGAGCACTTATTTGATATGATTCGATGAGCCGACTCATCTCGTCAAGCACTTCTTCTCCTTCTTCTTCTTTTCCCCAAAAATCTTCTACTTTTTTTTGTTCCTTCTTCACCGACGTGCTATTGAGACGTCGCCGTCGCCATCATCATCGTCGTCGTCGTCACACGGTTTGTTGCTCCAGGCGAAATTCGTTGCAACCTTCTCCAATTGGCCCACGATAGCCAATGAATTTCTTCTGTTCGTCTCCAATTCTTTATCGTTTTCGTGTTTTTCTTTTTCTCGTTTTGCTCGCCTACATTTAAAATTCAAAAATTCAGACGAAAATTTGAATTCGAAGAAAAAAAAAAGAGAATGCCGTTATTTTAATCTCAAATTCGCCCATCAAGCATAAGTTTATGACCTCGAATTTACATCAAATTTTATTATTCATCGCAATCTCTAAGATTAAAAACTTTTCGTATTTCCTTTCTTCTCATTTATTCCATATTCTGAAGGCTTAAAATCGCATTTTTTTTCAACTTTTAAGTCAATTCTCAAATTATTTTGCAATTTTAGCCAATTATGGGCAGAGTGCAAGGAATGGATGCGGGTGTGAGGTCTGTTCTTCTTTTTTCTGTCTCAACTCTTATTTTTTCGAGTTTCAATCTCGTCCAAGCAATTCAAGTTTCGATATTTTAATTTATATGCATTCAAGGTATTAAAATCGAAAACATTTTTTTACCTTGAAACTTAAGTTTTCCAAAATACAAAACTCAAATTCTCACCGTTTGAATCGAAATTTGAATTACCGCCTCGAAACAGTGCGATGGTCCACAATTTGTCAAAATGCTCGTTTCTCTGCTAAGGAAATATTTACTCAATTTTTTTTCTAGAATTTCAGCCTCTCTTTATCTTTAGCAAATGAAATTTTGAAAATACAACTAAACACATATTTTGATCCTTTATCGATTTTTTCGAATAATTTAAAATTAGCAATTTAATTGAAATGGTGAGTACGGTAATTGAAGACGCATTCAATTATTGTGAATGGGTCTCGTGGCATTTGTGTTTTGTACAACAACACAAGAAAAAACAGATAAGTGATCGCCGCGAAATTAGTTTTTTTTGTTTTCGACTTTATAAAATGAATAGCTTCTATATACCTTATATGGACCTCACTTGAAAAAATCAAATTTGGTAAGAATCTTAATTAATTAGAAGAGTATTATCATCTTCATGCCTCAAAAATATTTCCATAATGACTGCCATTTCACCGAGAATTCTGAGATCCTTAAATTGGACCCTTTGATCTCTCAGTCAGGTAAAATTCCAAAAATAATATACATAATTCTCTATTCTGTTCGCGAATAGAAAAAAAACGACTGAAAATCTTTATTGAAAAAAAAAACGTGGCATCAGTCGGGCGGCTCGTAACACAATTTCCGGGATTCGGCGGCGTCGCGCGCTTCAAAAAAAAATGCGCGAGTTTCACATAAAAATATACATATAAATTCGGTGACTTTTCGCATATGCCACGTCGTCGTCGTCGCAACAGGTTCGCAATTGTTTTTCGACAATTTTCGCCTCAAAACCATCACTAATTGATTATGAGTTTTTTTTCCGTCGGCAATAATATCATTCGGTCAAATTGACAAAAAAAAAACACTAATAAAACCTGGGAGCCCTTCCGAATTTACTGCACCTATTTTACGACGAGTTTTTTTTTGCTTTTCGAACATCTCTTGTTCGTGTTCAGAATGCTCTCGGCGGCTGGCCGCAGATTCTCGCGATGTGCCGTCTCACCGCGACCTCGCAATCGAAACAATTTTGCTTTGGGAAATTTACCGCCTCCCGCCGCCGTCAATCTTCGCACCAATGACATGTTCAGTCCGGAAGAACGAAGGTATTCCCAAAAAATGCATTCAATTTCTTCTTTTTTTTGAGATTCCTCGAAGCAGCCGAACGTGGAGACAAGCCAACGCTTCTCGAATGCTTAAGCTATGTAAGTTGCAAAACATGTTGGGGAATCCATAGAATCGTTCGCACGTGAACGATCGCGTTTGTTTTCTCCTGTCGATTTTCCCCATTTTAAGACATTACTGTCTTGAGTGACATGTAATGAAACGATAATGGGGCGGTGTTGAACCCAACACCTCTCGTGCACCCTCGCGTTTAAATTTTTGCCTCTGCGCCACGAGTGCAACAATCGCTGTGTCGCTCTGGTCAGAATAAGAGCGAGTCGACACACGGTGTCAACAACAACCGACTAAACTTGCAGAAAGATGGCGATCGGCGGCTAAATGTGAATTGTCTCGATTCGATGGGTCGAACCGCACTCGAAATCGCCGTCGATAATGAGAATCTCGAGGTGAAAAATATGAGAACTAATGATTTGTTATGGGATCGTTTAGGTTGTGGAATTATTACTGCAGCAAGATAATGTGCGGATTGGAAACGCTCTGTTGTGTGCAATTCGAGAAGGTTGGTTATCTCGCATTCTTGTTTAAAGCGTTCAACAAAAATTGGAAAATGACTAACGATTTCATAAATAAAAATTGATTATTATTATTATTATTATTATTATTATTATTATTATTATTATTATTATTATTATTGTTATTATTATAGGTGTGTATCGTCTTGTTGAGATGCTTGTAAACCATCCCAGTTTAACTCGAGAAATGCTCGGCGACGGATGGAGTCAGAATTTAGATCCATCCGAAGCAGCCAGTGCTGAATACTCTAGGCAACTGCAATCGTATTTATATATCATATTTGTTTTATTTAATTTTTAGTGATATATCCCCTGTGATTCTTGCTGCTCAATTAAATCAATTCGAAATTCTTCAAATGCTTTTACGCAAAGATGCGAGTATTGAAAAGCCTCATAGGTTTGTTTGAAAAATAAATACCAAACAAATTTTCCGTATTAATTCCAGGCATACTTGTATATGTGAAACTTGCGATAGAGAAAGACTTAATGATTCTTTACAATATTCACTAAAAAGAATTAATACGTTCAGAGCATTAGCAAGTCCCGCGTGGATGAGTTTAACAAGGTAAATTTAAAATATTAAAGAATTATTGGAAAATGAGGTTATTGGAAAATTAAAAAGTTTTTTAAAGCAAAATAATTTTTCAATAAAGAAAATCGAAGAGAACCGTAATTTAAAGTGTTTCCGTGTTCACCGAGTACGTAGAAATACAGTTATACATTAAATATGACGCAAAATGTGGTTTTTATTTTTTTATTCAAGTTTTGCAATTGTTAGATTTAATTTCAATTGCTAGATTTGTATTTCTTTCAGTCCTGATCCCATTCTATCCGCCTTCAAACTAAGTTGGGACCTTCAAAGACTAGCATTTGAAGAGCACGAATTCAAAGAGACTTATCTACAATTATCCGAACAGTGCAAACAATTCGCCTGCGATCTTTTGAGTCAGTGCCGCAGCTCTGAAGAGGTAAAAAGTTAATGTCGACATCTATTGAATCTTGAAAAATGTTCAGGTTATCGCGATTTTAAATAAAGACGGAAATGCAAATGATGACAACATTGATGTTTGGGCATCAAAATTGTCTCTATCTAGGCTTAAGTTGGCTATTAAATATGAACAAAAAGCGGTGAATATACAAAAACATTTTAATATGATTACTTTATTTCCAGTTCGTGTCGCATCCTCACTGTCAGCAACTTCTTACTTCCATATGGTAAGATATTTATTATTTACAAGTAAAACGTGTTTATATAGGTACGAAGGAATTCCCTATCGTCAACGAAGTGGTACTTGGGCGAATTTCTTTCTTTATGCTTTTCTACTTTTACTTTGGCCAATTTTCTGTCTTCTCTATATCATTGTAAACTATATATTTTCATCTCAATATAATAATTAAACATTGAGTTTGCAGGTTCCAAAAAGTCGCCTTGGCCGTCTTGTTCGTTCACCGTTTATGAAATTCTTTTATTATTCTGTTTCATTTGCGACGTTTCTTGGCCTACTCACATGGGCTACTTTTGAAGATTATCGATACGAAAAAGGAGAAAGGGTTTGTATTTCGAAGTTTGTTTGAATCCAATTCTTTGAATTTCAGAGTGGAACCACACGTGCTTCTGATCGCGGACCACCCGCAACATGGGTTGAAACGCTTGTATTCACTTGGGTTATTGGTAGGATTTTTTAATCACCGATTAAGAAAATATTGGTTAAAGGGATGCTGTGGTCCGAAATCAAACAACTATGGGAGGAAGGTTTCAAGAAATATACTCGTCAATGGTGGAATTGGCTCGATTTTCTAATGATTTGCCTATATTTATGTACCATATCGATTCGACTAAGCGCTTATTATATTTTTACATATAGGGAAGATACATACAGATATGTTGTGCGGACTTACTGGATGTAAGACAGCTTCAAACACCAAACATTATACAGTTTTTTCGTTTTTAGATCTGATGAGCCAATGCTAGTCGCTGAAGCATTGTTTGCTGTCGGAAACGTGTTTTCATTTGCCCGAATTATCTATCTATTCCAAACCAATCCGTATTTGGGGCCCCTACAGGTCCGAAAAAAACTATGTAATCACCATCTAAAATAGTAAATATTCCAGATTTCTCTTGGTTGTATGCTTGTCGATGTCGCGAAATTCTGCTTTATTTTTGTCTTGATTATCAGCAGTTTCAGTATCGGACTTGCTCAGCTTTACTGGTAATTCAGAAAAGAGGTCGAGTTAATAAAATCAATTTTTTGTAGGTATTACGATCCAAATACAGATATATGTTTGCCTGGTTCCGAATGCAAGCGATCTACGAATGTATTCTCATCGTGAGCTTTTCTTCTGATTTTCGTTCCCTGTTTTTTGTTGATATTCCATTTTTCAGAATTGCCGATTCTTATCTAACTCTTCTGTGGTCCTTGTTTTCCATTACGAAACCAGAAGATACCGATGTCATAGAGGTTTCATTTTCTTGGTAATATTTGTTTGAATGATTGAAATTTGTTTCAGAATCATCAAATCACTCAATGGGTTGGTCAAGGCATGTTCATAATGTATCACTGCACATCGATTATTGTTCTGCTCAATATGCTCATCGCGATGATGAGCCATTCGTTTCAGATTATTAATGTAATTCAATAGTAATTGAAATTTGAATGTTTAAATATTCTCAGGATCACGCGGATCTTGAATGGAAATTCCATCGCACGAAACTTTGGATGGCGCATTTCGACGAAGGGTCGAGTCTTCCGCCACCATTCAACATTATTATCACTCCAAAATCATTGGTCTATTTTCTGAATTGTCTAGTCAATACTGTCCGCTGGCTTCTTGGAAAATATACGTATCAGAAGAACAGAAATCGAGCGACAATTCGGGTAATTATTTATCTTAATAGAAATAATAAAATTGTGTTTGCAGAGGCCTGGATATTCAAGGAAAAGAAACGAAATTGAGAAAACTGGGCATACTGATGACGATTCGATTAAACCATTAACTTATGCGGATATCATACAAAGATTAGTTGCGAGGTTGATCAATTTAATGTTTTAAAATTTTAATAGCATTTTTGTAGATTTATCCATCAAACCAAGAAGAATATGAAAATGGACGGAGTGAATGAAGATGATCTACTCGAAATCAAGCAAGATATTAGCAGTTTGCGGTACGAGTTGCGCGATGATCGTCGCCGCGAAATTGTCCGCAGCTCATCTCATATCGATGCCGTCAAACGCGATATTATGCGGACAATGAGCACGACAAGTCGTCGTGTCTTTGGCGGAAGTGTTCGATTGCCGCGGCATCGTTCATCGGTTGCTGAAGAATCTGAAGAAGACACAACTCCGAATACAAGCGACTCAGATGATGATGACGAAGGGGAGACAAGATCGCGTAAATCGTCAGTTCTTTATGCGCCAACTCTTAATTCGGCTCTTCCTGAGATAATTAGTGAAGAACCTGAAGAAAGAAAGAAGAAACAACGGCGATTAAGCGAGCTGGATAGTCCATCTCCAGATTTTTTCAATGTAATTTTAATCAAGATTATATTTTTGAAAAAAAAAATCAAAAGTTTTTTAGCCGAAATTAACTCCAAAATACGCGATTCCACCGCACAGTGCACTCCGCAAAATCGACACAACAATGAGTTGTCCAACGAATGGCGAGCCGATCACAAAACCTCCGAGAGGCGTTTTAAGGTAGCTTCTAAACGTACTGAATACATTCTTTTACATTCATTCAGACAATCTCACGAAAATCTCGCGTCTGTGTCTGTAATTGAAAATTTGAGACAGGAAATGAATGAAAAGCTTGATAAAATAATTGCGAGCATGAAGTCAAATGAGAATGAATCGAAGAGCCCAAGTAAGAATGGAATTTGCAATTAAGATAATTATATAATTTAAGGCTCTACACATACGCACGTCGGATTTATTGACAAATAATCTTAATATTGATATGTAGGTTTACGGGTGTTTTTAACATGAATGCACAGTTATCGATAATAAATGCATTATTTTCGAACTTTGCAAAAGTGAAACACAAAGTTCGATAAGATCATTGTCTTGTAATGGAAATAATAAAGTTTTCCTCAACAGCTTCACTATTGAAAGTTCCATTTTGATAACATTTTTGGAAATAATCAAGTGAACCTATTTTACAGAATTGTAAGCTTATTACATTACCGTTGTCTATTAATACCATTTTGGATCGTAACAAGTTAAAAACAATTAATTTATTGACAGTTTTGTACATTCAATCGGAAATTTTCAAATATTTTTATAATTATTAGCACAACACAAAAATATAAATATGAGAAATAAATAGAGAATGTTTGGAATGAATATTCGATAGATTATTATTATTTCTATTATTGATAATCCGAGTTTTGTCGTTTCGCCGTTTTTTTGCTTATTAAGTGTCTTGATTGTCTCGCCGATGATGATTTTCGGACGAGTTGTTCCATTTGAATGTTGCTCGACGATGTTTTGTGGCTTGAAATCTGAAAATTGTTTTTTTTTTCTCAAACAACGAGTTATTTGAAGCGGAAGATGACATTCCGGGAAAGAATGGAAGGAAAGAGAATGAAAAAAAAACGCGTACGGAATAGAGAACGGATTGGAGATGGCATGCGGAACTTAGAGAAAGCTTCGACGATTTTCGAACATAACGAACCTCGACTTGATGGCGCATCTGTAATTCAATTCTCAATTCCTTTTGAGAATGTTTGTTTCATTTTGATCCTTTATCGATTTTTTTTTCAAATGATTTAAAATTTGCAAATTTAATTGAAATAGTGAGTACGGTAATTAAAGACGCATTCAATTATTGTGAATGGGTCTCGTGGCATTTATTAATCTACATAGTAGCCTATTACATTTTTGAAAAAAATAAAATTGTTGGTGTCAAACGACTGAAAGGGGGATTCGCTTGAAATTCACGAATTCAGCGTAGATTTAAATTAATCGTTGACTGAATATTAAATGCGCGTACACTATAATGCAATGTACGCAATCGTCTTGCGATAGCCAATAATTCTTTTTTATTTCGTCAAGTCGTTTGACTCCGACAATATAGATTTAAATTTATCTAAAGCGAAAATACTTTTTTAATCCGTTGTTCTTATCTTTTCTTTTGCCAAAGCCGATAGTTTTAGAAAAACCAGGCATGCACTTTCTTCAACTTTTCTACCGTACCTCATTCGTCGTAAGAGAAAACATGGAAGGAGCAATTACTTTGGTTGGCCTTCGTCGCAAAACTCCATCAACATACTAAAAATGATCAAATTAGTTGATTGTCTCGAACAAAATCAAATTTCTTTAGTGGAAAAGTTGAAAAAATTGATGACGAATTGTTTTAATACCACATCAATGAGGCCATCGAAGAACATTCGCATAAACCAGCCGAAAACGGCGAGCGCGGTGCTCCGAGTGTAGAACACGACGGGTTCGAGGCAGGCGTTGAGATTCTGCAAAATGATTTAGTGTTTGGTCTCGAAACGAAACAATTCTCGTCGCGCTTTTAATCCGCCTTTAAACGCGACGACAAATGCGATTTGAGCCCGACGAGAAGAGAAAAAAAACGCATTTTTAGAGTAAGACGGATGGGAAAATTGGCCCGATCAAATAAGCGATTACCAATTTCTGACTGGTGCAAAATTGCTCCATTGGCAGTGAGCCGTAATAAGCGAAGCCGGTGAGAAAACAGGTGATCGAAAAGAAGACCAAATGGGTTCCGAGTCGCCACATGGCCGATTTGTGGCGTTTGATCGCGTTCGTGGTCCGTTTATTGAACAATTCAACAGATATCTGTCAGCATGTTTGATATGTTTCTTTTTTTTCGCTTTTGAAATGCTTCGTCTTACAATACAATAAGCGACGAGGGATACAACGTAGAAGAAAAGAGGCGGCGCAAGAGTGACAAGAGCACTACGATATGGAGATTGGAGATCAATGTTGACGCAGAGATCGACGAGCCAGATGGCGACGTGCTGAAGTTTGAGGAAGAGGACAATAGAATCGGAGCCAGCCGATGGCTTTTCGATGCAACCTCGTTTTTGTCGAAGTCATCCAGGAATAGGTGAACGACCATGTTCGCGTGGTAGTTCAGCTTGCCGTCATGGAACAGCCAAATGCACGAAACGAATGATAGAATCATGGCAATCCATGAGATACCCAATGTTTTCAGAACAACCGAGCAACGGAGGTGCACCTGAATCGAAATGATTGAAATGAAAAAAAAATGCCGATGACACCTTATACTGTAATGGGGATTTGACAGCGATATAGGTAAGAATGGCGATTCCAGCATACGACAATGCGACCGACCAATAGTTGAGGATAAATATCGCCTGAAGGAGACTGCTGAACCACGAGCTATTCGACTGAATGCAGATATGATCATTATCACAATTATTCCTGTAATGTTCAATGGTTTTTTTCTCGGCTATTCTGCCATACATGTATTCGTTGGCTGAGTATGCGAAGCCCACAAGAAGAGTAACGACGTCAGAGACACTGAAATCATTCATTATTCTAGACATGAAGTGGTTGATTACCATCTATGGATTGTCATCACATATCGTTTAATTGGGAGCCTTTTTTGTCGAATTCCACGACGAATGCATATGAGAAGATTTATATTTGCTAAAAATAAATTTAATTATATTTTGATACATATTAAATTGATAGATTGAAGAACAGACACGCTAGAGCAGCTATTGCACATAATGGAAGCGCATAATTAATACTATGGAAGATGGTCTCGATGCGACGATAATCGGCTCCTTCATCTTCTGAACTACACAATTCGGCCTCCTCGATCGACGACGAGTTCATCTGAAACCAAAAATGGATGAGACGAATAATGATTGATTGTAAATTAATGTGAGCCATCATGACATTGCGGCTCGAAAATAGAAATTAATTAATTCAAGCGTTTGCATTTTCGAAATCGAAGAAAATTGGAATTCAACAAAAAATAGACAAAGGATAATTGTCTACTAAAAAGATTGAGCAAATCACTTTTCAGTATTCAATAATTGATGGACATATATGGAATTTGACCCATTTGATAATTCTCGTATTATTTTCGGCCATCAAAGGACGTATAGTGGGTTTCCCGAATCAAAAAAGCGGCTACCAGAGATTTTCGCTGTAAGACCTTCGAGTTCAGATACGCGTTTATATGAAGCATTTAGAAAAAAAACCGTAACTCGTCTGACGATATTAATTAATTACGGCATTTCGTTTTTCCAGAAAATGACTATAATTTCAGTTTTTTAACACTAAACTTACTTTCTTCGATATATCGAATTGTTTTCATTAATTCTTTGAATTCTTGTTCTCAATTGACTTCGGTTTTCAACTATGTGTAGATCAAAACATTCCGAATTTTATTTTTTGTGGTGCTCACATATTTTATAGTGTTTCGTTTTGTTATTGCTGTTCCACTTTTTTTCGGTCAGAATTTTCGATTGAATACTCAAAAACGAAGCGAAACTTCAAAATAGAAACTGCCAACAATGAGGGTGTGAGCACAAGGAATCATATGATTTGTGACTGATCCAAATATCAGAAGACGTCAACAATGAAGCAAGAAAAAAAAAGATAATGAAAAATTTTGTAAAATTTCATATATTGTGACAATTAGTGGGTTGAATTCGAAAGAAAAATTACTCGGCGAAAGGAATGTGCGAAAAGTTGATTCGAATAAATGAGACTGGACTTTTGCGAAACGAGCAAATAAAAAATGCGTGAAATAAATTGGCATCAAATGAAGACGAAAATGAAGGAAAAAAAGGCGGGACTGGACGGGTTCGTCGAAAAAAAATGGCAACGAGGGGACGCGGACATTTTGCTTCATATCAAATAAATATTCTTATTTCCAAAAATCAATTCAAACATCAAATTGTACAAAATCAGAAAACATAGCAAAAAAAGCGGAGGTGCTTTGAAAATACTTGTTTTCAAGGACCATTGTGCTATTTTTTATGGACGCATTCAAGGAGAACGAACACAGCTGAATGTTTGAAACACTAGCAATTCCCAGAATTTTTTTCGATCCTTCAAATATCCAATGATAGGAATGACTTTTTTTTAGCAATTGTGAATTCTTCTGAAACGGGTTCAAAAAGAGCACGCAGATAAATTCGAAGAACTTCTTCAAAATTCGAACCCCGCCGCCAAACAATTCAATTTCTCATCGGATTTAGGCGTGCAAATTGAGAATTCTTCTCACAAAATAATTAATCAAGAAATTCGAATATGGCAGTGTTTGGTCAAATAATAAAAATAATCGACAACACACATGCGCATTTTATTATTGGGAAAGTTGAGAGAAAACTTGAAATTCTGACATTTTCAGATTTTCAGATAAAAATAATGGTTTAAAAAATTTTTTTATTAATTTCATTCGTACTAAGAAAAATTGAAAAAAAAAACTGCGGAAAATATTTTTTACATAATTATTTCAAAAGTTTTTTTTTGGATAGTAATAAACTAATTAATCATATCAATTATAGTTCGATTCAAAATCATTTTTCCAGTTCTAAGTTCTGTCATTACAGATTTTTTGGAACAATTCCAATAAATCTGAAAAGATACCCAAAATGAGATGGAATTGAGAAGAAGACTTGCGAAAAGGAAATTGAAATTTGACGCAAAAGAAAAAAAAGTTTGAAATGCAAGGAAAAGCAAAGAAAAGAGCGGAAGGGACGTGGCAAAAAGTGTCGGTAATCTAATTGGAAATGTTCGCGTTCTTCTCAATTGAAGGCACCAAAAAAGGACAACAAAAAGACGAGGATTTGCTCTTTTCGTTTGAAGACCTTCTTCGGTCGAACCTCAATAATCGTTACTACAGTAATCCAAATTGGCTCAACTAGGGCAGACAGACTAAAACGGACGTCATCTCTCGAATGTTCGCCTAATGAGCCGTCGTCGGTTTTTACTCTCGGCGAGGCTCCGAAGACAGAGAGACGATCATCTCGAAAATTGCAATAATTGGATTTTTCGCGACAAGACCCTCAATCAAACCGAAAACGCCTGGCGAACATCCATTTTTTTTGTACATAAATGTATACTACTGATATTTTTCCGAAAACCAGGAGGGAAAAAAGTGCAAAAGGAAAAACATTTTTGAAAAATCATAAAATTTGAAACAGCATTTTGATGATAGTAGACTGAATAAAAAATTGGAATTTGCAAAAGCATTCATATGGCATTTGAATGAGCATTCGAAACCTCTATTTTTACTGTTAAAAAAACACGATATGACCATGGACGGAAATTGAATTTTTTTGTCGAATCACACCCTCTCGTATATATTTTTTCCGAAAGTGAAGGAAATATTAACAGATTATTCGGCGAAAAAAACCGAGCACCCTGTGAGTTTGATTCGCAGGTTATCCAGAGTACGGTACCCAAATTCACACTGTTTTTTTAATTCAAATTTGAATTACAGTGCAATGGTCCACAATTTGTCAAAATGCTCAATTTTTGCGATGATAATTGTCAAAATAGGCCTTTTTAATGTCAATTTTGACAAATTTTACGTGAATTTATAGTTCGAAACAGAAAAAATATGTGACGAAGTTGGTTCGACCTCAGTTCGGAGAAGGCCGACTTTTGCGATATTCCTATAGTCGGTGTCCGGCGACTGCTGTACGCGGGTAGATTTACGCGCATGCGCCTTGAAAAGGTCTCGCCACGCATGAATGCTTATTTTGCTGTTTTCACGTGAACAGCTTCATTTTTCTTGATGAGTTACAGCAGTCGCCGGACGCCAACTCAAATTAGTCTGCTAGAAATAGCAAATTGAGGGAGATATTAAAATTATAGAAAAAGGATTGCATTGGCAAAAAAGAAGACAAATTCTGCAAGCACTGAATCGATATCGATATGCGTATATTTAAATTAACTAACTTTGACACCTCAAAAATCAATTGGATCCGAATTTTTGGAAACGTCAAAACAAAAAATAAGCAATGGGCTGCGATCATTTTACAATATTAATTTCCAGTCGGATCGCGTTCATTCAGAAGCTGAATTTTATCATTTCCGATTGGTTTTGATATATCAGTGTAAGAGAAAAAAAGAATCAATTTTTATATTTAGAAGGTGGTGATTGGGTCTCGCTCTGAAATGTTTTATTTTCACCCTAAAAATAATATTAAAGAAGGTTTCCGGTTCCCTATGACATCGTCTTTATTCGCCTTTAATTGGTCATTTTTTATTTTAAAAATACAACCATAAATAACATTTTGAAGAAAAAAAAGTGAATCTGCTTATTGGTTTTTTTTTAAATATTTTGCGGAATACCTAGCTTTAATTAGGAATTAGAAAGGTTAATGGGGAGAAAGAAAAAAATTATAAGTTAAAAATCTAAAATGTAAAAAATATTTTTAGTCAAATATATAGGAAATTTACGAAAAACTTCCGATAATCAATATTTGAGATATGTTGATTTTCAACAAAAAAAAGTAAGGATAAATAGCGAAGAGAATAAAAAAAACAAGTGTTTGTCGGACAAGTCGAGTAATTATTGCGTGAGACTTCAGAATTCTGTTGTTTTTTTTTTCTTTCCAGAATCTTTTTTGCTCGCCAAAATTGACTCAGATTTTCAATTTTGTTCTCCTCCATTAGGACGTATGATCTAAAATTTAAAAAAAAATAATAATAAAAATAAGAGCCTGTGTTTTTGGATTGTATTGCTCATCCTACATATTCACACTCGTTGAAATTTCATGTTTTTATCGACCGATCGATTTTTGCCATCGATCTCGATACTTTCTCGCGTTTCCGCCGCACTCGCCTAGTCGAGAAGCCTCACACTGCTCATGCTCATGCTCATCTCATTCGTTGTAATGCCCTTCGGCCTTCTGATTCTCATCTCTCTATCGCCGCACGAAATAACATCTCGGCGGTAGTAGTTTTCAACTCTTGACATGTTTTGAATTGTTCAGCACACTGTGTGTGTGTGTTTTCCAATATTCCGCATTTTTTTTTCTCTGTCAAACAATCCAATTTGATATTTTCGATGAAACTTCAAAATAGAGTTGTCTGGCCATCAATCGTCGCCATCGAGCCATGTCATTCTCGCATATGAAATTCCTGATTGTTTTTTTGGAGGAAAAGCGAAAATATTATCAAAATGTTAGCTTCAAATTGAACAAAAATTTAATGAAAAAACTCTCAACATATGGAATTTATTGAATAATCGATTTTCTTTTAAATTTCTACTTCATATAATTTTTGAATTGAATCTTATAATGATCATCAAAGTGTTTTTTTTTTTAGGTAAACCATGGCTGACGATGAGGACGACATCGTTTGGATTCGAGAAGAAGAAAAAGGTATCAGAATAGTCAAATATCCAATTCGAAATTTGTTTTTTTTTTTTTCATTTTAATTTAAGAGCCGGTGACTCCAACAACACCAGTAACTGTCATTGAAGATCTGCCTAAATTGACGGATGCTTCTGACAGAAACGGTATGGCCAGTTTTCATATGTCATCCGATTCATTGAAAAATTTAAAAGATAGAGTTTTGAGTTGCGATTAAAAAATACTTTCGCGCGATTTCGGAAAATTGGCGAACTGCCGCCAGAAAAAATTTTCGATATTCTGAGAAAAGCCTCACCATATGCTTTGATAATAAATCTAAACTATTCGTTTTTGGCATTTAGCCATTCTTTCCGCGCGACGTCGACATTTTATCTCGGCACGTACTTTTGGCAGACTTCAAATTAGGGCTTGCTGAAACAGTAGCTCAAATCTTTGAATCCAACAAAAAGATTCAGATTCAAATAACATTTTCAAAGGGTCGAATCAACAACAACAGCAGCAGCAAACGCAACTCTCATCCAATTCGGAGCCGACTCCGGAAGCTGTTACAGTTAAGACGAACGACGGTGCGTCTGCCGCCGCTGCCGCTGCTCCAGCTATTCTTCCCGAAGTGACAATTTCCGAAGCACCAGACCACAACGATCGAGATGAGACGGATCGTCTTTCGACGAAAAATAGCGCTTCGAGACCTCCTGATACGCCGACATCTTGCGACGAAAGCATGTCATTTGATATTAGTAAATAATTGCGAATCGGAATTGGGGCAATGTCCAGTGTGATATTCTAGGTGAATACGAAAGAAATTTCAATAAGACGACTCAAGAAGCGAAAGAATTGCTCGATAAAATGGAGAAACAGTCGAAGTTCGTTGAGGAGAACAACAAAGAAGCCGCAAAAGAGTGGGTGGTCGACATTTTTTGCCGCAATTTTCATTCGATTTTAAAGCCTTCGCCACTTGCAAGATGAGTTCAACCGAACCGGAATACCGGAAGTCGTCCATAAAACAATTGATGATGTTTCTCAAGTGCCGACGGCCACCGAACTTCCATCTGGAGGGTTCGTTTTACGAAGTTTGCCACAACTAATATTTGGGAATTGAATTTCAGCCTTCCAAAAAACGTCGAATCGGTTTTGATCGGCGAGGGAGTACTCGAAGAGATCACAGGAACCCTTGTCCTTCCCAATGGTCTTGTGCTCGTCACCGACGAACGAGCCGGAATCTTATTATTCAATCTGGAAGGCGACGTCGTCGCCAAAATCAATCCTCCCGAATTCCGACGATTCTGGAGTCCAGTTTATCATAAAGAGCATATCCTGGTAAGAAGAAGAAGATGTCGCTACTACTGGTCGGAATTCTCAGATTCTTGCTGATGCACAAAATGCCGATTCGCACTGGGTTCGGCACGTTATCAAATTCACTGTTGATCTACAATATGTCGCCAAAATTGAATGTCCAGCGTGGTTAGCCGAATGCACAATTCTTCGGGAAAGACTCAGCATTGCGTATACGGATTATCTCTACTTATGCGTTTGTGGAGAGGTCTGTTTTTTGCTTTTACTGAATGCAGCTTATCAGTTTTTTTTTGTGAAAATCGATTTCAGACATTCTCCGGAATCTACGAGCTCACTCCAATTGGACAATGGACTGAACTCGAGTACAAACTCTCTGAAGCTTATATAGACATGTCAGCATTTGCAACGATTGGACCAATCACTCAATTATTAGTGGTTGAAGGTAACACTTGGTTTTTTTTTTTTTTGGAAAATCTCTATAATCTTCTGAAATTTGACGACTTTTCCCGAAATTTTATTGCCAATAAAATCGAAAAATTCTTTCAAACTTAATTTTGTTGTGGAAAACGCAAAATACAATGAAATTCAAATTTGAATTACCGCCTCGAAAAAGTGCGATGGTCCACAATTTTTTTTCGTTGTTATTACATCTGGGAGACCCTTAGAATATTCTGGAGCAAAAAAAAAATAGAATTACGGTTTGTTAATTTTTGAGGTTTTCTCATTCCGCAACATCGGTTTCTGTTGGCTAATGAGCTTTTCCTGAAATCTATTTACAGAAACTGCTTAAAATCAAAATGAAAACAACTTTCCCGATCAGTTTTCCAGGATTTTTGAACTCGGAAAATTGAAAGTACATTGAAATTTTCCACGGATTTTTCCGAATATTTCCTTCATTTATGCCTAAATGTGCCAAAAAATTTCAAATAATCTAAAAAAAAAACATTGTAAAAATATTCTCAACAATTTTCAGGCCGAAAAAATTATGTATTACTTGTATCGGTGCGCGAATCGCAGATTGTCGATAAGAAGCGAATGGCAATCTGCGAGAGACCGGGTGCTCTTGCTCGAGATGAAGCTGGCCGACTATTTGTGGCAAATCGATTCTCGGCCAGCATTCAGCTTGTCGACACTGTTCGATGGGCCAGCGAGAAGAATGTAGCGATTAGTGAAGCATTTGTAAGAAGAATCATCATTTCAATTCCATTCTGAATTTATTTGATTCAGGTTCGACATTTCACAGCCGCCTGGGGATTATTGGCAATTCCACTCAAAAATTCAGTTCGTCTTCAGCGATATTCATTCAGATCACTTCGCTAGACATTACGTTTCAACTGTTTTATGCTCCAAATTTTTGTACGAAAATAAAATGGGCAATGAAGAGATTCCCAAATGAATTGTTATTCACTTTAGTGGATTACAGTGGACGAACAAGTTTGAAAAATTTGAATTAAAAGAAAAAGAATATTGAGAAATTAAGAAAAAATCATGAATATAATATTAATAAACAATGTTGATAAAAAAAGGGGAAACTTTAAAAAAAATATTAAAAGCCACAATTCAGAAAAAAAAGCGTCATTAGAATAGAACTTTGACATTAAAAAGAGACAATAAATATTTAATGAAAAAGAATTGGCTAGAATAAGAAACAATAATAGAAAAATTCTGAAAGAGCACAATTCGGGAGCAAGGACGATTCGATTGAACAATTAAAATAAATAAAAATAAGTAATTGATGAATATTCAGATGGCAATCATATTAGGCGAATGGACACGTTAAATAATAAACAATACTCAGCAAAAACAGGGCCGCCATCACAAGTGTGTCAAATTGAATACATTCAAAACTGGAGTAATTTATAATTTTAGGGTACGCGCGTAATTGGCGGGAAACCATTAATTCAAATCCTCTACGAAATTAGAATGCATCAAATTCGAAAATAATTTCGTTTTTAATCGAAATCAAATATAAGTTAAACTGTTTCGAATTCAATTGAATTCGATTTCAAAATTAAAAATAAGGGATTCGAATTGAACTTTTTTTTTTCATGCATGTCCGAAAAATAATAATCGAGATATCAGATTTTCGAAAAAAAAAGAGATAAAATAAGTTTCAGAAAACTGAAGCGCGACTATTACGGTGACTATCAGTAATACTTCAGAAATTTTCTTCCATTAGATTACTTGATTTTATTTGCATTAGAAAAGTTATAATCGAAATCATTTATTAAATCAAACAATTCAATGATAATTGTGGCCCTAAAGAGGGCCGTTGGGGTTCGGTTATAGCAGGTAAATTCAACGAAGAATTTACTTGCTGGAGGTGTACTTGGTGACAGCCTTGGTTCCTTCCGAAACGGCGTGTTTCGCCAATTCTCCCGGCAAGATCAATCTGACCGCGGTTTGGATTTCGCGAGACGAGATGGTCGATCTCTTGTTGTAGTGGGCCAATCGGGAAGCTTCAGCGGCGATTCTCTCGAAAACGTCGTTCACGAACGAATTCATGATCGACATAGCCTTCGACGAGACTCCGGTGTCTGGATGGACTTGCTTGAGAACACGGTAGATGTAGGTCGAGTACGACTCCTTTCTCTTGTTGTGTCTCTTCTTGGCTCCATCACGGGGCTTCTGGGACTTGGCGGCTTTCTTTGCTCCTTTAGCAGATGGTTTTGGTGGTGCCATGGCGAATTGGTTGAACTTGTTGACTCAAGTGTAGCGTCCAGTCGAATCATTTTCTATTTACGATAACGCGCGGAGGGGGTGGAGTCACAATAGGTGTCGCGGAGCGAGGGCGCAAGATCTGTTGCGAGAAGGATGACAGTGCGAAACGATTCTGAATGCTCAGCATGTGTCGCAGAGTAAGGGTTAACTCCGCCCCCTCCGCGCGCAGTCATTTATAGTCGAATGCGACATTAGAATTTTCAGTGTGAATTTCACAACACAAACCTAGCGACTTCATCATGTCTGGACGTGGAAAGGGAGGAAAAGCCAAGACCGGAGGAAAGGCGAAATCTCGTTCATCGAGAGCCGGACTTCAATTCCCAGTCGGTCGTCTTCACCGTCTTCTTCGCAAAGGAAACTACGCTCAACGCGTCGGAGCCGGAGCCCCAGTTTACTTGGCCGCTGTTCTCGAATACCTCGCTGCTGAGGTTCTCGAGTTGGCCGGTAATGCTGCCCGTGATAACAAGAAGACGAGAATCAACCCAAGACATCTCCAGCTTGCCGTTCGCAACGACGAGGAATTGAACAAACTTCTCGCCGGTGTGACCATCGCTCAAGGAGGAGTTCTCCCCAACATCCAAGCTATTCTTCTTCCAAAGAAGACTGCCGGAGAGAAGGAGTAAACTCTTGTGTCCGCACACATCATACCGAACCCCAACGGCCCTCTTTAGGGCCACAGATGTACTTACAATGATTGTTTATATATTTTTGTTATTTTAATAAATTCGTTATTTTATTTCTGTTCCTACAAAAAAATTAAGTTTTTACATTCTTTGTAAATTAAAAATGAATCAATAGATTTCGAACATTTTTGCATCGGATTCGAAGCTTTATACACATTTTTTTTTGCTGTATATTTCACTGCGCGGAATTCCGTCTTTCGTAACATTTTTTTCTCGGCTAAATGAAAATCAATCGAATTCGAAGAAAAATAAAATATAAATTAACCTCATTCGATTGAAATAGAAATTCGATTTGAAAATTTGGTTTCGATTCTTCGAAATGGATTGATTTTGTCAATTTCAATTTTGAAATCGAATTCAATTGAATATTCGAAACAACTTATATCTGATTTTGATTGAAAATAAAATTATTTTCGCATTTGATGCATTTTCGTTGCGCAGAAGATTTGAATCTATGGTTTCCCGCCAATTATGCGCGTCTTTTCTGTGACGTCACAATGCACATTTGCTGGTTTTTGGCGTCGTTTTCGGTCGATTATCGAATGAGACAAAAGAATTCCAACTGTGAGAAGTGACGCGAATAATATTTAAATAGACACCTGATAAAAAATAGTGGTGATAATAAAAAATTGGAAAATTCGAGTTTTTTGCTCTGGTAACTCGATTCGAATCGAATACGAATTGAACGCGTATTAAAAACGTATACGCAAAATTTCGAATCGTATACGATTGACAGTAAAACCGAAACGAATACGAATTACAATCGAATGCAAATTACTCTGGTAACTCGAAACCAATCGGATTCGACAAAATTCGGCTCTAGAATTAACCTTATCCGATTGGAAATTCTACGGATAAGATTGGTTTTTTGTCGAATCCGATTCGAATTGAAATATTAAAACAAAACGGATTCGAAAAATTACCAATCGGATTTGAAGAAAATCTAACCAGATATGACAAATTACCAATCGGATTCGACAAAAAACCAATCTTATCCGTAGAATTTCCAATCGGATAAGGTTAATTCTAGAGCCGAATTTTGTCGAATCCGATTGGTTTTGAGTTACCAGAGTAATTAATTAGGATTCGGCGACATATTTATCCTAAATATTCTATTTTTCTATTTTAAAAAATATTTTGTCGGTTTCAAAACGTTAACGATATCGTACGATATCCGAGCTGAGTATATTTAATACTAATGAATTCCCAGTAGTGTTGCTTACTCCTTGTTGCCTCGAGACACCGAAATGCAGCTATTTACCAGACTTTTTCGCGTTCGGGCGCGTGCGGTTCGCGTGCGGTCACGTTTATATTTATTAATTTTTCACAGTATGATTCAATGTACATATGTTTTTAATAGTTTCCACAAATTCGATGATATCAATTGCAACAAAAGTTGGCACCTGTTTCTCTATCATATATTTAGCAACATCATTTTCAGAAATCATTGTAGTCGGTTGGAAAATAACCCAAAAAGAATTTCTAAAAACAATAAACGAGATCGCACGCGAACCGCTATATGGCGACATAAAATAATTACCTGAGCCGCTATTTTTCGAGAACATCCGATAGCCGATAATTTTTCTTTAAATTTTATTTAGTCGTTTAAATTCGTATTCGCATCGTATTTCTTAATATTGTGTGCAATTTTAGATGAAACGGATCAACACGAGAGACGTATTGAGCGATTTGCGGAAATCTTCGAAAAAATGCAAGGATGATGTTGAGCATGGTATTCGTCGATTTTGTCAAAATGATATTTTATTGTTAAAGAAATGGAACTGGACAGGACGAGTGTTCAAGATCAAGAATATGAAAGTGATAATGATGATGATGAATTTGAATCCCCCACCGGTGATGAAGTTTATAACGACGGTTTGTGTTTACATAGCTGACAATAGCGCTTGTGAGAAAAATTATCACTTTCAGAACCAGTGAAAAATGATTTATCTTCATTATCCAATCAAGATCTGATGAGACTTGATTTCGAAAATATGTTCACGAACTCGAAAGCAGGTAAATATACTTTGAAAATTTTAATAGTGAAAACACACTGCAGCTGTTGATTCGAGTGCGATGTGCTCCCGAAGGAAAATGAAATCAAACAATGCATAAGGAAATATCGAAAATTTTTAAAAGTCGAAATATGCATTAACTGTGCGCAAGAAGAAAACAAGTTTGAAATTAAAACAATTGCTAACATATATCTACTTTTTACAGATGTTCATGTTCAAATTTCATCGCCGGCGAAATTGTATTCAACGATATATCTAGATTCTTGAAGCAGTTTTGGTTGATTAACGGAGATGATGTGCGAATTGTCCAAAATAAAATAAAGAATTCTGAAAACAGTTCGTCACCAATGTCTAGTAGAAAATTAAGGGAATACATATTTGAAGAGAAAAATGATGAAATTATTTACATTCATTTTTTATTATCATTTGACGGTGTGAAGCTACGTCCGAATGATAAGTATTACAAATTCAACTTTATATTAATAAATTTACTTCCGTTACAGCCTGAAAATTTGGCCATTTTGTTTACAACCGCTTAATTTGGAGGATCAGCTCGCGCCAAATCACAAAATTTGATCATAGGTGCGATTTATCTAGGAAGTCGTGATCCTAATGCGAAAACACACGACAGAATTGTGAAGTGGGCCGAAATTGCACTGAAGCAGAATATGGACGGGTACTGCGGAAAAATTGTTTCTGGTACGCACGATGATCCGGTAAAATGACTACAGTACATGGAAAAAAAATACATGAATAAATTATATTTACAGGCAAAACGATTGGTTTACAAACTTTTTTTGCAAATCGCGCGACATTAAATATTAATTTTGTTCCAGGAAGAAAGGCTAGCTGTGGCAACATACCAGCGAATCTTGACGATGGCTTGCGCGAAAAAGGAGTAAACTCTTACTATCATTCAATTGCACCCATGTACGAAAGTCCACTGGATATATTTCACTTATTTCATGAGGGAGTATTTTTGAAAATAATAAATAGTAGGTTTTCTACATATTTTTTAAACGAAAACCCACGTACCATAATGCCTACCGTTGTGATTTTTTTCGAGGAGAATATCTTATAACACTATTCCCGTTTACACCATGGTGGTTGGGCCCGTAAATTTACACTTTTAGTTTTGCTCCAAGACCAGTCTTTGTTTTTTTGGCATTTAGCCAAATCGATACAAATATGAACAGAAAATAAATAAAACAAGAGATAGCAGGTCATCCGCTTATACGGGGTGACTGCTGAAATAAAAACCAAACAGAAATATTGGAAGGAAGGGAATGCAAGAGATGTCCATCATTCTGTTTGCTGTGGCTGCTGAAATACGGGAATTTTGCTGAAAAACATAATATTATTGATATTCTCGTAAGGACAACACGGGGTTTAAAGGGACAATGCAGAAGAAATAAAAAAATAGATAAAAATTAAATGCAGCAAAAATGGAAAATAATTATTAATTTGGAATTTTTTGAAATATTATCAATGTTTATTTTTAAAATTTCGTTTGCTTTACCCTATTGTTTAATTATAAGGCTTCGTTTTAAAATTAAAACACACATGCTCGACGGGCGATATTTTCCGAAAAAGAACAAAAATGTTTTAATTGGAACGAGTTTTTTAAATCTCAAAAACAAAATTATCGACTGATTGATGGCGGGAAATTCAAATTAGTGAAATCAGTGTAGATTTCAATTTATCATTCACTGAATATTAAAAAAAAGAAAGCCAATACTTATGGATTTCGATCAGTCGTTTGAAACTGATAATAAATAAATGAAGACTCACCGGAATAATAGTAGAAAGTAGGAAAATGAGGATCAATTAGAAGCTGTTTTCGAATTGTGAATCAAAACTGAAAATAAAAATTGAAATAAGAACTTAAAATGCCAATTTCATACCAGGTAATTGCTGTTGAATTTCGCATCAATTCGAGGTCGACATCACAGAGAAGAGCTCATGAAACAAGGGTTTCATTATTTAATAGTATTTTTTCAATTTGAGGATTGCACATTTTTTTCGAAATAAAATTATTTCGCAATTTGAGAGATATTTCAAACCACACAACCGCCAGCGGACTTCCTCCTTTACAGTCGTCGGGCCCTTCGGACCACCGAGGCGGAGCGTTTCTCGGCGGCCGGGTGGTTTGACCGGCCACCGCGCTCGTGCGGGCTTAATAGCGACAAATTCGAGTCAACGAATTCGTCCTCGATGAGCGAATCACAAGATAATTGCGATCGACTTTCGAGTTATCGCTGGCAGTTGTCCTCATCTCTATTTAATTGCCAACAAATTCAAAAAAGGTTGACAAAATGTTAAAAAATTAAAAACAAAAACTGACCAAGGAAATTGGACGGACGGTTCTGAACGCGAATTGAAATGATTGTGTTGATTTTTGAAGATCACGCAAAAAAATATGTCACGCTTTCTTGTTGTTTTTCGAAGAGCTTTGCTTGTTAAATTTATTTTCATTTTTATCTTTTTTCTTTTGATGAATTCCGTAGTTCTACGGGAAAAAGAGCTAAACAAAAAACACATTTTATCTTGATCGCTTCAGCAGAGAATAATTTTCCATTTCTTCAGTAAAACAATTATTGACAAAGTATATCCACAAGAATGAGCTCAAGTTTAAAAAATAATAATTTTATTCAGAACAATACAACATTTACTTGGAGAAGTTTTATTTATTTATTGCATTCTTTGTAAGAATTTAATCATTTTCATAATTGTGGCCCTAAAGAGGGCCGTTGGGGTTCGGTTATACGAGATGATCAAGCGATTCACGCTCTTTCTCCTCGGATTCTGCGAGCGAGCTGGATGTCCTTTGGCATGATGGTGACACGCTTGGCGTGAATGGCGCACAAGTTGGTGTCTTCGAAAAGACCGACCAAGTAGGCCTCGGCGGCCTCCTGAAGAGCCATAACAGCCGACGATTGGAAGCGAAGATCAGTCTTGAAATCTTGAGCGATCTCACGAACAAGTCGCTGGAACGGCAACTTGCGGATGAGGAGCTCAGTCGATTTTTGGTAACGACGGATTTCACGAAGAGCGACGGTTCCTGGACGGTAGCGATGTGGCTTCTTGACTCCACCGGTGGCTGGGGCCGATTTACGGGCAGCCTTGGTGGCCAATTGCTTTCTTGGAGCCTTTCCTCCGGTCGATTTGCGGGCGGTTTGCTTGGTACGGGCCATTTCGAATGCTTTAGAGACTTGTCTCGTGACTCTTCTACTAACACTTTCTCCTTTTATACCATCCGCTCAGACACAGTGGAGGGGGCGGGGTGACGCAACCTATCTGGGTGGTGTCGCAGAATGGGGAACAAAACTGCAACGTAGACAATTGGACAAGCAAAAATGTGTCGCGGAGCGGGGGTTCAAATTAACTCCACCTACTGTGGTATAAAAGACGCGCTGTATTCCGTCTTCCTCAGCTCATTTCGAGTATCATCTGCATCAAGTCAACATGTCCGGCCGTGGAAAGGGAGGAAAAGGTCTTGGAAAAGGAGGAGCCAAGCGCCATCGCAAAGTTCTCCGCGATAACATCCAAGGAATCACCAAGCCAGCTATTCGCCGTCTTGCCCGTCGTGGTGGAGTCAAGCGTATTTCTGGATTGATCTACGAAGAGACCCGTGGAGTGCTCAAGGTTTTCCTTGAGAACGTGATCCGTGACGCCGTCACCTACTGCGAGCACGCCAAGAGAAAGACCGTCACCGCCATGGATGTCGTCTACGCCCTCAAGCGACAAGGCCGCACCCTCTACGGATTCGGAGGATAATTTCGATTATTCTTTGCTCTCCTGCAGGAATCAACACCGAACCCCAACGGCCCTCTTTAGGGCCACAAATGCACTTTTCATTATTATTTATTGAATAAAATTATTATATATATTTATGAAACAAGAGCCATGTGCTATTATTTATATGTTTTGAGACCAACCAGTGTAAATCGTGATCAGTATGAAACATTACTAAAATATACCTATTTTTATTTTAGCATCTTAAAAAGTAAGCGTGTAATGGTTAAAAACCCTTTTTTCGAGCTGTGTAGAATATAATGCAGTAGTAAATTTAAAATACTGTTTCTAGGGTATCCTCGCCGCTTAGAAATCGAGTTCCATCCCGAAATAAAAATTATCAGCCAGAAAAAATTTCAGATCCGCCAGAGTTTGCAGCATGTCGTCTTTATTCGAAAAAAGGAAGATAAATTCACATTTACTTTCGTTTTCAACGAAAAAATCACGGTAATAGAAGAACGCCGTCAAAACGAACACAGTTTTTTGAAGGAATTCGTTTAATTGAATAATAAAATTATTTGAAAATAATCCAAATTCTTTCTGCAGCATAGAAAATATTGGCATAAATTATTTCGGGTGAAAATTATGTCAAAATCTTGTCGATTCAAAATGTCAGCCAAATTCACTTTTGTAATCTTGCTATTTTTTCTATCAATCGATATTCCTCGATTTTTTATTCTGTAGCAATTGTCTGAAGAAGTATGAAAACCTTCAAAAAATTGGGGAAATACGAGAAGAATTCTTCAGATACGTATTTTTCCGTTTTATTCGAAGCTTTTGAAATCGAAAAATTGCGAAAATTAACATATATTTTGAAATGTTAAGATTCTCAAAGTTTTTTTGCATTCCGTTGATCGCTGGTGACAAATTTGATTGAGGAATTCCGGAGCTTCTCAAATCATTGTCAATTTAAGTTTTTTCAAGTCGACCTTCTAATTTTTTATTTTATTCCCCAATGAAAATACACTTATCAATGTGTTTTTTTTTTTCGAATCTTATTATTCAATGTCGATTTTTCTTTCTACCGTATCCATTCAAATCAACGCCGATTTTGGACGTCGATAACGAAAAGAGCGCGTCATGTGACACAAAGAAATAGTAGGCGAGTTGGAGAGACGCAGGGAATTTGGGCGCGTCTTGGACAAATGCCAATTTGATGATGAAGATTATGGAAAATGGGGAAAATTGAGAAGGAAGGCATGAAGAATTCAAATAAATGATTCGAATGGTCCCTTTCTTGTTCAATTTCGTTCGTTCGATCGACGAGATATTTAATTGCAACTCGAATGTGTCATTTTTGCGCAATTTCGCGTGCGCAACAATCTTCAACAAATACCACCAGCAGATGCTCAATTTCTGTGCTCCGCCGACTTTGTTGTGACGCAATTTGGAGAGGAATTTCGAAAAAGAAAAACATTTGATGATTGTATTCTGAGCCATCGAAAAACATCTAAGAGATTCAAATCAATTATAATCGATATGAATCCAAATGGTGTTTTTTTTTAATAATTTTTTCGCATTCAAAATACAGAGAACATTCTCGACAAAATGTTCAATTCGAAAAATTACAAAAAAATTTCGATAATTCATACTGCCAAAAAATCAATAATTCGATTTTTTTTCGACGAAATTCGTTCGCATTTCAATTATCATTAATATTCGTCTTTTCATTTGTCAATTCGCTCGATATTTCATGTTGCTGATTTTGGCAGACATCCAACAAAAAAAATGGTTTCGCGCGCCCAAATTCTCTGCGTCTCTCCAACTCGCCTACTATTTCCTCGTGTCACATGACGCGCTCTTTTCGTTATCGACATCCAAAATCCGCGTTGATTTGAATGGATACGATAGACAAAAAAATCCCAGAATATTTAAGAATTCGATTCGAAAAACTCACATTGATAATTGGTTGGTTAATTGGTTTGATAATTTCACGACGAGGCGATAATATGTGGAAAATTTTAAAAAAAAAATTGGATTTTGAAATGAAAATCGCCTCCCTCATTACAAAAAAATGACATAAATTTTTGAATTTGCTTCGAAGAATTTCCTTCAGCGACAAAAATGAATGAGTTCGTTGGGAAAATCGAAATTTTTTTTTTCAACCAAGATGCTGAAAACGAATTTCAGAACTTCATTTGAATTAGCATTTGAATTAAATTCATTTTTAAAGCGAATTTCTGATATATTTTAATGATTTAGAGAAAATATTTGAAGAAAATTCTAATAATTGATAGAGATTGTCGATGTGAAAACAATTATTTTATCTCGAAATTCATTCATCTGGAAAACGAAAAAAAATCATCTTTGATAAATTAACTTTTTCTTAAATAATACAAACTGATTGCGGAAATCCTGTAAAATATATTTCCAAAAAAAAGTTTGAGAAATTCTTATTTCCTGGCAGGTCTTTTTGACGAGCCATGTCTACCAATGCCAAGTTTTCAATGTTTAAGCCCGAATTTCGTTAAAATTCGTCAGGGAAATGTCGAATTTGTTATATTCATCTGATAGAGAAATTTGTGAGCTTTCGAATGACTCTAAACAATTTCTGAAATAATTCAATCAATACTGTGAAAATGAAATTTAATTTTTTATAGCAGTGTTTGGTGTTACGGTATATGGTTCCTTAATTAACCTAAATGTTTAGATTCTAAGACAAAAATTACATATTTGGATAGCTTAACACTTGGCGATTCTGAAAAACACAAAAACATGTTGTTTAAAGTTATATCTATAATTCTGGAAGCGCTGGAAAAAAAGAAGTCGTTGGTAAAAACCCTATTTTAAAGTTTGTTGTCCTATTACTCAATGACTATTCGATCAATCTCGACAAAATTTTAACTCTTTATAGAAGAACCTTCCCTCTATTCGATGGTGTTAATCAAATTATCGTTGGACCAATATCCGTTGAGAACGAGCTTCTCAAACAAGGCGAGTTTAACGAGGAGACAACATCTATTGGGGTCACCCTTGAAGCGACGAGGTGTCGCGGAGTGGGGGCAAAGCGTGGTATATAAGCGCAGCGCAGCAAGTCGGTAGCCATCACAACCTTGTGAACGCTCATCATGTCTGACGTTGCTGCTGCTCCAGCCCCAGCCCCAGCCGCTACGGCTACTTCATCATCTCCGAAGAAAGTTAAAGCTTCAAAGACCAAGGCTAAAGTTAATAAGCCAAAAGCTGCGACCAGTCATCCGCCGTTCGGAGTCATGCTGAAGGAAGCCCTTGGGGCGCTCAAAGACCGCAAAGGCTGTTCCAACGTTTCGATTACTAAATATATCAAGCAGCACTACGCAATCACGACTAACTCAGCTTCCACGAACGCGCATATTCGCTTAGCGCTCAAGAAGGGTGTAGCAAGCGGTGCCATCGTCCAAACTAGTGGAAATGGAGCAAACGGTCGATTCCTCCTCAAATCTCAAAAGAACTCGGAAGACGCTTCAAGTGATAAGAAGAAGAAAGCCGCTCCAAAACCAAAGAAGGCTTCTGGTGGTGAAGGCGCCAAGAAAGCCGCTGCTGCGAAACCGAAGAAGGTAAATTCATAGTAAATTTGGACTACAGTTTTTATTTGTATTTTTTCAGGCTGCTGCTGCTTCATCAAAGAAGGATAAACCTGCTAAGGCTGCCAAGACCGAGAAGAAGGCCAAGTCTCCAAAGAAGATCGCGAAGCCAACCGCCAAGAAGGCCACTCCAAAGAAGGCCGCGAAGCCAGCAGCAAAGAAGCCCGCCGCCAAGAAAGCAGCTCCAAAAGCCAAAGCCACATGAGGCGCTAGCCATTCCACCCCTTATTAAAAAAAAATCAAATTGTTAATTTTATCTGATCTCACTAAATTCACCTCTTCATTGTAGCCCAAACTCGATTAGCATTTTTTGACTATTTTTGAAAATTTTCCAACACCTTTCGAAAATTGTAAATACCCGGTATTGATGCTCTCATCCCTATTTGGCAACACATTTTCCAATACCACATTTATACAGGTAAAAACGTGCGAAACGTTTCATTCATATTAGCCTCGAAGGTTTTCTGATCTTGCTACAATCTTAATAAATTATTCATATATGTATCAATCATTACCGCAACATGAGCACAACTGTAATGATTCTCGAAGAAGAGAATTTATCCAAATTATGGTCGGCGTCAAACGATTGAAGAGAGCCGGGGAATTCAAATTCGCGTAGATTTAAATTAATCGTTGACTGAGTATTAAATGCGGGTACGCAATCGTCTTGCGTACTTCGCGCAGCCTCGAGACGCATTGGCACATAGCCAATAATTTTTGTAAATTTTGTCCGGTCGTTCGACTCTGACAATAAATATAAAGGAAACGGATTCTGAATAAAGTGAATTGATGCACAATTGATCAAAAATTTAATTCAACTAATTTTCGCTTCTAAAGAAGGTATCAATTAATGGCTCTTTCGAGTGAGGGTCTATTCATGTGAAGTTTTAAACTTTGAAAAAACAAACGGACTACGTTTAAACTGCCAAGGGAAAATCGGCAATGAAAGATTCAAATTGAAAAAAAATGGCGGGAAAAAAAATAATTGTATTGTTTTAAACATCATTGTTAATAATAGTTTCTACGAATTACCGAATAACTTTCGCAATATCCTACTTTTGATTATTGCATTTCTCATGGAGACAATCTACAATATGTTATTTTGTGTTGACGAGGTTGATTCGCGTTAAAAATTTTGTTGGCACGATTCCAAGGCCTGTGAAATTCAGCCTCGTGCGGTCTCGGCAAAATATCTCCATGAAGAATGGAAATTTATGATTCGAAAAATACATTGTTTTGGAATAGATATCGAGACAATTGGATATTCAAACTGGGATTTTCCGGATTTAAAACAATTAGTGGGTTTTCATAAATATGAATTTAATAAATCTTTCGACTTTTCTTGGCAAAATTTAAGACCATTTTTGAATAAACTTTACAAAAAAATATAGTTAATTGAAATAACATTAACATAGATATAAGCTGAAAATAACTGAATTTGTTCTACTTGAAAAGAAAAGACCATCGAATTCCAAGCAAACCAAATATACTTGGAAAGTGGGTGACTCGAACATAATGCGGTCGGCCGTCGCAACAAATGTGGCGCAAATTTTGTCGCGCCACTCGACGGTTTCCGACAATTTTTGCATAAAACTTCTATAATTGTTTAGAGAATTTCAAGAGCTTTCTAATAATACTAAACACTAAACACATATTTGAAATAATATGCAAAAAAATTGAAAAAATTCCAAACCGGCGTTTTTGAGTAACTTCAGTAAAAAGTTTCCCGGAGTTCCAACAAACTAAAATATGCAGATATTGAGATATTAAACGATTCAGAAAATGTTTTTCTATTAGATTATTAAAAAATAATATGTTGTTACCGCTTAAAATTTCAAGTTATGTTGAAAAAAACAAAATAAATCGTGTGAAAAAAACGATCGCTTCTCTTTCATCGGTCTTATCTTTGCGAAATTTTAGTCTATTCGCATAATTTTTGATATTTAATTAGTTCGACCATACCGCTATCAAATGATCTAGTTTTTATCGCAATCCGTTATGTTCTGATAAAGTTATGAACAGTTTCCTACGGCACCTTCAACGATTGCCGCGTTTCTATTCGGGGCAACTAGCGGGCCGAGGGAGGTGTCGCGGAGTGAGGGCAAAGCGTGGTATATAAGCGCTGCGTAGTAAGTCGGCCCCCCATCACAAACAAGTGAATCTCTCGCCATGTCTGACACCGTCGTCGCTGCCCCTGCTGCCGATGTTGCTGCTCCAGCTCAAGCCTCTCCAAAGAAGGCTAAGGCCCCAAAGGCAAAGGTCGCCAAGGCTGCCAAGCCTTCGTCGCATCCACCATATGGAGCTATGGCTAAGGCTGCCATCAAAGCCCTCAAGGAGCGCAAGGGATCATCCAAGCAAGCTATTCTCAAGTACATCATGCAAAACTACAAGCTCGGAGAGAACCTTGCCTCCAACAACGTTCACCTTCGTGGAGCTCTCAAACGCGGAGTTGCTTCTGGAGTCTTCACCCAAACTGCCGGAACTGGTGCCAGTGGTCGCTTCAGTCTTGCGGTAAAGAAGGCCGAATCCGCTGAGAAGAAGAAGACCGTCAAGAAGACGAGTGCACCAAAGCCGAAGAAGGCTGGAACCGTCGCCAAAAAGGCTGCTGCTAAGCCAAAGAAGGTAAAACAAATCAATTTGTATAGAAGGTATTTTCAATAAAATTCATTTCAGGCGGCATCTGCTAAGAAGGAAAAGGCTGCCAAGACCGAGAAGAAGGCCAAGTCTCCAAAGAAGATCGCGAAGCCAACCGCCAAAAAGGCCACTCCAAAGAAGGCCGCGAAGCCAGCAGCGAAGAAGCCCGCCGCCAAGAAAGCAGCTCCAAAAGCCAAAGCCACAACGGCATAAATAACTTTCGGACTTTAATAATTCGATCCCTCCCCCTCCCCCCCTCCTCATCAGATGATCTCTATTATATTAACTATAATAAGCTGTATATATAATGGTCCTCCGGTTCACTTAAGTATTTCATTTTTCGATCAAACGAAATTTGAAGCCACCTCATCTTGTAGCTGCTTGCAGTTTGCCCATTCCCGCATATGTTATGCTCCAAGTATCTGTACATAATTTTAAAAACATAAAATTAAATAAAAAAAAAACTACAAATTTAACTGTTTGGCTTCTTTTTAATAATGTGAAAAAAACACGTGATCGACTGGCAGTGAAAGAAAAAAACATGTTTTGAGAGGAATTGTCAAAAACATCGCCAGATTTTCTTTTCATTATGGCAGTGCTCCGATAGGGGTTCGTTTTATGGGATTCAGCCGGATCATTCTGACGAACCTAGTAACATACTTGCCGCTGAATCTCCCTTCTCTTCGTATTCCCATAAGCCTCGGTTATCGATTTCTTTCAAGGGTGTAGAGACGCAGAGAAAATGGGCGTCTTTGGATGTTTGCCAACGCCAGTTTTTGTACGCTTATTATGCGAACGGGAAAACGTTGCTTGCGCAGTGCTCTTTGATTAGCCTCCACAGTAGTCATGGACATTCAAATACAATGCCGACACTCGTCAAATTGCGCGTCCATTATGATGACGCAATGCTCCATCTGTTGCTCCGCGGCGGATCAGCACCTGCTCGGCGGCCGTTATACAATTGAGTCATGCTGCGAATAAGACCGTTATTGTTGAGCGATGATTCGCATGCTGAGATGACCAATGCTTGACGGAATCTCGAACTGGTTGGGTTTTGAGGAACCCTCCGATGTCGAATGACTGCATTAATTTCACTTCAAATTGCTCTTCTAAAAAAGAAAATCCTGTTTAGAGCCGAAAAGAGTCATCCACATTTTGAAAATATTCAAAAAACATTGAATTTCGGGTTTTTATCATTAACGGCATGAGAAAAATAAAAAAAATCAACCTGATAAAAATCCGTTTTTGCCAAATTCTGATTTTTACAACGTTCAGAAAAACGGCTCAATTTCGTTTTTTTTGGGTTTGAAAAAAATCGGTGAAATTTAATATCCGACTCGGCCAAATCGAATCATATATTCAATAATAAGATCTAAAATACAATTTTGAGAAATTCTAAAGTTTATTGATACTTTCTAAAACTTATTGAGACTCGATAAACTTAAAAATAATTTTTAAAATCTTACAAGATTTTCTAAAAATTTATTGAGAAAATTCTATTATAAATTATCAAAATAAATTCTAAAATCTTATAATAATTTCTAAAGTTGATTGAGAGAATAGAATACGACGATTTTCGAATATAGAACAGCCAATTTGAGAGCGAAAATTTTTTTCTAAAAGGAATTATCAGAGTATTAGAAAGTGGGGGGTCAGATGTTGTGAGAAGAAAGAATTTCGATTCAAGAACCGTCGAATCCGATTGATTGATTTCTCAGTTTCAATTTTGAAATCGAATTCGAACAGATTAATTTATATTCGGTTTCGATTGAAAACGAAATTATTTTGGAGATTCGAAAAGATGTTCTCCAATGGCTCAGAATACAATCTTGATTTATATCATATTTTTGTAATAAGTGAGACGATTTTCATTTCAAAATCTCAATTTTTATTCAAAAATTTTCCTCAAATTATCGCCTCGTCGTGAAATTATCAATCCAATTAATCAACCAATTATCAATGTGCTTTTTTCGAATCGAATATATATATATTCTGGGGTTTTGTCTATCGTATCCATTCAAATCACTCAATATTGGCACCAACGCGGATTTTGGATGTCGATAACGAAAAGAGCGCGTCATGTGACACGAGGAAATAGTAGGAGAGTTGGAGAGACGCAGAGAAGCGCGAAACCATTTTTTTGTTGGATGTCTGCCAAAATCAGCAACACAAAATATCGAGCGAATTGACAAATGAAAAGACGAATATTAATGATAATTGAAATGCGAACGAATTTCGTCGAAAAAAATCGAATTATTGATTTTTGTCATTTTATGTAATTTTTCGATTTTTTGGATTTGACCATTTGTGCAAATTCGCATAAATTCGAAATAAATATACACTAGAGATTTATAATTTTTCGAATTAAACATTTTGTCGAGAAGGTCCTCTGCATTCTGAAAGCGAAAAAAAATCATTAAAAAAAGAAAAAGAAACTACAATTTAGATTCATATTGATGATAATTGATTTGAATCTCTTAGATGTTCTCCGATGGCTCAGAATACAATCATCAAATGTTTTTCTTTTTCGAAATTCCTCTCCAAATTGCGTCACAACAAAGTCGGCGGAGCACAGAAATTGAGCATCTGCTGGTGGTATTTGTTGAAGATTGTTGCGCACGCGAAATTGCGCAAAAATGACACATTCGAGTTGCAATTAAATATCTCGTCGATCGAACGAACGAAATTGAACAAGAAAGGGACCATTCGAATCATTTATTTGAATTCTTCATGCCTTCCTTCTCAATTTTCCCCATTTTCCATAATCTTCATCATCAAATTGGCATTTGTCCAAGACGCGCCCAAATTCCCTGCGTCTCTCCAACTCGCCTACTATTTCTTTGTGTCACATGACGCGCTCTTTTCGTTATCGACGTCCAAAATCGGCGTTGATTTGAATGGATACGGTAGAAAGAAAAATCGACATTGAATAATAAGATTCGAAAAAAAAAAAAACACATTGATAAGTGTATTTTCATTGGGGAATAAAATAAAAAATTAGAAGGTCGACTTGAAAAAACTTAAATTGACAATGATTTGAGAAGCTCCGGAATTCCTCAATCAATTTGTCACCAGCGATCAACGGAATGCAAAAAAACTTTGAGAATTTTAGGAGAATCACTTACTCGAAATTTCAATTTTTTTCTTTTTTTTCGCAATTTTTCGATTTCAAATGCTTCGAATAAAACGGAAAAATACGTATCTGAAGAATTCTTCTCGTATTTCCCCAGTTTTTTGAAGGTTTTCATACTTCTTCGGACAATTGCTACAGAATAAAAAATCGAGGAATATCGATTGATAGAAAAAATAGCAAGATTACAAACGTGAATTTGGCTGACATTTTGAATCGACAAGATTTTGACATAATTTTCACCCGAAATAATTTATGCCAATATTTTCTATGCTGCAGGAAGAATTCACATTATGTTCAAATAGATTTAATTAGATGAATTCTCTTAAAACACGACGACGTTCTTCTATTAGCGTGATTTTTTCGTTGAAAACGATAGTAAATGTGAATTTATCTTTCTTTTTCGACTAAAGACGACGTGCTGCAAACCCCGGCGGAAATGAATTTTTTCTGGCTGATAATCTTTATTTCGGGATGGAACTCGATTTCAAAGCGACGAGAATACCCTAGAAACAACATTTTAAATTATTTATACAGTGCGTTGCAGAAATATAAAGATACCCCCACACAACCGACTATTTCTCATTTTCTGAAACTAGGACGGGACCACTTGTTTCTTGGTTGGTTTCAAAATATCTAAACATGGCGCATGGCTCAAATTCGGGGTGGCTTTATAACTCTGCAACGCATTTTAGATATTGCGTTTCTTTATTTCAAAAAAAAAATTTCGCAAATATTTCATTGAATATTTGTTTCAGTAATGCAAGCAAATAATTTTATTCAATAAATAATAATGAAAAGTACATTTGTGGCCCTAAAGAGGGCCGTTGGGGTTCGGTGTTGATTCCTGCAGGAAAGCAAAGAATAATTGAAATTATCCTCCGAATCCGTAGAGGGTGCGACCTTGTCGCTTGAGGGCGTAGACGACATCCATGGCGGTGACGGTCTTTCTCTTGGCGTGCTCGCAGTAGGTGACGGCGTCACGGATCACGTTCTCAAGGAAAACCTTGAGCACTCCACGGGTCTCTTCGTAGATCAATCCAGAAATACGCTTGACTCCACCACGACGGGCAAGACGGCGAATAGCTGGCTTGGTGATTCCTTGGATGTTATCGCGGAGAACTTTGCGATGGCGCTTGGCTCCTCCTTTTCCAAGGCCTTTTCCTCCCTTTCCACGGCCGGACATGTTGACTTGATGCAGATGATACTCGAAATGAGCTGAAGAAATCTGAATTCAGCGCGTCTTTTATACCACAGTAGGTGGAGTTAATTTGAACCCCCGCTCCGCGACACATTTGTTTTTTCCCGATGGTCTGCGTTGCAGTTTTGTTCCCCATTCTGCGACACCACCCAGATAGGTTGCGTCACCCCGCCCCCTCCACTGCGTCTGAGCGGATGGTATAAAAGGAGAAAGTGTTAGTAGAAGAGTCACGAGACAAGTCTCTAAAGCATTCGAAATGGCCCGCACCAAGCAAACCGCCCGCAAATCGACCGGAGGAAAGGCTCCAAGAAAGCAATTGGCCACCAAGGCTGCCCGTAAATCGGCCCCAGCCACCGGTGGAGTCAAGAAGCCACATCGCTACCGTCCAGGAACCGTCGCTCTTCGTGAAATCCGTCGTTACCAAAAATCGACTGAGCTCCTCATCCGCAAGTTGCCGTTCCAGCGACTTGTTCGTGAGATCGCTCAAGATTTCAAGACTGATCTTCGCTTCCAATCGTCGGCTGTTATGGCTCTTCAGGAGGCCGCCGAGGCCTACTTGGTCGGTCTTTTCGAAGACACCAACTTGTGCGCCATTCACGCCAAGCGTGTCACCATCATGCCAAAGGACATCCAGCTCGCTCGCAGAATCCGAGGAGAAAGAGCGTAAATCGCTTGATCATCTCGTTTAACCGAACCCCAACGGCCCTCTTTAGGGCCACAATTATGAAAATGATTCAATTCTTACAATAAATACTATGTATAAATAAAAAACTTCTCGAAGTAAAAGTTTCATTGTTATGAATAAAATTATTATTTTTTAAACTTGAGCTCATTCTTGTGGATTTACTTTGTCAATAATTGCTTTGCTGAAGAAATGGAAAA